CCCTTTCGGAGGCCCCCGATCTCCTTCTTTCCCCTTTTCTTTTCTTCTTCCTTTCCCTTTGTCTCTTATTTCCCTTTCCCTTACTTTTCCTTCCTTCTTTCTCTCCTTCTCTCTCTCTCTCTCTCTCTCTTTTGCTGAGGGGAGGGGGGAGGGGTGGCGAAGGCCTTTGGCCCCCGATCTCCTTCATTTCCCCCTTTTCTTTTCTTCTTCCTCTTCTTCCTTTCCCTTATTCTCCGCTTTACCTTCTCTCTCTCTGACTCTCTCTCTATCTCTCTCTCTCTATTCATTTTTGGTTGGCGGTTGGGGGTCACATGAACATAAAGAGAGCTGAGAGAGGAACTGTAATTTGTTTGTGTGCTGGCCTTTCCTTTGTGAATGATCACATCTGACACATCAGTCTCCGAAAATAATTTCTGAATGTCGGAATTGGTTCTTTATAGTAAAATTTACTTGAAATCTGGTCATCGGTAAAGTATTATCGGCATTATCGTGATCCAAGTCCCCAGGGACTCGACCTTTATGTCTAGACGTTGCATAATGTAATTCGTATTGGTATTTTATTCCATCTCAGAGTGATTATAGACGTTATTTTGTAAGGATAATAAAGATAAAGCTGTCTGGGTTTTTAAAGATAATGCTTCAGAACAAATCGAACAAGCTTTTTATTTCTTTATTCATGGTTTGTTTCTACTGTTTATCTATTTTCATTGCCAACCCTCGGAAACGAATTTATTATGCATTTCACAGAGGAAGTTTGCATAGGAGAACTATGCTTTCTAATGGATCCGTACAATATGGCACAGCTTTAGGGGCCTGGAAGAGCCCCTACCGGGGGTTCCGGGGCGGAGCCCCAGGATGCTCTCGAGTTTATTTGACTTTCAAGAGAAAGTTTCTCTAAGATATAAAGAGAGATTATTTCTTCAATGAAGTGAAAGGACTCTTGAAAATAAAATAGCCCTTTCATTTCATTTTAGAAATAAACTCTAATCCATCCCTTGATATTTAAATTGCACTGCTCCTACTTCGTGCTTTGTTCACACTCTCCCTGATCTATAAAGAGTCTTTTCTCTATTTGATCATCAACAGAAGCAAAATGCTAGGCCACGAACTTTTCGAAGCGTGACCAGATTCAATGTATGCTTAAATGGGGGCATTGATGTTTGTAGAAAAAAAAGATTAAGATCCCATGCAACGCTTCGAAATGTAAAGAACTTAGAATGAGAAAACTAAAGTTGAGATTCGACCTTTACGTCTAGACGTTGCTTAATGCATTTCGTATTGGTATTATCTCTCGTCTGAGAGTGATTATAGTCGTTATTTATATGGATAATAAAGATAAAGCTGTCCGGGTCTTTGAATATAATGCTTCAAAACAAATCGAACGAGCTGTTTATTTCTTTTTCATGGTCTGTTTCTACTGTTTATCTATTTTCCTTGCCAATCCAAAAAAACGAACTTATTATGCATTTCACAGAGGAAAGTTTGCATATTGATGAAACATATGGGCGCAGGCAAAGCGCGGAAGCTTAGACGTTTCCTTAAATTATTAGGAAAAGAAGACGATTTGCTCTACTGTTCTCGACTGTGTATCCTTGTCTGAATTCAGTTTCTCCCCCTCCTGCGCGAGGCGCGGAAGTTTTGACGTTTCATTAAATTATTAGAAAAAGAAGACGATTCGTCGTACCGTTTTCGACTCTTAATAAGCCCTATTCATCTGAATTCAGTTTCGTCCTCTCGCGCGAAGCGCGAGAGCTTTGACGTTTCCTCATATTATTAGAGAAAGAACACGATTCGTTGTACCGTTTTCGACTCTAAATAAGCCCTATTAATTCTGTCTGAATTCAGTTTCCCCCTCTCGCGCGAAGCGCGGAAGCTTTGACGTTTCCTTAAATTATTAGAGAAAGAAGACGATTCGTTGTACCGATCTCGACTCGTCTAAAAGAAAATTTCTCCTACCGCGCAAAGCGCGGAATTATTGGCGTTTCATCGAAATATAGAGAAAGGAAAACGATTCCTCGTACCATTTTCGAATCTTATTAAGCCCTATTCATCTGAATTCAGTTTCCCCCTCTTGCGCGAAGCGCGAAAGCTTTGACGTTTCCTCAAATTATTAGAAAAGGAAGACGATTCGTTGTACCGTTCTCGACGCGTCTTAATGAAGTTTCCCCTTGTTGACTCTTAAACCTTGTTTGAATTTAGTTTCCCCGAAAATTTTAAACCTCTGATTTCTTTAGCTGATATTATAGGAAAGTGAAACTTCGAGAAAATACAAGTATTGTAGTTGTAGTCACTCTCGAAGTCGTCACAGCGGATAAGAAGTCACAGTTCGTAGGGAAAAAACTTGTCGGCCGACCGACAATATACATCTCACCGACTTCAGACTTCTGCATTGATATAGTACACGAGGATCGAGCAAGAATACCGACACAGCTGACCCGACACAGCAACATATTTACCCGTGTCTTTCTTGCTCCCTCGACGAGACGACACCACCCAACAACCCCCTTCTCTCTTTTACTCCCACTCCTCCTCTCTCAGACTCTTACCTTTCCTCTCTCTTCTCTCTTTCACCCCCCGTTTCTTTTGTTTCCCTTTCACTCTTTTTTCTTCTTTTTTTTTCTTTCTTTTCTTTCTTTTCCTTTCTTTCCTCTCCTCTCCTCCCTCTTTTTCTTTTTTCTCTTTCTTTCTTCTCTTTTCTTTCCTTTCTTTTCCTTTCTTTCCTTTCTTTTCCTTTCTTTCTTTTCCTTTTTTCTTTTCTTTCCCTTTCCCTCTCTTTTTTCCCTCTCTTTTTTCCCTCCCCCTTTTCTCTTTTTCCCGACGGCAGCGCAAGTTTACCGACAATATCCTGACAGGTGGGGGTGTCGTACCCCCCCCCCATACCTCCCTTTGGCGACGCCCCTGCCCCCCACCCCCATTCAACCAAAGGCCTATCTATCTCGACCGTGACCTCCCCGACGAAATACCACAGATGAATTCTAGAGACATCTCCCGATTTAAAGTCATGAATGCGCACAGAAGTACTGAGCCATTGAAGGAGTGAATTTTAATGAGGATTTGCAAAATCCTAGCGATTAGGAATTAAGAGCCGATTTAGATAAATCTCTTCAGAGGGCTTAATAATGAAAGTAGTTTTACAAAAGGTATTAAAGAGTGATATACATGAAGACACTTTAGATTCCAGTTCCACAGCCTTCTAGAGTTACAAAGAGGTAAGTCGCCTGTTGCAGACTTTCATTCTTCTTTAACATGCAACCTTTATTCTAAACAGGATTTGCAACATATCCTAGCGATTGGAGATTATTAAGAGCTGATTTAGATAAATCTCTTCAGAGGGCTTAATAGTGAAAGTAGTTTTACAAAAGTTATCAAAGAGTGATATACATGAAGACACTTTAGATTCCAGTTCCACAGCCTTCTAGAGTTACACAGAGGTAAGTCACCTGTTGCAGACTATCATTCTTCTGTAACACGTAACCTTTATTCTAAATTGCTTTTGGTAAAAATATCATAACATCAAAGTCGATTCCAATTTGTAATATTGGTAACCCTTTCAACTCAAACGTAATTATGATAATTCAGGTTTTAAGGCTTTTATCGTTGCCTATTTTCAAAATATTTTCCCCCTATTTTCTTTGATTGTTTGGCTACTCAACATTATTTTTGTCTGTTTATCTGCTACCATTACCATATATCAGTTTAGAAATTTGACGATCTTGACCACTACTTTCTCTTAGTTTATTTTGGTATTGTATTGATGGAAAGTTATCATTTTTGTCATCTTTATTACCATAATTATTGTACTTGTCATATCTGTTCGTTTGGCTCACTGTTGTATATATACTGTATTTATAACTGTTTTGTATAATTTGTAAACATGATCAGTTTTGGTCCTTGGATCTTTGAATCATGTATGTTTATATGTCTTTTTAACATCAACAGGGAAAAAAAGTGGTAAAACTTTCAAAATAATTTCATGAGTTTAATATGCCCCAATCACACCGACGTGACCGACACCAAACCGATAATAGACAGAACGAAATATTACTTTACACCGAATGGCCAACGTTCTGTTGGTTTGGAGTCTGTCTGGCGGTGTGACAGAGCTAGATCGAGTTATGAGAAGATGTTGAATTTTCGGCATTGGTCGACCGTCTGCATGCATTGAATTGAATTGAATTGAAAATTTATTGTCCCTTACGGGAAATTCTTTTTTCACTGGTTTAACAGTCTTTGTACATATATACATAATACAGGAACAATACATAATACAATAATTATCAAATGTACATCGTTACAAACGTAGTTACATTTTGAAAGTGATTGTTGCAATGGAAACGGAACAAAACGAATACATGATTGCAGTATTACATAAACATGGCATTCCAGGTGAAAAATTCGAACATTAAGCTCGCTGTTTATTTGAGAATATAGGTGAGTTTAATATTATGAGCCCTAGCGAAAATTATACCATGATAACGTATTATTTGGATTAATATCACTTCTTCATTTAGTGAAGAATATATCATGTTGTAAATTAAAAGCGTAGGAGAGGCAGACCAAGTTCTGGCTTCAGCTGCAGTTAATTAGTCGTCAAAAATCACAAACCCTTTCATCAACAAGACATACTAGAGTCTAGAGGAGCTCGCTTGCTCCCTGGGATATATGTGACTGTCGTGCTGACATTTTCCTTTTTATGTTTTATAAACAAACATACCTTCTGTGCTCCTCTAATATGTCTTTTTGCGTGCTGAATAAGTCATTGACTCAAATAGATTTGGGAACATTGAATGGACAAAGATTGAACATTTAATTGAAAATTCAAAAGCACTCTTTGAAAAAAGATTATTTGAAAAAGATTACTTTGAATATGTAGTAATGTGAGATTGTTGCCTCCTGTGGCTGGACCTGGGTTTGGTGCAGGCTATTGTTCAGTGTGCACTCAGGTCTCTCTTGCAATGGCTTGAGTGCACGCTGGACAACGACCTGGGCTTGAGTTCGGTTGCAGGAGGTGACAGCTTTCACATGACCTGAGAAGACATTACAGCAGAGAAGTCACAAGTGGTGCACGTGCATAGTGGGCAATTTGAGTTACATGACCACAAAGACTGTATTGTACAAGGGCGTACGTTGAAGACAAGCCTCTTTTATATATTGTGGGCGGGGCTGTTTTGTTGCCTTCAAAATAAAATAACCTTCCATCAACTGCGAAGCGTCTAAGAGTGAATTTATTGGCCTTTCTTTCAAATACATATCATAAATCGGATTCCAAATTACTTTGACATCCTCCAACTTATAAAATGTGCAAACTTCAGCCTGATGCCAGTTTTAACTGTTTAAATGATAATAACCGTCAGATGTATTTATGATTATACCAAGTAGGCGTAATTCGATCAATCCACGGAGACCATTGATCACCGCACTACACGATGGGAGACGAGGTCGGAGTTCGTCACAAACTTGGTACGAGTTTGTCGCAGGTAGCCCTACACGACCGCGACATCCTTCAAGAGATGCACGATGTCGAAATGGACAACGACCGCGCATCTGGAAGTCACGAAAAGCACGGGATGAACGGCCAAACCGACATCAACGGCGGCGTCAGATCACCGGACAATGTCGGAAGAGCTGACTTGATCTGTGGATGGTTGGGTTGTCGACCACGGTGGATTCAGAAGATGTGTACCGCTAGGTGGCTTCTCGTCGTCATGTGTCTTGGCACATTTTTTCAGGTCAGATCGGATTTCATTTTTCTTTAACCCTCCCCCTACCAGAACAAAAAGAAATGCCTGGGCAAAATCCGTCCTACGCCCCGTGTTGTCGCCGCAACTATAGTTTCGAAGATCTTATTTTGTTTGCGCCGTGAAAATATTGACTTTTCGACTTTTCCCAAAAGAATAGAGTATATAAATTTGAGATTTAAAATGGCATCTTCCAGTTATAAATCAAATTATCGTTAGTCTGGGATTATCATTCATTTGTTCACATTACTATTAAGGAATACATTTACAACGGCTTGGTTTACAAGTCAAAATGCTCCCCCCCCCCCAAAAAAAAAAGCGGGAAAAAATGAAAGGAAACGTAAACAAAGCTAATTATTTTATTACTTGTTTGACAGGGTTTTTTCGTCAGCGGTTTCCTCCCAAGCTCGATCACTTCCCTGGAGCGTCGTTTCGGCTTCTCCAGTCAGCAGACCGGCCTCCTGATCAGCATCTACGAAATCGTCAGCGTCTTCTTAGTCCTCTTCGTCTGTTACCTCGGTGATCGAGGTCACAAACTCCGATGGGTCTCAGTAGGGTGTGTCCTGATCGCCATCGCCGCCTGTCTCTTCGCCCTCCCACACTTCACCACGCCGACGTATTCCTACGCCAGTGCCGGTCCCAGTTACTTCTGCACTATCGGCAACACATCGGTTGATGAATGTTCGAGTACGACATCGACGACCACGACGACGAGTTCGGATTTGTTCAATTACTACTACGTGTTCGTGGCAGCCATGGTAGTAGGAGCTATAGGGGCCCTGCCGATGTATACACTCGGACTTACAGCCCTAGACGAGTCAGTTACGAGTTCCAACAATGGCATCTACATTGGTACGTAGTTTCACTGGCAGGTTAAAGCCCACCGCACACATTACGATCCGACTTTTGACAAATTTGCAATATCAATTGATATGATTATTCAAATAAGTAAACATTTCTAATTAAAGTTGTTCTGAATTTGTTATGTGAATCTTAAAATCGAATTTTCTCGATATATTATAAATCTCCATGTAGGAAGAAAACCCATAACAACTCTGATATGAACCCTAATTACGTCAGACCAGTGGTGTGATTGTATACGACTTCAAGCCGACTTAGCCTTAATTTCGCCTTGAAGTCTTACCATTCAGAAATTGACAATTTTTGTATTATTCATATCTTTATTCAGAAACTCAGTGAAGAATAGTATACAGTCAAACCTGTCTATAGCGACGGCCCAAGGGAAACACAAAAAGTGGCCTTTGTAGACAGATGGTCTTGCAGACAGGTTCCATTAGTACATGGTTCAATGAGAAACCTTTTTCAAGGGAAACAGCAAATGTGGCCTTTGTAGACAGGTTGGTCACTAAAGCAGGTTTGACTGTATATATTTTAATGTCCATATCTACTGTAGATGCAATTTATTATAAAATCGTAATACAGTCGAATTGTACGGTGTGCGGTGAGCTTTACAGGAGCCGGGGCGGGGTCAGCTACTTTTTGGACCTATCTCGGGATCATGAAATAATGTGCGTCAGTGTGAGGTGCATGACATAGTAACGGAACATTTTGCATAACAACTTTTTTTAATTATTTCTAATTATTTTTTTTAATAAATATTATTAATTGTTATTAATATATATATATTTTTGTAAATATATAGAACCAACGTGTAAGGGAACCAGATGATTTGGTTTCATCTTTGAAATTCCTTCCTTATTGTAATTGATCCTGTAAGATGTGAAATCTAACTATGGAATTGATCTTCTAAACTCACAATTCTCACGGATGTATAGGTATATTCTACGCTGTGGCAACTTTAGGTCCAGGATGTGGCTTCTTGGTTGCTGGTGTGTGCCTGTCTTACTTTACGGAGCTACGCATACCAGAAGGGTAAGACACCTATAAAATATCTTCAGCAAGACATGTTACGTCAACATTATGTACTTTGCACACGAGGCGTTATTTTGCTGACGCAGGACGGCGTTCCCGACTGGCGTACAGTGGTCTTGATCTTGACGCAGAATAGGGACTTTTAGATGTGCACAACGACAACGTGGATTGCTACGATCGACGTCCTTTTACTGCACTGCCTTGAATGGACGTCACACGTATCAGTCCACGGAAATCTAAAAGTCCCTAATGTTAGAGTGAACTGTACAAAAGGAAATGCACAATGTTTTGATTCACTGTTGTATTAGCGCAGGTAGTATAACACAATCGAAGTGACGCCTTGTGTGCATCTGGCACTAGCCTAAACATTACACAATATTATTAGCCAAAATATAATGCACTTGTTTCAAGAAGTGTTTTGTTAACTTGAGCATTGTGATCTACTACATTTTTCGAAATCTTCATTTTATAAGATGTATGGGGTATGGTGTGGCCCTCACCCTGAAATCAACAATATGCAGTACACTAAAGGCAGTCACTTTGCAATTTTTCATTTTGTATATTACGTCATCTAATATACTTTGACGCAGCTTCATTTTACTGACGCAACACAAACTGCGTCAGTCGTACAATGAATAATACAAGTACAAACATTGCGTTGAACTATTTGCGATTTTGCTCATTAACATCACAAGCTTGTTTTAGGTCAGGTAATGGCGCAATCGAAATAACGCCTCGTGCGCGATGGAGCAGAAATTAAAAATATTTGTTTCCTATGGTGCCACAGGCTTAATCTATCGCCCCTTGATCCTGGTTGGGTAGGTGCTTGGTGGATTGGTTTCATCATATCTTTCGTCATGCTCCTCATCACCGCCGTACCTATGAGTCTTTTCCCTCGTGAATTGCCTAGTAAGTTGCATTAATATTCGTTTGTTTTAATTCCAATGAATTATAAGCCACATCAAGGACACCGCACACCTTACGATCCGACTGTTCTGCGAGTCACATCATCCTGACAAGCGTTTTGACGTCATATCTCCCCTCACTCAGTCGCAGAAGAAAAGCAGACCAGTTTAATACTGACCAGGCGGATCGTAAGGGGTGCGGAGGCCTTTATAGATGTCAGGTGGATAGCCCATTGCTCCATTGTCATTTCGTATATTGATCTAGCTCATATAATTCATTTTTTCTACAGGCGTACCCAATATATTCACTGAGGGTTCTGTATATTTCTGAACGTTGTGCAAGAACCGTCATTTACTGGCGTATGTCTGCGTCAGCAACACTGTCTCGTGCAATGCTTGACCCCCGTGAAATAGTACAGAAAGTGATAACATGGGCAGTTGAAACATACTAATACTGCAATCGAAATATTCAAATAAATCGAAATAACGTCTCATGAACAACGGGCATAACGAGGAAAGTTCACATGTAGAAGTGCTGTAGTCGAGTAGGTTTTTCACTTGTCTGAAATTGCCATGGTCAAGGGTTTACCGATGCCCTTTGCCACTCTCCACCCAGGTGTTAAAATGGTACCCGATAGGATGCGAAAGTTCATGTGGTTTGATCAGCATCTTTGTGCGTGTAAAATGGCGCCTGATTTGAATATTCTCCAGAGAAGAGGAGAGCGTGCATTACATTTTGAAGAGCATTTGAATCCGAGGGTGTTAAGCGCGGAGAAACGAAGAATTAAGCGATATACAATGTGACTATCATTGTCATTCTGACTAAGGGTCACATTATTTCTTGTGTCACTAGTTAGAAATAGGTAATTGTTAATTAGCATACAGGCAGATATTACAGCAAATATTATAAACGGAAAACAAGTTTGATGATATACAGTAGGCTTGCGGATGCACCATGTGAGAGAGAGATGGAGGATTGAGGAGTCCTGAAAAGGACTCTCGGTAATCTTTCTTGAGGGTGTGTGTCAGTGTTGGTAGTCTTGAAAAAGACTGTTAGTTATCTTGATTAGTTTGATGATGTTTTATCAGGGTTCATGGTAACTTGTTTCTTCAGCCACCGCAAAGATTCGAGCTGAGAAGGAAGACCAGTCACACAAGAACGCTGGGTCAAACGTGACAAGTCAAGCAGGTTTCGGGACTAGACCCACGGACTTCTTCAAAGCTATCAAATACCTGTTCGTCAACCCCACCTTCATGTTCACCTGTCTCGGTGGCGTTGCCAATACGCTTATCTTTATCTCCTTCGGGACGTTCCTGCCGAAGTTGTTCGAAAACCAGTTTAGTGTATCTGCAAGCTTGGCTACAATACTGACAGGTAAAGTATATATTATATTCGAAAAATATATCATGGTACCAAGAGTTGGAGGGGGGGGCTGACATGTAGTGGTTCATTCATTTGACTCTCACTCCAATGATTGAGGGTTCGACTCCCAGTCCGGCACTTTTGTCCTTTGGCATGAAATATTATTTATCCTTATTTGCTACTCTCCACCAGGTGTAAATGAATACCTGGGGTAATATTAATTGCAGAGCTCTCAGGATGAACATCACTGGTGCTGATGAGGCTTCCGTGGTAGAATGAAAAATATTATTATTGTTGTTGTTGTTGATGTTGATGTTATCATTATTATTAGGGTAACATACAAGGTACTCTCTAAAATAAATCGAGTGATCACGGACGTCACTCCTCTGGAGAGTGAAAAGTAGTGAAAATAGAGTGAACATTCACTGTTCTTTTCTTAGAGAGCACTCCAAAGTCAATCGATATTCACTCCTAAACAAGTGATCACGGACGTCACTCCCATGAAAGTGAAAATAGAGTGAACATTCAGTCTTTTTTTTAGAGCGTAAGGAACCAGCGGCAAAGCGTAGGCATTGTCATCGAGAGGAGCACTGAGGGCGGGGGGGGGGGGGGGTGGGGGAATATCGGAGAACTGCCATAATTATGTGGAGTGCTTTTCCCCACGATATATTTGGCCTGAGGGCCCATTGATTTGTGATCTGCACAACCTACTTGGAATATTGAAACCGTCTTCATCCCTCTTCGTGTGTTTATTTCATCAAGGTATCATCGTGGTCATCGGCGGTATCCTAGGAACACTGAACGGTGGTCTGATCATGCGCAGATTAAAGCTGAAAGTCAAAGGTATGCTTCGGCTGATAATCGTCTGCAACATTTTGGCTGTATTGCTGTCCCTCGTCACCCTCTGGCAATGCCCAGGAGCAAAACTGGCGGGAGTCACTGCTTCATATGATGACACGGAGTAAGTCCACCCCACCTTTCATTTACTAATTTGACCATTTTTACAGGCATGAAAAGGGAATTTGTCATCTGAGCAGACAAAGGGAGTGTATCATGGCAAATACTGGTTAACGCCATCTACGTCTTCTTTTGGACAACTGCACGTCAGCGCATGGACTTGATTAACTGGGTCAGCGCGCTAGCGTTCGCGAAACAGACCGAAGTCTTCTCACGCTTCGGGTTCGCGCACGTAATGCTGCGGTCGCGTCGTGCGTAGTCGTATTACACCCGACTGGCCCCGGATGCGAATTTTTTTTCCTACGAACCTTGAGCTCGCGAGGGGAACCTGCGCATGCGCACTCGCGAAGGAAACCAGCGCATGCGCACGTGGAATCCGGTAGGGCGGTCAATAGGGTGATAGTAATTATGCAAAGCCATCTTTCATCAACTCATCGTTAGCTCAATCGGTAAGGACAGCGTGTTACTAATAGAACTTTGGAGTTGCCGTGAGGGTCAAATCTCAGTTTATTTAGTTTTTTTACCTTTATAAATAGTGAGGCAAAGCAATAAATAATCAAAGTCTAATTGTTTGGGACCTCTTTGCATGCGTCAAGTATAACAGTTCGTATGTGAGCATGCGCCAGGTATAAAAGTTCGTAGGAAAAAAAGTTCGCGCCCCGGATAGGGCCAAGGGAAAGACACATAAGGGACTTTTAGATTTGCACTGACTGCAACGTGTGACGTCATTTTAAGGCACTGCGCATGCGACGTCTCAGTCGGCGATCGAGAATGCGTCAACCTTGATTTTCCTAAATCTAGTACATACATACATATTGATATTTATATAGCGCCTTTACATGCTCAAGGTACTAGTTTGCCGCGTGCGCATAAAATATACAGTTCCTCAGGTAGACAAATGAACATCCCTTCCCTGCTATTATGTAAAAATGTGTAGAACAGGTGTCACATGCATATTCACCTGTTCTATACATTTTTACATAATAGCAGTGAAGGGATGTTCTCTTGTTGAGGGTAGAATGAGGAACTGTATATTTTGTCCTCTTTCTTTGTCCGTGATGTTCATAATGTTACTTCCTGGATTTCTAATTGAAGTCAACATGGGCAGTTAAGTACGTTGACACGCATGATCAGTCGGCGTTCGTCGTGTTCTCGTCCACTCATTCTAAAAGTCCCTAATGTCTCGTCATGATCGACACACTCCCTTTAACTTAGAAATATATCTAATTTTAGGTACATCTTGAGTGTCTTCTCTTGTTCACTGTCGTCTAACTGCTGTCGATATGGGTGATATAATATATTTGCATTAAAAAATCTTCACGAGCAAGCACGAGAACACACACGTTTCAAGATGCATTGCGACCTGTGTTTCCAAGTGTATTCGCCCCTTCAACAAACCTATTATTGGTTTGGGTTAGGGGTGGAGGGGTTCTATCAACATAAAAAAAAATAACGGTCCAAACAATGATTTGCTGTTTGTACAAATGGAGACAAAAACGACAGTATAAAAACCCTTCATTAGATTTTCCAATATTTAAACAAAAAAATGTATGTGTGTTTGTTCCTCCTTTTTGTTCCAGGCTTACCGCCACCAACGTCACTCATTCCTGTAACGCGGGATGTTCCTGCGCAGAGGACATATATATCCCGGTGTGCGCAGATGGTGATACCATGGAATATTTGTCACCGTGCCATGCAGGATGCATATGGGGATTTTTTAATGGGGTAAGTCAAGATTTAGAATGCAATTAGGGGCTGACATGGACTTGCATTTGCTCCAGGATTCATTGACATATTTGTCAAAAACCAGTGGCATCTCTATAAGGGGCACCCCTATCTAGTTATTTACCTGAAATATAATATTCATTTGTAGTCGGCAAATTTGATTGTATAAATCACATCGTCACATATGAAGGCAACTTCATTTTATTCAAGCATGGAGTTACTTCCTGACGGCAATATTAAAGTAGAGTTTGAAAGCTGGAAAATTTCAGCCCATCGGCAAATGAAAAAACCCTGAGTATCTTTGGGGTTTGTCGTTTAAAATATTCTTAACCTTCGTCGGCAAACTTACATGGGTCCAGGGGCGGCGATCCAGGGGGACGGGGGGACACGTCCCCCCCCCCCCAAAAAAAAAAAAAAAAAAAAAAAAATTGTTTGGGGGGATCGTCCCCCCCCCCCCGGTAAAATTTGAAAAATGCAAAAAAAAAATGTATAGCAAGTACTGAATAATGACTGCAACACACGTTTAGGCTCTGGAGGGCCCAAGAGAGAGTGCAGCGATTAGACTTATAAAAGTGCACACAAAAAAAATCGCGTTTCGTCCACCTCGGTCATGAAAAGAAATCGCCGCCCCTACCTGCATGGGTCACAGTCATATCCGGCAAATTTTGTCCGACATCCCCACAACTAAATGGTCTAGTGACGCTCCTGATCGCGATGCCATTAGGTGAAAACTAGAAGGAAAAAAATTATCTTTAAACTTCATATTATAGTCTTGTCACATCACATCACCTTATAATTTCGCAGAGACGATGCTTATGTTGTTGATTTTTAAAAGGACCTTCTCGATTACATTTTCCAAAACTATGTAACTAGAACAAAAGAAAGCTAGATGTGAAGTTAAATAAATTAAACAATAATTGGCAGTCACCTCTTATCTTGTCTTTCCCCCTAGACTTTCATTGGCTGTTCTTGTTTGGCGGAGACCGGCCTAGCGGAGTCGACAACGGCTACCTTTGGTGCGTGTTCATCGTCCTGCCCGTATTACTATCCATTCGTGTATGCCGCAGTCTTTATCGTCCTGATCATCATCACCTTCACCACTGCCATCCCAGAGCTCAACGTCCTCTTAAGGTATAAGATTCTGAGATATTTATCTGGAGGCCGGGCGACACCCCCCGAGAACGACAGTTCACAAGAATGTCGATCTTGCAGTTTTACTGAAGCATTATACGAGGAATCTTAGGACGACAGCCCGAAGCAATGCCGTTAATGCCGTCCCACTGGAAAGTAGTGCTGACTACGGGGTATTTAAATGAGCTTGCCACTCCGTACTCGCTCGACTCCCGACATTAGGGACTTTTAGATTGAGTGGACGAGAACACGACGAACACCGGCTGATCATGCGTGTCAACGTACTCAACTGCCCATGTTGACTACAATTAGAAATCTTTTAGATTGCACTCGAAGATATACATGCATGCAGGAAGTAACACTAAATGAACATGACGGACAAAGAAAGAGGACAAAATATACAGTTCCTCATTCTACCCTCAACAATAGGCCATTTTCGTAATGTAACCAAATGTAATGCATAAGCCTTTGTGAATTGCCTCAATCCCGCCCCCCCCCCCCCCACTCAGTGTTATTTAGGGTACGCATATGCTTGTTCCCTCTTTTTGAAAGCACACCCTATCTGAGGACTGCCAACATTTCCGAACTCCCCTTTCGCGGGCTTTTCCTGCCTTAGAGACCCCCCTAAATCATGAAAAATTATCAATGTACCCCCTTAAATTCGGAAGAATTTCTCAGGAGTCCAAAGAGATGAGAGAAAAAAAACACACCCCCTTTTTAAAGAAATCTCCGGGTGAAAAGTTAATACACCCCTTTTTTTTTACAATTCTCGGGCCGGACTTTGTCGCACGAAAAGTACCCTTTACCGGACATTTTGGTAACACGCATGGGGTCCCGTCCGTTCTCGGAGTGGGGGGGGGGGGGGGGGGGGGCTCAATACACATTATTTCATTCACCTGATAAGAATAATAGAATTTCAATAGTCAGAATGCAAACTGCATATATTGAGTGTTGCTAGGTAGGTCAAGCCATAATGTTTGTCCTACCTGGCAACAACTAATGTATGCAGTTCGAATTCTGTCTATCGAAATACTATTATTCTCATCAGGTGAATGAAATAATATGTATTGACTATTGAGGCACTTCACAAAGACTTATGCATTAAGTTTGGTTACATTACGAAAACGGCCTATTGCTGTGGTAGAACATCCCTTCACTGCTATTATGTAAAAATGTGAAGAACAGGTGAATATGTATGTGACACCTGTTCTTCACATTTTTACATAATAGCAGGGAAGGGATGTTCCTTTGTCTACCTGAGGAACTGTATATTTTATGCGCACGCGGCATATACTTGTAGTAGTACCGTACTAGATTTAGGAAAATCAAGGTTGACGCATTCTCGATCGCCGACTGAGACGACATGACGTATGCGCAGTGCCTTTAAATGACGTCACACGTTGCAGTCAAAGCTGTCGACGTGCAAATCTAAAAGTCCCTAGTAATACAGCTGAATACCGTCGTAGGTTTGGGTGCTACGCGGAAATTTTCGCTCTGAGTTCGAACCCCCCCCCCCCCTCCCCCCTGCGAAGATTAGCGTTGTAGAAGGACGCGTCGCCGGTTGCGAAAACTCGCCAATTTGAGGGTGCATGGGACCGACGACCGTTGAGATCCACCGACCATGAGACATACTTATTTCATGGTGTACACAATATCACGGGTGTTTTAATCTTTGAACATTGACCTAACTGATCGTGTTGTAAAATCCGTTACGAAACAATCTTATTCTCAATCTTAATCCTTTTCTGTTTTCGTCCCACTATTTATGATAGCTGCGAAAAGCTCTTTACGTCTTTGGCATTTCAATACATAGGACTTTGATAAACGATTCACTTTCACCCATAGAATCTTCCTTTCCAATAATGATATACTGTAAAACTTTCTTCTTTTTTTTCCCCAAAGAAATTTTGTATTTAATCATTGTTGAGCAAGGACAAAACAATAGATTTGAATAAAGTACATGTTGTGACATATCGGTAAAACAAACATTGTTACATCAGTTGCACATGACTTGTCTCCATTTATCTAGTAGCACAACAAATTTATTGCGTTTGATAGAAATAACCCGCTCAACTTCATAAAAACGTTTGAGCATCTTCTTAAAAGAATTCAAAGATAGCCGTTCCCTTTATATTTCGCAGAGTATAGTGTTTTGCATATAAAATGACAAAATCAAAGATAGATTGCGTACCGTCTGGGAAACCAAACAAAAAGGATTTTCTTTATTTCAAAAGTACTAGGTCATATTTGCCGCGGCGGCCGTGCGGTTACATACGGTAGCGGTTACATACGGTAGCGGTCACATAGGGTAGCCGCACGGCGTATTTGAATTTGTGGAGACAGAAAATCTGCGACTGCGACTGCCATGGCTACGGCATGTCAAATCGCTACGGCGAACCAAGAAATGAAAATAGTTATAACTCCGCGTCATAATCCCACGGCGACCCGTACGGCCTGTAAAGATAGGGATACGCCCTAGGGTGACCCTGAGGCCACCGCAGATTCCTTGCGGTCGCCGCAATTATCTCTCGAATTCGGGGGCGTACGGCCGCCGTATCCTAGCCGTAGAGAAAATTTGACCTAGACATTAGCATACAGCTTTAATTTGGAAGCCTTCCTGTAAAACTTACAATACCAAATAACATTTGTTCCATCTGTTTTGCAGAAGCGTTCCCGATACCCAGCGATCTATGGCCCTTGGACTGAACTCCCTGCTCTTAAGACTCTTGGGTATATATCTATTTTTATTCATCTTTCTTCCTCTCTCCTATCTAGACTATACTTATCTTTATGGTAATATTATGATATTTTCAACTCTATTCGGCCTCTCGTAACAATGACCTGAAAGCTTGTAAATGTATTTTCTACTTTAACAATTGCGAGACTTAACGATTCCATAACTTTGTCTTTGAACTGTAGGCGCCTTCCCCGGCCCCATTCTGTTCGGAGCGGTCATCGACGGCGCGTGTCTGCTATGGCAGGAAACCTGTGGGACTCGAGGCTCATGCTGGGTCTACGACAATCAGGGTCTGGCATGGAGAATCACCGTCATTGCCGTCGTCCTCAAGCTCGTGGGCGTCCTCTTCTATGTTCTTGCCCTGGCGTTGTACAAGACCGCAGACAAGGACGAAGACACGAAAGGCGATCTCAAAAAGGAAGTTACTCTATAAACGAGCGTATCCGGACACCTACCGCCTGGACATCCATCCCCGGAAAACCACACCCAGTCAGCTTCCCCCCAGACAACTACCCCCTAAGATAGTTGTCCGGTGGTAGTTGTCCTATGGGGTATTTGTTCAAGTTCAAGTTCAAGTTTATTTGTCTTTCTTCCAACATAAATGTAATACAATTTAACAAATGTATAACATGCAAAGTATATAAGAGGAAACACTTATAAGAATAAAGTTCACACAATGCATTTACATGAGAAAACAAAAGAAGAAAAGACGAGGAGACCTAATTAAAGCTTAGCTTGTAGAGGTCAGGTCCCTCAAAAACAATAACATAAACAACAAGAACAGCCTGGTTATATAATAGATTAATAAAAGAAATGTTCGTCAAAGGCGCTAAAGTACTAAAACAAATAACTATAAACAATAACCATATGATTATACACATGGTTTAACTGAGTAATAAAAAAGGGTGGGGAGAAGAGACTATGTACAAAAGGGGGAGATAAGAGCGATCATGATGTGGGATATAAAAAAGAAGAGAGGGGCGGGAGTGGGAAAGAGAGGGAGAGCTCGAGTTGGGGAGAAAGAAAAAAAAAATACTTTCACTGTAAACTGAAAGCTAGCTACAGGCGAGAAAGGAAAGAAAAAGGAAAAGTAAGTCGGCAGTTGCTATACAGTAGTAAATTGGGGAATGGATTAAGTTCAAATATAAATCACGACACTACAGATTAAGAAACAACTAAGTAATTATTCAATAAGTACAATTTCAGTTTACGTTTGAAGACAGATATACTGACAGAATGGCTAATGCTTGAGTCAAGAGTGTTCCAAAACCTTGGTCCAGTGCAAACTAAAGTGTTGAGAGTAAACTTTGTCCTTGCATGGGGTAAGTGGAATGCAGAAGCACCTCTTGTGGCATAATTGTGAATTTGATTGTTTCTCTTGAAAATCTTGGCTAATGCCAGTGGCAGTACACCTGAGTTGAGATCATACATTAAGGAACCCAATTGCATATAATAAATATCTTCTACCTTTAAAATCCTATGATGATAAAAAAGAGGATTTGTATGAGCAAGAAAGTCAGCATTACAGATTGTTCTTATTACCCTCTTTTGAGCCAAGAATATTTTATCTAATTGTGTTATTAGAGATTTGCCCCAAGCAAGCACACCATAATTAATATAAGGTAGAATTAAAGTTGAATACAAGATAAGTAATATGCTTTTAGGAAGAGTAGACTTCAACCTACGAATTACACCAGTATTCCTTGATAATATTTTGCATAGATTATTTACATGAGTTTTCCACTTCAATTGTTCGTCGATATAAAGACCTAAAAATTTAGTTGATGTTACCCTGTCTATCAGAACACCGTTGAACATAATGTCGCCAGGCAACATCTTGAGCGAATTGCTATATATCATATAATTGGTTTTTGTAAGATTAAGAGACAGTTTATTAGCATGAATCCATGAGGTAATATTGCGCAACTCTGAGTTAACTGTTTGCACAAGAACTTGTGCATCTTTGTGTGAAAAAAATATGCTTGAATCATCTGCAAACAAAATAAAGGATAATACATCAGAAGAATATTGAAAATCATTTATATAAAGAATAAATAAAAGAGGACCAAGAAGTGATCCCTGTGGGACTCCACAGCTGACATTTTGTAACTCTGAATCAAAACCATTTATGGATACGAATTGCTGTCTGTCAGCTAAATAGCTCCTGAACCAATCCAGGGCAGCACCCCTGACCCCGTAATGGGATAATTTACATAACAATATTTTGTGATCTACTGTATCAAATGCCTTAGAGTAATCCAAGAATATTCCAAGTGTGTGCATGTGGTTGTCCATAGCATAAGAAACTTTATTGATAAAGTGCAGTATAGCATGGGTGGTAGTATGTTTCTCACGGAAGCCAAATTGAAAGTTGGAAAACATTTTACTTGAATTGAGAAACTTTACAGTTCTCACATAGATAAGTTTTTCAAGAATTTTAGAGAAAGATGTTAATAGGGAAATGGGTCGGTAGTTCGTCAATAGTTTTGGGTCACCCTTCTTAAAAATTGGGACAACCTTTGCCACTTTCATCTCCCTGGGTACAATGCCATTTGTCAGTGACAGATTAAATATATGCACTAATGGCTGTACGATTTCTACTGCTAAGTTTTTAACTAGACTGTTGGAGATAGTATCACAGCCTGGGCTTTTTCCAATCTTCAAAACATGTACTATACTGAGTACTTCTACTTCATTTGTTGGCATTAAAAACAAACTTTGCTGGTTAGGTTCTTTCAAGAAGTCATGGAATGATTTATCACAATTTGGAATACCCTCCGACAAATTCGGACCGATACTACAAAAATAATTATTGAACTTTTCAACAATAGATTTTGTATCATCTACTAATTCTCCATCAATTTGCAGAGATCTTATGCTGGATGTTTTACTGTTGCTTTTAAAAATATTTTTGATTACCTTCCATGTTCCTTTTATATCATTCAAGGTTGCCTGAAACTGAGTGGAATAGTAATTTTTCTTTGAAACACGTAATGTTGTAGTTAAGGTGTTCCGATATCTGGTGTAATTCAAGCGTGACTGTTCTGATTTAGTTGTCTTGTATTTATAATATAGCTTATTTTTCTTATTGATCGATTTCAATAGCGATCTTGTAATCCATGGCATTCGGGGGATCTTCCTGTGATTTCCACTATCTCTTTTACATATAGGTATATTCTCATCATACAGCAGTATAAATTTTCGAAAGAAGTTTTCAAAAGAGCTATCAACATTTTGATCAAGTAAAACATCACTCCAGTCAGTTGCAATTAGGGCTTCCTTAAGCTTTGCAATATTTTCGGGATTGCTCCTACGGGCATGTTTATTTTGCCTAGTAATGAAAGAGGGTTTGCTCAATGGCATCTTGGCATAAATAGGAAAATGGTCCGATAGGTCAGAAATTATGATGCCAGCATCTGGAAAGGGTTGCAAATTAGTGAAGATATTGTCAATGAGAGTAGAGGAATTTTCAGACACTCTTGTAGGTTTAGTGATCAAAGGCATCAAGGAAAAGGACACCAACAGGTTCAAACAGTCATCAATACAGCTATTTCCATCGCAAGTGAGCAGGTTCAGATTATAATCACCCATGAGAAAAATTATCTTGTTATTAAGTAATGGATTTGACAGAATATTGTGTACCTCATCTATAAAGAGATTTAGATTACTTTATGGCGGCCTATAAACGACACCTAAAACAACATTACGTTTTCCTGATATGAAAACATCAACAAATATAGTTTCTAACACATCATTCATAATGGTAAGCTCATGACATATTTGGTAATCCATCACAGATGGAATGTATAAAGCCACCCCTCCACCTCTTTTATCTCGTCTATTATTAGAAACCAAATTATAACCAGGAATTAAATATAAGCTAGTATCGAATTCAGAAGGAAACCAGGTCTCAGAAACACCTATTGCTGTGAATCCTGATATACGCTTGGTGAAAACACTGAAATTTTCAAAATTCTTACACATACTACGTATATTCAAGTGAATTAAAGCAAGTTCATTACTCTCTGAACCACAGACCATATCAAAGAATTGCTTTTCGGTACAATAATTACAATTTATTGTAATTTGATCATCATTTTCATCAGGGGTAGTTGTCGTACGAGGTGGTTGTCCATGGGGGTAGTTGTCCTAGGGGTAGTTGACTGGGGTGGTTATCCGGGGGTGGATGTCCAGGGGGTAGGTGTCCTAGAACCATAAACGAGATCGCCAAGACTTGCAAGAAATCAACCCTAGGCAATTTGAACAGCCATGTCCGTTTCCTTTTGAAATGTGTAAACATTACACTGACATACTAATCTGAGAATGTGGAAAAGATCCCATCGTCTTATTTTCCAGTTCCCTTCCCATTTCTCTTTTCTTTATATTTTACCTTATTTTCCTCTTTGATTAGGGGAGAAAACTAGCCATTAGTAAATTTGTATTTTGTGTAGGTAATGATTGTAACATATTTTTGTATTCTTAATTTTCCCTCTTGATGTTTTTTTTCAATATCAAACTTTATTTATTATTATTATTATTATTTTCCTCGTACAGAGAATTTGTTTTGATATTTCATGCATAATTTACATAATCACTTTAACATTTTAAAAATACTTTTTATAATGGCTATCAACTCGGATGTAGATATGAATTTTGTACTTTTTTAAATATGTATTATCATTGTTGAATCGATATTATATTATAAAGCATCTATATACAATTCGCACGTTTTACTTTATAGTTTACATGAATGTTCATTATTGATTCTCAAATATCAGTTTGTACAAAACGATAACATTTAAAAAATACTTTTTATAATGGCTATCAAGGGAGGGGGAGAGCCCCAGAAGCTCAGAGATTTTAATATTTAACTACGGTCAGATGAGCATCCAGGGGCCGTCTTAGGGCCCTTGGTGTGGTCCAGGGGGCAGAGCCCCCGGAAGCTCAGGGGTTTTAGGTATTTAATAACGGTCATATGAGCATCCAGGGGCCCGCCTTAGGGCCCTTGGTGGGGTCCAGGGGGCAAAGCCCCCGGAAACTCAGGTGTTTTAGGTATTTAATAACGGTCAGATGAGCATCCAGGGGCCCGCCTTAGGGCCCTTGGTGGGGTCCAGGGGGCGGAGGCCCCGGAAGCTCAGGGGCTTTAGGTATTTAATTACGGTCAGATGAGCATCCAGGGGCCCGCCTTAGAGCCCTTGTTGGGGTCCAGGGGGCAGAGCCCCTGGAAGCTCGGGGGTTTTAGGTATTTAATTACGGTCAGATGAGCATCCAGGGGCCCGCCTTAGGTCCCTTGGTGGGGTCCGGGGGTGGAGCCCCCGTAAGCTCTGGGGTTTTAAGCATTTAATTACGGTCAGATGAGCATTTTTTTATACCTTATTTGTGACATTGGCAGGTCACTTATTTTTTACTCCGTCTTTCTTTCTTTTTCTCTTTAACATACTTTTTTAAAAAGGAGGGGCATATGGAAACGTTGTATCATCCGCTCAATCTGACTTGCGTGCATAGAACAAATAAGCATTTTTCCATGAAAAAGTGAAGTTTTCTAAAATGTACGTTTCTTTCCAGCATTGGGGCGCCCGGGAGTCACTCGGGTAACATTTCATAAAGTATAATATAAAAAGACAATATGCAAATTTTGTGTACTTTTGTCGGAAAAAATACATTTATCCAGCACAATGTCGTCTCTTTTTGCGTTGGAGAAGAGCAAATAGCGAGTTTCAATCACACTTTGGCCGCTCTCGCAAGCTCTCACTCGTTTCACTGTGGTCAAGCGACTTTGGGGCAAGCGGTTAATGAAAATACTAATCGTTAGCTTTCCTCTGGTATTAAACTTGTTTTGATTAATTGTATAATTTTGTCGGAATAAAGGAAACAAAAAGGCTCGACCAATATCTTATCAGCGTCTGAATTGACCTTTTGACCTTGAATTCCCTGATGAAAGCGCACTAATGACGTCATCTTCGCTAAATCGGTGTCTTTTATCGTAAAATGCGACACTTTCACAATGTTTATACATCTTTTTTTAATTATTAGTAAGATATAACATATTTGATCTGATATCACTGAAGTTTTGGGTTTTATTTAATGAGTAATTTTAAAATAAGAGCCATTTTACTGTTTTAATTTACTGGATCGTACCATTAAAGTCGCAGGGTAGAAAGATGCAGTTTCCAACCGCGCCAAATTTAATTTACGTTCCGACATTCTGTTAAATGGGTTCGTGTTGTTAATAATCCACTGCTTTCTGCTCCAACAAACGTCCACATGCGGAGTCGTTTATCAACTAAATTATTCAAATTCATGGATGCTTCCTAGCTTCCCAGGTGTTTGTGTTGTTGAAGCATTTCATTCACCTGCTATCATTCTTTGTACTCCAATTGCCAGAACGCAAATTTCATTTTGGTTTTATAGTTTCATCGGAGTCGTTTATCAACTATATGTATTCAAATTTATGAATGCTTCCTCCCCAGGTGTTTGTGGTGTTTATGCATTTCATTCACCTGTTATTATTCTCTGTACTCCAATTGTTAGAATACAAAATGCATTTTGGTTTTTATAGTTTCATGTAATAAGTAAGTCAATAAAAGAGTATGTTCTGCACAATAAAAACAATGTGTGTCCCTATTGTACAATGTAATGTGTCCCCTCATTTTGTAATAGTTAATTTACCCATTAACATAATGGAACTACCTGCCCGATGAAGCCAGTGGCCTGTGACCCCTGAGCACTCAACACCGTGTGGGAGTCAGTTTGGGTTAACTTCTTTTATGAGACAAATACAAGCAAACGTTTCCATATGGGGGGGGGGGGGGGGGGGGGCTCGAGCCCAGCCACTTTGCAGACCATGACATAAAGGCTTCTAAATAAGCGTATTTTGCCTGACTGTAATGTGGGAAATTCTTATTTTCCAACAAACGCATAAAAAGGTATGACTTACACAAAAAATGGAGAAAAAATGCCGGAAAATCATGTCACAACATCAACATTTGTAAATCACTTGTTTCGAATAAGAAATACATAACCCCCTCCCCCCATCAGTACGCCAGCGTTCAGGGGCTCATGTCTTCTCAGCCCTATAACAACAAAAAAACGGACACGCTTTCCCATTCTCGCACAATAATGTCCACGATATGCGCGTATCGCTATTATAGAGACCTCCATTTAAAATACCGTATAGGTGGCATGCGCAATGTTTATGAAATTTAATTCCTGTGAACTTTTCCTTTTTCTTTGATTGGAATTGTATATGTGAATTAATTCAGGTTTTTATTATTGTCACGTTCTTTTGGATTAAAAATACAAACCATGTTTACTCCTTTACTGTTTTTTTTTTTTGGAGGGGGGGGGGGGTTTTTTTTTTTTTGGGGGGGGGGCAAAAATGCGTTTTGCCCCCCACTTTTTTGACTGGGGGGGCAACTGCCCCCCTGCCCCCCCCCCCCCCACTTCCGGCGCCTATGAATCGGATGCAGATATGAATTTTATACTTTTTTCTATTTGTTATCATTGTTGAATCGAGATTATATTATAAAGCATCTATATACAATTCGCACGTTTTCCTTTATAGTTTACATGAATGTTCATTATTGATTCTCAAATATCAGTTTGTACAAAACAATCAGGTTGTAAAAGGTAGATTTGTGGTTATCACGACAAGTCCAGGCGCGGATTCAGGGGGGCGAGCGGGCCTTGCCCCTCCCCCCTCCTCCCCCGCCAAAAAAAAGAGAGCGAGAGAGAGAAGGAAAAGAAGGGAAAGGGAAAGAGGAGAGAAAGAGAAAGAAAGAAGAGGAAGAAGAAAAGAAAATAAAAGGGGAAAAAGAAGGAGATCGGGGGGTGGCGAAAGGGCCTTGCCTCCCCCCATCAAAAAATAAGAAAGAAGGAAGGATAGGGAAAGAAAAAAGGAAAAAGAGGAAGAAGAAAAGAAAAGAAGGGGAATATCAGCTGCAATTTTCTCGCCAACAAGTTGTGGATCGGGGGGGGGGGCAAAAGGCCCTTGCCTCTCCCGACCCCGCCAAAAAAAAGAGTGAAGGAAGGGAAAGGGAACGAGGAGAGCTAAAAATGAACAAAAAGAGGAAGAAGAAAAGAAAAGGGTGAAAAGAAAGGGAGATCAGTTGCGATTAATCCCGGCAACAACGTGTGGATCGGGGGCCGAAAGGCCCTTGCCTCCTCCTCCCCCCCCCCCCCCATCAAACCTTAATGAAGATAAACATGTACACTATTGGCCTTTAAAAAAAGAAATAAAGACTGAGGATTATATGATTACGGGAGAACGAATCAGGAACGATGTCCCCAGATAAAATACTGAGAAAATAGCCTTCGTTTTAAAACAATGCTTCTCTCTTTAAAGATAGTGATCTTTGGAGATCAATAAATGTGTTTTGAATTTTCGTTAACATCCTAACCTAAGAATGCCGGAGGTGCCTATTGGGATATGCATAACCTTTTGAATATTATTCCCCCTCCCCCTCGGTCTCTCTCTCCACATTCCCTCTTGCTTTCCCCTTTTATTTCTACCTCTCTCTCTCTCTCCATCACCCCTCCTTTTCCCCCTTTCTTTCTACCTCTTTCCACCTTCTATCTTTCCCCTTTCTATCGTTCCCCTCCCTCTCCCCTCTCTCTCCACCTTCCTGTCTATATCTCTTTGTTCACCTCCTTTCTGTCTCCCTCTCCCTTCCTCTCTCCACCTTCCCTCTTCCATCACCCCCCCCTTTTTTTCTACCCTTTCTTTCTACCTCTCTCCACCTTCTATTTTTCCCCTTTCTATCGTTCCCCTCCCTCTCCCCTCTCTCTCCACCTTCCTGTCCATATCTCTTTGTTCACCTCCTTTCTGTCGTGTCAGTGCTGTAGGACGCGCAATGCCGTTGCGCGGGGCCTGTATCACGAGTATAAGTGAGTTGGCTGAAGTTAGAAGCCTAGTACAGAAGTATAATCGAGTACAACAGTTGCGGGGCCTGGGCCTATATCACGATTTTAGTTATCAGAATCGGTTTTATATCCCCTTTTGAATGGTTTGAAATGCCATCACATTTATATACACTAAACTCATTATAATTTGAGAAATAATAGCTCTGCAATTATGTTCATTCTTAATGGGATGTCGTCTGCTTGGGCAGTATTGGTCCATTGAGTGACGTCATTAAAACATCGTCATTTTTCTGGCAAATCTCTCGTATATATCCCAGATGCTATGGAGGTGGTTGTATATGTATTTTTATAAATCACCCGATATGTAGTTGACCTATAACTTGTACGGTGGCCATCTGTTAGCTTACCAGTTTCTAGTGATACATTAGTTGACATGATTATTTGTGATTTTTGTTTGTTTTGAATTAAAAGATATGCCGGTTTAAGTATCTTGCAACTTCAAGATAAAATAGAGTTCTGGTCATGCGATCACATTGTGAAAGATTTACTGTGGGGTTTTATTATACGAGGAATGAGACAGAAAAATCATGAGACAAGAAAATGATCATGTAGGATATATTAAGATATGAGTATTGATGTGTACTGCACTGGCGTACTGGTGGGGAGGGGGGGGGGCTTGGGGGGGGGGGCGCCAGCCCCCCAAATAAAATTGAACCATGACTTATTTTCAATTCCGTGATGTATAAATGTTCGTGATATCACATTATTTTCAACAAAATGCGCGTTTCTCCATTTCTGTTGCAAACTGACACATTCCCAAATAGCCAGGAAGAGCATATATTTTTTTTTATAGTCACTAAGGGGCCGTGGCCACTAACAGTAACACTATTAAAATAAATCCTTTCTAGAAGCAACTGTGACAAGCACTGCTGGGCGTTCCATACTTACATCATATAACACTGCAAATGTACCGTTAAGGGGCCAAGTGGGGAAATTGAATTCAGACAAGATTAAGAGTGGAGAACGGTAAAACGAATCGTCTTCTTTGTCTTACAATTTAATGAAACGGCAAAGCTTCCGCGCTTCGGGAGTGGGGGGGGGGGGGCAACTGAAGTCAGACTAGGATTAAGAGTCGAGAACAGTACAACGAATCGTCTTCTTTCTCTAATAATTTAATTAAGTGTCAAAGCTTCCGCGCTTTGCGCGGGATGGGCGAAAATGAATTCAGACAAGGATTAAGAGTAATAATTTATTGAAACGTCAAAGCTTCCGCGCTTCGCGTGAGATGGGCGAAAATGAATTCAGACAAGGATTAAGAGTAATAATTTATTGAAATGTCAAAGCATCCACGCTTCGCCCGAGATGGGCGAAAATGAATTCAGACAAGGATTAAGAGTAATAACATGAATCATCAAAGCTTCCGCGCTTTGCGCGGAATGGCGAAAATGAATTCGGACAAGGATTAAGAGTAATAATTTATTAAAACGTCAAATCAACCGCGCGGGAGGGGGGGGGAACTGGATCCAGACAAAGATCATGAATCGGGACCGGTATAGTGAATCGTCTTCTTTGTCTAATAATTTAATTAAGTGTCAAAGCTTCCGCGCTTTGCGCGGGATGGGCGAAAATGAATTCAGACAAGGATTAAGAGTAATAATTCATTGAAACGTCAAAGCTTCCGCGCTTCGAGCGAGATGGGCGAAAATGAATTCAGACAAGGATTAAGAGTAATAATTTATTAAAACGTCAAAGCTTCCACGCTTCGCCCGAGATGGGCGAAAATGAATTCAGACAAGGATTAAGAGTAATAACATGAATCATCAAAGCTTCCGCGCTTCGCGCGGAATGGGTGAAAAATGAATTCAGACAAGGATTAAGAGTAATAATTTATTAAAACGTCAAATTTACGGGAGGGGGGGGGGGACTGGATCCAGAAGAGGATTAAGAGTCGGGACCAGTACAATGAATCGTCTTCTTTCTCTAATAATTTAATGAAGTGTCAAAGTTTTCGCGCTTCGCGCGGGAGGGGGGCAACTGAAAAATAACTTAGTTCCTGGCCCCGGGTTTATAGGGTTAAATTTGTAGACATTGGGACATTGGCATTAATATATTTGTCGGTAATTGGTTGCTCGTTTTGTCGGTCATCGGTGGCCTCTACACTCTCCCCACTCCCCACTGAAACTTCTAACCAATCAGAAGGCCTCGTTTTTTCCAGGAAGTGCCGGTGGACATTAATGCGCCAAATTTGGTTCTCAAATTGCAAAAGATCCCTACTCTTGGAAGGGGTAGGAGAAAGCAATTTTACGTCATATTACTCCAGGAAGTGCCTGAAAATGCGTCTAACTTGGTTCTAAAATTGCAAATGCTTCTTACTTACAGTAACACTATTAAAATAAATCCTTTCTAGAAGCAACTGTGACAAGCACTGCTGGGCGTTCCATACTTACATCATATAACACTGCAAATGTACCGTTAAGGGGCCAAGTGGGGAAATTGAATTCAGACAAGATTAAGAGTGGAGAACGGTAAAACGAATCGTCTTCTTTGTCTTACAATTTAATGAAACGGCAAAGCTTCCGCGCTTCGGGAGTGGGGGGGGGGGCAACTGAAGTCAGACTAGGATTAAGAGTCGAGAACAGTACAACGAATCGTCTTCTTTCTCTAATAATTTAATTAAGTGTCAAAGCTTCCGCGCTTTGCGCGGGATGGGCGAAAATGAATTCAGACAAGGATTAAGAGTAATAATTTATTGAAACGTCAAAGCTTCCGCGCTTCGCGTGAGATGGGCGAAAATGAATTCAGACAAGGATTAAGAGTAATAATTTATTGAAATGTCAAAGCATCCACGCTTCGCCCGAGATGGGCGAAAATGAATTCAGACAAGGATTAAGAGTAATAACATGAATCATCAAAGCTTCCGCGCTTTGCGCGGAATTGGCGAAAATGAATTCGGACAAGGATTAAGAGTAATAATTTATTAAAACGTCAAATCAACCGCGCGGGAGGGAGGGGGGAACTGGATCCAGACAAAGATCATGAATCGGGACCGGTATAGTGAATCGTCTTCTTTGTCTAATAATTTAATTAAGTGTCAAAGCTTCCGCGCTTTGCGCGGGATGGGCGAAAATGAATTCAGACAAGGATTAAGAGTAATAATTCATTGAAACGTCAAAGCTTCCGCGCTTCGAGCGAGATGGGCGAAAATGAATTCAGACAAGGATTAAGAGTAATAATTTATTAAAACGTCAAAGCTTCCACGCTTCGCCCGAGATGGGCGAAAATGAATTCAGACAAGGATTAAGAGTAATAACATGAATCATCAAAGCTTCCGCGCTTCGCGCGGAATGGGTGAAAAATGAATTCAGACAAGGATTAAGAGTAATAATTTATTAAAACGTCAAATTTACGGAGGGGGGGGGGGGACTGGATCCAGAAGAGGATTAAGAGTCGGGACCAGTACAATGAATCGTCTTCTTTCTCTAATAATTTAATGAAGTGTCAAAGTTTTCGCGCTTCGCGCGGGAGGGGGGCAACTGAAAAATAACTTAGTTCCTGGCCCCGGGTTTATAGGGTTAAATTTGTAGACATTGGGACATTGGCATTAATATATTTGTCGGTAATTGGTTGCTCGTTTTGTCGGTCATCGGTGGCCTCTACACTCTCCCCACTCCCCACTGAAACTTCTAACCAATCAGAAGGCCTCGTTTTTTCCAGGAAGTGCCGGTGGACATTAATGCGCCAAATTTGGTTCTCAAATTGCAAAAGATCCCTACTCTTGGAAGGGGTAGGAGAAAGCATTTTACGTCATATTACTCCAGGAAGTGCCTGAAAATGCGTCTAACTTGGTTCTAAAATTGCAAATGCTTCTTACTCCCAGACCCACCCCCGCTTGGTCGCTCCGCTCCCTCGCCGCTAAAGCCTCGTTCTGTCACTTCATCGTTTTACATATATTTAACCCCCATGCTATTTTGTGCCCCCCCCCCCACCCCGGTAAGAAATTCCTGGATCCGCCACTGATGCCCATACCCCTTGAGCTTCAGGGGCTCCGCCACTAGACCCCACTTTGCGAAACGTTTAGCGGGGCCTGCATGTTAGATGTTAGATGCGGATTTGTTTTTGTGAGCCCCCCCCAAACATTTTTGCTCATTACGCCACTGGTGTACTGCAAGGTTCTGGAATCATTAAAATGATAAGAAATTTGACCCAGTCTTGGTAAAGTAACAAGCCCTGTACACAGAAAGATGTATATGGGACTTGACAAACATGTGTCATAAAAATGAGGTCCGATTTTAAGCTGTTACATATCATATGTAGAATACGAAGGCATTTGAAGAGCCATGCTTTTCAAGGAACAATTTTTCTCTGATGTTCTTTCACACTTGATAATAACAATGAAAACGCTCCCAAATTACATATCACCTCTCGCCAGAACTCAACCTTCTCTTTAAATTTGAGTAGAATACGGGCCAATGTGCCATTCTATTGATAGTTTCCTATGCTTAATTACTTCATAATCTTTGCCTATTTATATGTGGATGACAACTTGTCAACCTCTGATATGAGCTCAAAATTACTGTCATGTATTTATTATTTCAAACGAATTAATCCATCGCCATGCCCAATTCAATAGAAAATAATTTGGTGAAATGAATACGAAAACGCAATTTTAGTGACAATTTTATGTATTTTACGTTAGTTACAGAACTATAGCGGTATGTATGACGTTTGGAACTCCATGATAGTCGGTAGACTATAAAACGGTAGGCACTATTATCAGTCGTAGAACCATGTTTCTAAAAAATAGCCACAACTTAATGTAGATAAGGCAGCTCGTTTGCATTCATTTTCATACAGTAAAGACAGTGTGCATAAGGTACTCTCTTTAAAAAAAAGAGTGAATTTTCACTCTATTTTCACTTTCTTGGGAGTGACGTCCGTGATCACTTGTTTAGGAGTGAAAATCGATTGATTTTAGAGTGCTCTCTAAGAAGAAAAGAGTGAATGTTCACTCTATTTTCACTACATTTTCACTCTCCAGAGGAGTGACGTCCGTGATTTTGAAAATTCACTTTTTTTTTTTTAAGAGAGTAGGATTAGGGTTAGAGTTAGGGTTAGGGCTGTGGCTAGTTTTAGAAACTTGCTTCTTTTACTGAGTGAATATGCCGGTAGAGGATAGTTCCTGCGTCTCAATATTACCTTCCAATACTAAAAATGCAATATAAATAGAGATGGGTTAAGGGGTCGGGAATCATCTGCCTAGTATAATTAAGAGAGAATTGAAAAGGAAAGAAGTTGAAAAGAAGAAACAAACAAACAAACACACTAACAAACAAACAAATTGAGAATGATAGAAAAAATGAAAGAATGAAACAATATTGAAAAAAGGAGAGAAAGAAATAAAAGAAAAGTTGGAAGATATCTCTTTCTTTGGCAAGCACTGTATCCTGTACAAAAGTGGTTCACACATATAGCGCATGCGCAGTAGCTTTGGAAGGTTATATTGAAACCCAGGAACTATCCTCTACCAATAATGCCTAACCTAGAAAGAAAGAAAAATTCCATGTTTAGGAGGTAATGAAACTGAGTCCTGTTTCATAAAACTTGTTATCAATAACAAGTAACGATAACTGTTATAAGCTACTGCACTCGTGGAATTTGATTGGTTGAGAGCAAATTTGTCTTAGAAACTTAGCTGTTATTGCATAACAAGTCTAATGAAACAGGGCTCTAGTTTACATTTGAGCAATTTTCTGCTGCAATTAATCAAAACAAAAGAGATGTTCGACGCTTGTGCAGAAAAGCAGAGTTTTATTGAATAAGAAGAGATAAGAATACAAAAATGTGTTACAATCATTACCTACACAAAATACAAATTTACTTATGGCTAGTTTTCGACATAATTATGTGTGTCAGGAAATAAAAAGTTATTTCCTGGTAAATTGTTTTCATGGTCATTGCGGTAAGCAAAATGACAGTCTTAAAGGTGCAAAGATGAAAGAACTCCAGCATAACGACAATAACTAAGAATCACAATCCTCTCCAAAATTTGACGGTGGTGTTGTTTTTCCGAAGTTTCATACTTCCGAAAATGACATAGAATACTGTATCGGGGTTTTTTCCTCAGAAGTACGAACCTTCAGAATAATGAATACTATTTCATTTTCGGAATAATAAACCCTGATCCATTTTTAGAATTACGAAACTTCTGAAAATGAACACTCTTCCACTTTCGGATTTGTGAAACTTAGGATTAATGAATTTTCGGACCCTGTTTCATTTACGGAACGATGAACCTTCTTGCATGGATGTGTATTTCTGAATTACAAAACTTCGGAATTATGGGCCTTCGGTACAACGAACCTTGGAGTTCGGAAAACGACTGCCATCCGATCATGCGCTACAGAGTTGCTTTTTATTTGAGGGCCCTTATTTACTTATTCTCTCTTCCCCTTTGTCCAGGGAAATACAAAAGCAAGGGGGTAGAGATGGGAATTGGTGCAGTGGAGAGGTTAAGAGGGGCACGAGCTCATCCCCCCCCCCCTCTCATCAAAGAGGAAAATAAGGTAAACAAATATTTAAAAATAGAAAAAAGGGAAGGGAACTGGAAAATAAGACGATGGGACCTTTTCTACATTCTCGGATTAGTATGCCAATGTAATGTTGACACATTTCAAAAGGAAACGGACATGGCTGTTTAATGCTACGGTCACAAAGGTTCGTACGAATCTCCCTTTTTTCCATTGTCTTTCCGAATTTCCATTGTTTGAAAATCGTTCGTAGGCGATCTCGTTTAAAGAGCAACTTCCTTTTTGAGATCGCCTTTCGTATCTTCGTCCTTGTCTGCGGTCTTGTACAGCGCCAAGGCAAGAGCATAGAGGAATACGCCTACGAGCTTGAGGACGACGGCGATGACTGTGGTTCTCCATGCCAGACCCTGATTGTCGTAGACCCAGCATGAGCCTCGAGTGCCACAGGTTTCCTGCCATAGCAGACACGCGCCGTCGATGACCGCTCCGAACAGAATGGGGCCAGGAACGGCGCCTACGGTTCAAAGACAAAGTTATGGAATCGTTAAAGGTAAAGATCAGTATTGGAAACGCCCCAATTTCAAAAAATGAAATGGAAGCTCTCATTACCAATCATGTGAAAGAATATGTTTTGACTAATACATGATGATACAAAATTTGCCGGGAAACCGCCTACTAATTCATATATTTGGTAAATTTGTTTCTCTCATGGTCTTGTGAGAGATATAGGGTAGTCCCATATACATCTTTCTGTGTATAGTGCTTGTAACTTTACGAAGAATGGGCCAAATTTCTTATCATTTTGATGATTCCAGAACCTTGCAGATGCTAGATGCTAGATGATCAACCTTTTCTAATCGATTCCACAACGTTTCTTTCACAATGCAATCGGATGACCATTACTGGTCTTTTCCTTTAAGTCTCGCAATTGTTAAAGTGAAAAATACATTTACAAGCTTTCAGGTCATTGTTACGAGAGGCCCAATAGAGTTGAAATGTCATAATATTACCATAAAGATAAGTATAGTCTAGATAGGAGAGAGGAAGAAAGATGAATAAAAATAGATATATACCCAAGAGTCTTTTGAGTAGGGAGTTCAGTCCAAGGGCCATAGATCGCTGGGTATCGGGAACACTTCTGCAAAACAGATGGAACGAATGTTATTTGGTATTGTAAGTTTTACAGGAAGGCTTCCAAATTAAAGCTCTATTCTAATGTCTAGGTCAAATTTGCTATACGGCTAGGATACGGCGGCCGTACGCCCCCGAATTCGAGAGATAATTGCGGCGACCGCAAGGAATCTGCGGTTGCCTCAGGGTCACCCTAGGGCATATCCTTATCTTTACAGGCCGTACGGGTCGCCGTGGGATTATGACGCGGAGTTATAACTATTTTCATTTCTTGGTTCGCCGTAGCGGACATTTTTTTTTTTTTTGGAGTCTCGAAATTTCAAAATTTGACATTTTTCTTCGTTGGGGGGGGGGGGGGGGGTAAGGTCACCTTATTTTGGTTAGCCGTGTGTATAATTTTTTTTTTTTTTTTTTTTTTTTTTAATAATACAAAAAATAAATAACAAAAAAACCAAAGGGGGGGGGGGGGTTTACGTTTTTTTTAGGGGGGTTTACATACATAAAAATACCAAAGGGGGGGGGGTTTGAACCCCACACCCCTCCCCCCCCCCCCTGCGTACGCCCCTGACTTCAGTAAAACTGCAAGATCGACATTCTTGTGAGCTGTCGTTCTCGGGGGGTGTCGCCCGGCCTCCAGATAAATATCTCAGAATCTTATACCTTAAGAGGACGTTGAGCTCTGGTATGGAAGTTGTGAAGGTGATGATGATGAGGACGATACAGACTGCGGCATACACGAATGGATAGTAATACGGGCAGGGCGATGAACACGCACCAAAGGTAGCCGTTGTCGACTCCGCTAGGCCGGTCTCCGCCAAACAAGAACAGTCTATGAAAGTCTAGGGGAAGACAAGATAAGAGGTGACTGCCAATTGTTTAATTCATTTAACCTCACATCTAGCTTTCTTTTAATTGTTCCAATTACATAGTATTGGACAATGTAATCGAGAAGGTCCGTTTCGAAATCAACAACACAATAAGCATCGTAAGGTGATGTGATGTGACAAGACTATAAGAAGTTTACAGAGATTTTTTTCTTCTTCTAGTTTTCACTTTATGGCATCGCGATCAGGAGCGTCACTAGACCATTTTTGTGGGGATGTCGGACAAAATTTGCCGAATATGACTGTGACCGATGTAAGTTTGCCGATGAAGGTTAAAATTATTTTACACCACAAACCTCAAAGGTACTCGGTTTTTTTTCTCATTTGCCGATGGGCTGAAATCTTCCAGCTTTCAAACTCTACTTTAATATTGCCTTCAGGAATTCGATTTGGGTTTCCTCAATAGAAATATCCGTGTTTTGGGCTAGTCACTTGAACAAAATGAAGTTGCCTTCATATGTGACTACGTGATTTATACAATGAAATTTGCCGACTACAAATGAATATTAAGGTAAATAACTAGATAGGGGTGCCCCTTATGAGGGCCGTAGCCAGAGTTTGATGTTTGGGGGGAGGGGGGGGGGGGCACATACATGTAATTGATCTACGTCCTGGGGAGGGGTCTAAACAAGTTCAACCGATCTTTGATTTTTTTTTGGGGGGGGGGGCACGTGCCCCCCCCCCCCCGTGCCTACGGGCCTGCCCCTTATAGAGATGCCACTGGTTTTGACAAATATGTCAATGAAACCTGGAGCAAATGCAAGTCCATGTCAGCCACTGATTGCATTGTAAATCTTGACATACCCCATTCCAAAAACCCCATTTGCATCCTGCATGGCACGGTGACAAATATTCCATGGCATCACCATCTGCGCACACCGGAATATATCTGTCCTCTGCGCAGGAACATCCCGCGTTACAGGAATGAGTGACGTTGGTAGCGGTAAGCCTGGAACAAAAAGAAGGAACAATTAAACACACAAAAATAGGTTTGTTGAAGGACTTTGAAACACAGGTCGCAATGAATGTTGATACATGTGTGTTCTCGTGCTTGCTCATGAAGATTTGTTAATGCAAATATATTATATCACCCACATATTGCTCCGGTTGTCTCATTTTCGCTCGCTGGACGGTGCCAGCACAAACCACTGACCTCTACCTCCTAGACGGATCATCGCCCATTCCCGCCCGTGATAACGCTTGAAGTGGGCACGCACGCGCGGGGGCCATTTTACAATTCCAAGATCTAGAGCGATACGACTCACTATACGTTACGTACTAAAAGGCCGTATTGTCTGACTGTTCATGAATATTCATGTTTGTGCTTACCTCGGCAAAATGCTTTCCTCTACTAAATGGAAAAATTACGGTGGGGGTTGGATGAAATGGAAATAATGAACAAATCAGAACTGATCTATGATAATTCATGCTTCTTATCCTTCGTGTGCTTGACTTATAACCTTACAATCGCGTGGTAAATTGCGTCCAAAGTTCGACTTGTTGCACATGTGTTATATAGGCAATGGCGAGCTTGCGACCTATTTTTATGAAATTACTGTGGGTGAACTTTCAAAAGTCAATGATACATGAGGGTTCCAATGAAAAAGCTAGTGGTAACGTACGTCGGAGTGGATGTGCTTTACGTTTAAACAAAAGAAAATGAATTTTCAACGATTTTTTTTTTTTTTTTTTTTTTTTTAGGGGGGGGGGGGGATAAAAGTCCATATGATAACATGTTAGGCTGCTGACTCTGACGATAGGGGGCGTTGTCAAATGACACTAAACGGAGCTATATGTATCGACAGCAGTTATAGACTACACTGAACAAGAAAGGACACTCAAGATGTACCTAAAATTAGATTTAGGGCCTACAGTCAAACATATTTTAGTGACCACCTGTCTACAAAGACCACCTGTCTACAAGGACCACATTTTTTGTTTCCCTTGCAAACGGTTTCTCATTGAAACATGTACTAAAGGAATCTGTCTACAAAGACCACCTGTCTACAAAGACCACTGTTTGTGTTTTCCTTGGGCGGTCGCTGTAGACAGGTTTGACTGTATTTCTAAGTTAACTGCTCAGAAACTTCTCGTTTAGATTTTGCAAATTCATTGTTCTGTAACCTTCCAAAAAAGATGTCACAAAACTGCAACGACTTCAAAATTCTGCAGCCCGCCTATTAACATTCACTAAGAAATCTGATTCCATATCACCAATTCTCCGTTCTCTCCATTGGTTGCCAGTTGAAAAAAGGATTATTTTTAAAATTATGTTACTTGTACATCATTCAGTTTACTCTCTTTCTTCCCCTGCATACCTGAGCAACTCTGTTTCAAAATACAACCCCACACGAAGTCTTCGCTCCTCATCAGACACACTATTACTTAATACACCCAGAATAAAACATGCTTGGGGGTGAACGGGCTTTCTCAGCCATGGGTCCAAAACTGTGGAATAAGCTCCCTCTAAAATTACGTCAACTGTCATCGACAGAAACATTCAAATTACAACTAAAAACCTATTTGTTTCTTTCGTTGTAATTATTGCAATATTTTAATTTACTATGTCTAGGAGAATTCCGAATTTGTTTTTCGGTTTATTGTTTTTTCTTTCTTATGCCTGTTACATGTACTCTTTTCTAAGCGCCATGAGCACCGAAAGGTGGACCTGTGCGCTATACAAGTAGCCACTATTATTATTTATTATTATGACAAATTACCTTTTCAAGCCTGTAAATATGGTCAAAAGCAAATGAAAGGTGGGGGTGGACTTACTCCATGTCATCATATGAAGCAGTGACTCCCGCCAGTTTTGCCCTTGGACATTGCCAGAGGGTGATGAGGAACAGCATTCCAGCCAAAATGTTGCAGACGATTATCAGCCGAAGCATACCTTTGACCTTCAGTTTGAATTTGCGCATGATCAGACCACCGTTCAGTGTTCCTAGGATACCGCCGATGACCACGATGATACCTTGATGAAATAAACACACGGAGAGAGATGATTTTTATTTTTATTTGATTTGATTTGATTTATTTACCAACAGCAACAGCAATACATTTCATACAACAAGAAGAGAAACTATTGGTTGTTAAAAGGGGCCAGATAATAGCACATGTGCTAGTCGAGCCTAACCCCTTAAACAGCTCAACAAAGTATTTTAAGACGGTTTCAATAATCCAAGTAGGCTGTGCAGGTCGGACTGGAGCTGATATTCGGTTGAGGGCCCTCAGATCACAAATCAATGGGCCCTCAGGCCAAATATATCGTGGGGGGAAAGCACTCCACATGGCAGTGCTCCGATACCCCCCCCCCCCCGCGCCCTCAGCTCTCCTCTCGATGACAATGCCTACATTTCGCCGCTGTTTCCTTACCCAGGCACGTAGCCACGGGGGGGGGGGGGGCACGTGGCCCCCCCCCAAACATCAAACTCTGGCTACGTGCCTGTCCTTACCTTGTATGTTACTCTAATAATAATGATAACAACAACAACACCAATAGTAATAATATTTTTCATTATACAACGGAAGCATCATCAGCACCAGTGATGTTCTTCCTGAGGGCTCTGCAATTAATATTACCACATGGGGGGGGGGGGTGTTTCAACAAAGATCCCAATTCGGACTTAACTCTAAGTTGGACTTAAATATTATGGAGAGCCATTTTGTAGCCTTAGAATAGAACATATTCAAAAGCAAAAATTCAAGAATTTTATACTTTTTTTAAATTCCACATCAAGAACTCTCCTTGATAATAGAAAACATGAATCATTTGAATCAACATTTTATGCTTTTTAAAATAACGTTTACAAAATATTTGTATAGATGCTAACGGCTTTTCATAATGTTTATGTCCAACTTAGAGATAAGTTCAACTTAGTATCTTTGTGAAACACCCCCCTGGTATCCATTTATACCTGGTGGAGAGTATAGCAAATAAGGATTAATGTCTTGCCAAAGGACAAACGTGCCGGACTGGGAGTCGAACCCTCAACATTGGTGTTAGATAGTCAAATATGAACCACTATATCTCACCCCCCCCCCCCCAACGCTTGGTATCATGATATATTCATGGAATATATGATATCTACTTTATCAATTCAATTCAATTCAATTTATTTTGCCAAGCAATACAAAACATACAGGGTAAAACAAAAGCAGTATACAAAGTTTCACACGATTACAATTACTAACAAAAATAAACACAGAAATACACAGAATCAATTTACAAACATGAATGATAAAAAGGAAATTTCTAATACTGGTAGCAGCCAGAAAGGAGGTGGTCCTTATATGCGGCTGATCAATTAATCAAATATAAAAAATTAGGCTATAATAACAAGTAAAACAAATAACAATTCCATTTAAAATATAATGAATTTAACAACCGTTAAAATCTTTACCTGTCAGTATTGTAGCCAAGCTTGCAGATACACTGAACTGGTTCTCGAAGAACTTCGGCAGGAACGTCCCGAAGGAATTAATGATAAGCGTATCGGCAACGCCTCCGAGACAGGTGAACATGAAGGTGGGGTTGACGAACAGGTATTTGATAGCTTTGAAGAAGTCCGTGGGTTTAGTCCCGAAACCTGCTTGACTTGTCACGTTTGACCCAGCGTTCTTGTGTGACTGGTCTTCCTTCTCAGCTCGAATCTTTGCGGTGGCTGAAAAAAACAAGTTACCATGAACTCTGATAAAACATCATCAAACTTGTTTTCCGTTTATAATATTTGCTGCAATATCTTCCTGTATGCTCATTAACAATTACCTATTTCTAACTACACAAGAAATAATGTGACCCTTAGTCAGAATAAAATGATAGTCACATTGTATATCGCTTAATACTTCGTTTCTCCGCGCTTAACACCCTCGGATTCAAATGCTCTTCCACTAACGTAATGCACGCTCTCCTCTTCTCTGGAGAATATATTCCAATCAGGCGCCATTTTACACGAACATAGATGCTGATCAAACCACATGAACTTTCGCATCCTATCGGGTACCATTTTAACACCTGGGTGGAGAGTGACAAAGGGCATCGGTAAACCCTTGACCATGGCAATTTCAGACAAGTGAAAAACCTACTCGACTACAGCACTTCTACATGTGAACTTTCCTCGTTATGCCCGTTGTTCATAAAGCGTTATTTCGATTTATTTGAATATTTCGATTGCAGTATTAGTATGTTTCAACTGCCCATGTTATCACTTTCTGTACTATTCCACGGGGTCAAGCTTTGCACAAGACAGTTGCTGACGCAGACATACGCCAGTAAATGACGGTTCTTGCACAACGTTCAGAAATATACAGAACCCTCAGTGGATATATTGGGTACGCCTGTAGAAAAAATGAATTATATGAGCTAGATCAATATACGAGATGACAATGGAGCAATGGGCTATCCACCTAGTCAGTAACTGGTCTGCTTCTTTTCTGCGACTGAGTGAGGGGTGATTATGACGTCAGAGCGCTTGAACGCTTGAACGCTGAACAGTCGGATCGTAAGGTGTGCGGTGTCCTTGAGTTAACCATGCATTTTTTTCTTCCTAGTATGTGGCTTATAATTTCATTGGAATTAAAACAAACAAATATTAATGCAACTTACTAGGCAATTCACGAGGGAAAAGACTCATAGGTACGGCGGTGATGAGGAGCATGACGAAAGATATGATGAAACCAATCCACCAAGCACCTACCCAACCAGGATCAAGGGGCGATAGATTAAGCCTGTGGCACCATAGTAAAAAAATATCTATAATTTCTCCTCCATTGCGCACGAGACGTTATTTCGATTGCGTCATTCACCTGCGCTAAAACAAGCTTGTGATGGTAATGAGCAAAATCGCCAATAGTTCAACGCAATGTTGGTATTTGTATTATTCATTTTACACTCATTTTTTGTACGACTGACGCAGTTTGTGTTGCGTCAGTAAAATGAAGCTGCGTCAAAGTGTATTAGATGACGTAATATACAAAAAAAAAAAAAAAATTGCAAAGAGAATGCGTCGCGTACCGCATAATGTTGATTTCAGGGTGAGTGCCACATCCTACCCCATAGGTTTTTATAGGTGTCTTACCCTTCTGGTATTCGTAGCTCTGTAAAGTAAGACAGGCACACACCAGCAACCAAGAAGCCACATCCTGGTCCCAAAGTTGCCACAGCGTAGAATATACCTATATATTCGTGAGAATTGTGAGTTTAGAGGATCAATTCCATAGTTAGATTTCACATCTTACACATTTCACATCAATTACAACAACGAGGAAGGGAATTCAAAGATTAAACCAAATCATCTGGTTCCCTTACACGTTGCTTCTATTAATTAAAAAAAAAACAATTTTTTATGCAAAATGTTCCGTTACTATGACATGCACCTCACACTGACGCACAATATTTCATGATCCCCAGATAGCTCCAAGGAGTAGCTGACCTGCTGAAAGGAAGGGTTTAGCATTACCCCCTTCCCGGCGGCCCTTGTAAAGCTCACCGCATACAATATGATTCGACTGCAATCCGATTTTATAATAAATAGTATCTACAGTAGATATGGACATTAAAATATATACAGTCAAACCTGCTTTAGTGACCACCTGTCTTCAAAGACCACCTGTCTACAAAGGCCACATTTGTTGTTTCCCTTGAAAATGGTTTCTCATTGAACCATGTACTAATGGAACCTGTCTGCAAGACCATCTGTCTACAAAGGCCACTTTTTGTGTTTCCCTTGGTCCGTCGCTATAGACAGGTTTGACTGTATACTATTCTTCACTGAGTTTCTGAATAAAGATATGAATAATACAAAAATTGTCAATTTCTGAATGGTAAGACTTCAAGGCGAAGTTAAGGCTAAATCGGCTTGAAGTCGTATACAATCACACCACTGGTCTGACGTCACTACGATTCAGAGTCGATATGGCTTTTCTTCCTACATAGAGATTTATAATATCGAGAAAATTCGATTCTAAGATTCACATACAAATTCAGAACAACTTTAATTAGAATGTTTACTTATTTAAATAATCATATCAATTGATATTGCAAATTTGTCAAAAGTCGGATCGTAATGTGTGCGGTAGGCTTTGAAGTGACTTGGTAACATTGTTGAAGGTTGATGAAAAAATTGCTTTGTATAAAATGTCACTTACTATATTCCTTCTACTGTACTAACCCTCTGACATGCAAAAAATCCTGACAAAATTCTCAAACCACGAAGATATCTATGGTTTTCTGTGAAGGAGTCGATGTACGACACCCTCTAACAGTGATTAACAGTAAATTCTCCCAACCATTTTTGAATTTTCCCAACCGTTTTTCCATGATAAAAAGACATAAAACAGGCTATAAAACATCTGTCAACACTTAAATGTCTGGAATAGAATGTAGAGCCATTTTATTGCTTTGTGACGATTTCCATTCACCTAAAATGTAATTAAATTGTAATAATATAGTTGGGAGAATTAAGGAATCGATCAGATCAGTTTTTCTCAATTTGTACCATGAATAATGGTCCGTTTTCACTCAAATTTTCAGATTATCTTTAATTGTACATCTAGCATTGAAGTCACTACCTTAGCACCACTATGTCTCATCTGAACAATGTTACCAGGTCCCTTTAATATGCCAGTGAAACTATGTACCAATGTAGATGCCATTGTTGGAACTCGTAACTGACTCGTCTAGGGCTGCAAGTCCGAGTGTATACATCGGCAGGGCCCCTATAGCTCCTACTGCCATGGCTGCCACGAACACGTAGTAGTACTTGAACAAATCCGAACTCGTCGTCGTGGTCGTCGACGTCGTACTCGAACATTCATCAACCGATGCGTTGCCGGTAGTGCAGAAGAAACTGGGACCGGCACTGGCGTAGGAGTACGTCGGCGTGGTGAAGTGTGGGAGGGCGAAGAGACCGGCGGCGATGGCGATCAGGACACACCCTACAGAGACCCATCGGAGCTTGTGACCTCGACCACCGAGGTAACAGACGAAGAGGACTAGGAAGACGCTGACGATGTCGTAGATGCTGATCAGGAGGCCGGTTTGCTGACTGGAGAAGCCGAAACGACGCTCCAGGGAAGTGATCGAACTTGGGAGGAAACCGTTGACGAAAAAACCCTGTCAAACAAGAAAATAAAATTTAGCTTTGTTTACGTTTCCTTTTATATTTTCCACTTCTTCTTTTTTTTTTTTTTGGGGGGGGGGGGGGGGAGCATTTTGACGTGTAAACCAAACCGTTGTAATTGTGTTCCTTTATAGTAATGTGAACAAAATAATGAATGATAATCCCAGAACAATGATAATTTGATTTATAACTGGAAGATGCCATTTTAAATCTCAAATCTATAAACTATATTCTTTTGGGAAAAGTCGAGAAGTCAATATTTTTACGGCGCAAACAAAATAAGATCTTCGAAACTATAGTTGCGGCGACAACACGGGGGCGGCGGACTGATTTTGCCGAGGCATTTCTTTTTGTTCTGGTATAGGGGGAGGGTTAAAGAAGAATGAAATCCCATCTGACCTGGAAAAATGTGCCAAGACACATGACGACGAGAAGCCACGAAGCGGTACACATCTTCTGAATCCATCGTGGTCGACAACCCAACCATCCACAGCTCAGGCCAGCTCTTCCGACATCGTCCGGTGATCTGACGCCGCCGTTGATGTCGGTTTGGCCGTTCATCCCGTGCTTTTCGTGACTTCCAGATGCGCGGTCGTTGTCCATTTCGACATCGTGCATCTCTTGAAGGATGTCGCGGTCGTGTTGTGACGACCTCCGACCTCGTCTCCCATCGTGTAGTGCGGTGATCAATGGTCTCCGTGGATTGATGGAGTTACCCCTACTTGGTATAAGTATAAATACATCTGACGGTTATTATCATTTAAACAATTAAAACTGGCATCAGACTGAAGAGTTTGCATATTGTATAAGTTGGAGGATGCCAAAGTAATTTGGAATACGATTTATGATATGTATTCAAAATAATTTTTTTCAAATAATCTATTTTCAAAGAAGTGCTTTTGTATTTTCAATTCAATGTTCACTCTTTGACCATTCAATGTTCCCAAATCTATTTGAGTCATTGACATATTCAGCACGCAAAAAGACATATTAGAGGAGCACACAAGGTATGTTTGTTACTGATACATGAAAGGAAAATGTCAGCACGACAGTCACATACCCCAGGGAGCAAGCAAGCTCCTATAGTATTGTCTTGTTAATGAAAGGGTTTGAGATTTTTGACGACCAATTAACTGCAGCTGAAGCCAGAACTTGGTTTGACTCGCCTATACGGTTTTAATTTACAACATGATGTATTCTTCACTAAATAAAGTAAGTGATATTTATCAAAATAATGCGTTATCATGGGTAAATTACCACTCAACACATTTTTTTAAGTGCTTCCGTATTTTATACTGATCAGTATGAGTTAATGTGCACAATTTGGTGGTTTTTAGACCAAATTGGGAACTTTTAGTGCACAATTTTGTTCAGCTATGCCGCCGGACTAATTTTCTTACAAAAGAATAAAAGCCCAGAAAGGAGCTGGTGATCCCAAACGTTTCGTTCTGCATGCAGACGACCAATGCCAAAAATTTAATGTTAAAATAATCGTCGCCTGGCTGGCAAAAGGGCGTCAGCTCGAATTTCAGGTCAATAATGAAACTTTAAGCAGAAGGGCGTTAGCACTAAATCGCCTCAAACTTTTATAAAACTGACATATTTCCGAGGAAAACATTGTGGCCGTGTTCTACTACAACCCGAGACTACAACATTTGTATTAGTCTTGTATGTTATAAACCAATTTTCGGGACGGAAAGCAGTTTAAATATAAAACAAATATTAAAATGCGAATAATTTGAAAAGTAGTTTTCGAGTCGCTCGCGCGCTAACACCCTTCTGCCACCCGGCCGACTCATAACTCGATCTATCACACCGCCAAACATACTCCAAGCCAACATAAAGTTGGCCATTCGGTGTAAAGCAATATTTCGTTCTGTCTATATATTATCGGTTTGGTGTTGGTCACGTCGGTGTTATTGGGGCATATTAAACTCATAAAATTATTTTGAAAGTTTCATCACCTTGTTTCCCTCTTGATGTTATGATATTTTTTTACCAAAAGCAGTTTCGAATAAAGGTTGCATGTTAAAGAAGAGTGATAGTCTGCAACAGGTGACTTACCTCTTTGTAACTTTAGGAGGCTGTGGAACCGGAATCTAAAGCGTCTTCATGTATATCACTCTTTAATAACTTTTGTAAAACTACTTTCACTATTATGCCCTCTGAAGAGATGTTTCGAAATCGGATCTTAATTCCTAATCGCTAGGATGTCGCAAATCCTCATTAAAGTTCACTCCTAAGTTCAATGGCTCAGTACTTCTGTGCGCATTCATGACTTTAAATCGGGAGATGTCTCTAGAAATGTCATCGGTGGTATTTCGTTGGGGAGGACACGGTCGGGATAGATAGGCCTATGGTTGAATGGGGGCATAACATTGCAAACCGCGCGCCCCATTCAAGGTTATACGGACTTTTCCTTCACTTGCCATGTTTGAGCTGGATAAATATTCGACTCTCTTTATCTTTGTCATGACTGGTTAAGAGTAAATAGAGGATCGAAGGCTGGTTATTGTGATTGGTAAACTGAAAGTCCGTAGTATACTTAGTATTACATAATACTTTGGGTTCTAAGATTTCTATCCCATCGGGAGGATCATCGATCCCTTGGCAAGCCGAATCAAGATTGTAGACCTTGTTCGTAAGCTTACAGCAACCTCACAATAAGGTTGCAGCGTACATTCTGCAAGTCCTGCAGGTTTTCAGAGGGGCATGTAAGCAGGGGCGTCGCTAGACCTTTTTCAGTGGGGGGGGGGGGGGGTGTAGAGGCCACCAATTACCGACAAAACTAGCCACCAATATTATTACCGACAAATATATTAATGCCAGTGTGCCATTGTTTACAAATTTTACCCCATAAACCCTGGGCCAGGGGCTAAATTATTTTCCCTACGAAATATGAGGCGCGTGGCTAGGATTTTATTTTATGGGAGGGCGGTAGTGAGCACGCGAAGCGCTCTCCCTAAGGGGTGGTGCCAGGCGCGGATCCAGGGGGGGCCGAGCGGCCTTGGCCCCCCCCCCCCCCCCCCCCCCGCAAAAAAAAAAAAAAAAAAAAAAAAAAAAAAGAAGAAAGGAAAAGAAGGGAAAGGGAAAAAGGAGAAAAAGGGAAAGAAAGAAGAGGAAGAAGAAAAGAAAAGAGGGAAGAAGGAGATCGGGGGTCGAAAGGGCCTTGCCTCCCAGGCTGTTTACCCCCCCCCCCCCCATCAAAAAAAAATAAGAGAGAAGGAAGGAAAGGGAAAGAAAAAAGGAAAAGAGGAGATACTGGCGTACTGATAGAGGGGGGGGGGGGCTTGGGGGAAATCAAATTCAAACGTCGTTTATTTCTCGTTCCACAACGGTGGATTACAAATAATGCTGAAATGACATAATTTCCGAAATTTTTCCTCACTTTTTAGTAAATTATACGTTTGTATGTGTTTGTTGAAAAATGACAAATTCCTAAATTTACAACTAGGCAAAAAATATGATTCTTGAGATACGTACATGTCAGGGCCCGAGGTACGGCGGGGATCGAGAGCCTCGAGCTCCCCCCCCCCCACTTTTCTTGACAAAGTATATCAAAGAGAAATAAAATAGAATGAGAGCAAGAAAGTGAGAATAGTTAACTGCCAGTGTTAACAAAATAATGAGGCATCAAAATGTGCTCATCTGACCGTGATTAAATGCCTAAAACCCTTAAGCTTCCGGGGGCTTTGCCCCTGGATTCCATCTAGGGCCTTACTGCGGGCCCTTAGATGATCATCTGACGGTAATTTAATGCCTAAAACCCCTGATTTTTTGGGGCTCCGCCCCCTGTACCCCACGCCAAATAGTGACTTGCCAGTGTCACAAAATAATAAGGTATTCATAAAAATGTGCTCATCTGACCTTTATTAAACGCCTAAAACCCCTGAGCTTCCGGGGCCGGCTCCGCCGCCTCGACCCCACCAGGGGCCCTAAGGCGGGCCCCTGAATGCTTATCTGATCGTAATTTATTGCCTTAAACCCCTGAGCTTGCGGGGTCGGACAAGGTATCAAGATGTGTTTATCTGACCGCAGGCGCGTAGCCAGGGGGGGGGGGTCCCCCTCCAATCGGAAGAGGACGTAGGAAGAAAAAGGAGCAGACAAAGAACATCTTTGAAATTCAGACAAGGATTAAAGAGTATAGAGAACGGTACAACGCATCGTTTTCTTTCTCTAATAATAAAACGTCAAAGCCTCGCGCAGGAGGGGTGGGGGGGGGGGGGGGACTGAATTCAGACGAGGATTCAGAGGCGAGAACGGTAATACGAATCTTTAATGATTTAATGAAACGTAATAGCTTCTGCGCTTCGCGCGGGATGGAGGGGGAACTAAATTCCGATGAGCTTTATTTTCGAGAACGGTACAATGAATCGTCTTCTTCTCTAACGATTAAATGAAGATTAAAAGATTCGGCACTTTGCGCGGGAGGGGGAAACCTGAATTCAGACGAGGATTAAGAGTCAAGAACTGTACAACGAATCGTCTTCTTTCTCTAATGATTTAATGAAACGTAGAAGCTTCCACGCTTCGCGCAGGAGGGGGAAGGGGATGGGGACTAATTTTAGACAAGGATTAAGAGTCGAGAACTGTACAACGAATCGTTTTCTTCCTCTAATGATTTAATGAAACGTAAGAGCTTCCGCACTTCGCGCGGGAGGGGGGGGGGACTGAATTCAGACGAGGATTAAGAGTCGAGAACGGTACAACAAATCGTCTTCTTTCTCTAGTGATGTAATGCAACGTAGAAGCTTCCGCGCTTCGCGCAGGAGGGGAGGGGGGGGGGACTGATTTTAGACAAGGATTACGAGTCGAAAACTGTACAACGAATCGTTTTCTTTCTCTAATGATTTAATGAAACGTAAAAGCTTCCGCGCTTCGGGCAGGAGGGGGAGGGGGGGGGACTGAATTTAGACGAGGATTAAGAGTCGAGAACTGTACAATGAATTGTTTTCTTTCTCTAATGATTTAATGAAACGTAAAAGCTTCCGCCCTTCGCGCGGGGGGGGGGGGGGGAACTGAAATTAGACGAGGATAAAGGGTCGAGAACGGTACAACAAATCGTTTTCTTCCTCTAATGATTTAATGCAACGTAGAAGCTTCCGCGCTTCGCGCAGGAGGGGGAGGGGGGGGGACTGAATTTAGACGAGGATTAAGAGTCGAGAACTGTACAACGAATCGTTTTCTTTCTCTAATGATTTAGTGAAACGTAGAAGCTTCCGCCCTTCGCGCGGGAGGGGGGAAACTGAAATCAGACGAGGATAAAGGGTCGAGAACGGTACAACAAATCGTCTTCTTTCTTTAAAAGTTTAATTAAACGTCAAAGCTTCCGCGCTTCGCGCAAGAGGGGGAGGGGGGACTGAATTTAGACAAGGAGGGAAAAAACTACAACGAATCGTCTTCTTTCTCTAATAATATAATGAAACTTCAAAGCCTGGGAGGGGGAAACTCGCCCCCCTTGCACCGATCCCCCCCCCCCGCATTACGCCACTGTTGGTCGCCATTACGTACCAATATTTGGCTCGCATAATTTCAAATTTGGCCCCCCCCCCCTAAAAAATCCTGGATCCGCGCCTGGGTGGTGCAGTGAGGGGGATGTTTCCCCCTTCCCGCGGGAGGCGCGGAAGCCTTTGTCGTTTAATTAATTTATGAGGGAAAAATGACGATTAGTAATTTTGTACCGTTCTCGACTCTCAGTATTCCTTGTCTGATTTCAGTTCACCCCCCCCCCCCTTCCGCGCGAAGCGCCGAAGCTTTGATGTTTCATTACATTAGAGAAAGAAGACGATTCGTTGTACCGTTCTCGAGCTTAATCATTGTCTGAATTTTCAAAAATGTTTCCTGGTCCAATGAAAAGTCACGATTCGTATAGGGGGAAAAATTTGCCGGCTGACCGACAAAATACATCTCACCGACTTCAAATGTTTGCATTGATATTATACACGAGGATCGAGCAAGAATACCGACACAGACAACATTATCTCTGCGTATTCTTCTTGCTCCGTCGACGATGGCGACTCCACCCAACATCTCCCTCCCCCCCCCCCTCTCTCTCTCTCTCTCTCTCTCTTATACCCACCCCTCCTCTCTCAGGCCCTTAACCGAGCCCATCCCCTCTCTTCTCTCTTCCATCCCTGATTGTTGGGGTTTCCTTTTTCTCTTTTTCCCTTTTCTCCTTTTCTTTCTTTTCTTTCCTTTCCTTTCGTTCGTCTTCTTCCTCTTTTTTTCTCCTGCTTTCTTCTCTTCTCTATCCTTTCTTTTCCTTTTCTTTTTTTCCATTCCCTTTCCCTCTCCCCCTTTTCTCATTTTTCCCGACAGCAGCGCAATTTTACCGACAATATCCTGACAGGTGGGGGTGTCGCACCCCACACCCCCCCCCCTTTAGCGACGCCTCTGTTTCCCACCACAAAGATATATAAAGGTGCACTTTGTCTAAACAAATCCGGGAACTATACTCAAAGGTTTTTTGTTTTTAATTCTTTGATTGGGGAAAAAAATGGTGCATATTTTCTACCTTAAATTTATAGACAAGTTTTGGAAACGCCTCCATTAAAAAAAAATGAAATGGAAGCTTTTTATCATGTGAAAGAATATGTTTTGACTAATACGTGATGATACAAATTTTGCAGAGAAACTGCCTACTAATTGACATATTTGTTGAATTATCATAGATGTCGCGAATGCACAGCAACATCATATTGAACATTGGTGCATATATGTTTCTGCCTTTTTGCTAATTTAGATTGAAGTCTATTGCCATATATAAACCTCTGAAGGCAATATTTAAACAATATTGAATTGAAATTTTGCACCCAAAACCCTTGAACCGCAATTTTACCACTACTGGTCCAAATCATCTCGTTGCCAGCGAAAAAGGAGTCCTGGAACAATCATTTGTTCACATTTGCCCCGGTTGGATTTAGTAGTACGCTACGTCAGTGTCCACAATATTGCCATATACTCTAGACCTAATGATGAAAAATGCTAGGGCATGATGAAATCTAGTGATCCTCCGACAAGAAGACTATCTTGTAGATTTTTTGTCTTTAATAGTCTTTATTTTAATACCCTTTTGCAATGTTTTTAGAACAAATAAATCTTGATAAACAGACAAATTTCGTTATTTGATTTTTTAATTTCTATTTCTACGTTTTATGTACAGAATTTAAATTTTTGATTATTTTACTCATCTTATTTTTATATTTTTGTATTGATCTCTTTTTATGAGATCGTAAAAGTTTGTAACATAAGACTATTTACCAAAGTGCGCATGCGTGAAGTACCAGCATGCAAATAATGGATCAGTTACGTGACCATGTGTAAAATGCGTATCGCTTGCACAACACGCGAAGCGTTCTGTGTGGGACTAATATTAAGTTACAGTGGCAGTGCAGTGTATTAGAACTATACGAGCTCAGAGAAAATGGCCCAGAAAATTGGAGATTTGCTTGGAAGGCTAGCTAAAGGACCCGCAGGACTTGGGAAAGGAGTTCAATTCCTCATTGGTGCTGCAGCAGTAGGATATGGAGTCAAAGAATCAATTTACAATGGTGAAATTTAACTTCTTATTTTTTTTCTTTTTCAATCACGATCACATAATTTGATGATTGATTCACCATGTTGATGTTCACATTCACAGTTCAATATTTTTGGAGATTAAAATTCACTCACATTCTTTGAGTCAGGCAGGACTAGTGGCCACACAATTTGCCATCAGTAAATCATCAAGTCAATTAGAACTCTGTAGTTGAATAGTACCTCTTATACTAGAACATGTAGAATAGATGATAAGTTTGCGAGTGACTCGGTGTGAGTGTGAGTGTGCTTTCATTCCAGGCATCTAAAAATTTAGTAAAAATGTGATTTTTTAGTGCAGGCATTGGGTCTGTTCATTAAAATGCAAAGGAAGTAGCCTTAAGTGTTAGGGCTAGGTGATAATGTGAATAGTCTGAGTATGACAGGATATCGGAAATGAGAATCGGCAGCGAAAATGCGGAGGATCCTTATTTTTGTGGACGCATCTGTAGTGACGGAGCGGAATATAATCTTACTGGGCCTAAATAACTACGCAATATGCTTAATTACAATACTAAGGGTCAATCCTACCATAGGCTGTAGAAGTAACTGCTTGAAGTAAGTCTCAAGAAGCACCGATGAGTGGAGCTCCACGAAGCTACGTTGAGATCCGAGACTCAGAGGAACACAGCAAACGGCATGTCGGGCGGTTACAGTTCCAGTCCAAATCTAACCTACCCAGTATGGGATATGGCCAGGAAAACTACCGCGGGTGTCGCCAAATGCGGGACTTGCGCGCATATACCCGCCAGAGCCGTATTGGCTCAGGCTGAATCACTACATTATTCCCCACTTAATGAGTTTGCAGCCTACTTCTAACTAAAACTAAACTAAAACTAACTTAAAACTACTCCCGTACCGCAGTGCGGGGTCACGCCGTTCCCGCTGGTGGATGGGTCAAGGACCCTCCTTGCCAGCACCGGTGAAGTCTTGGCCTTTCCAGAGGGCGGGCGCCTTTATCATACCTTAATAAGTACTGTATTCCAAAATTTGGTACGGGAAATATATAAAAAACTACAAAACTACAAAACTACAAAACTACAAAAACGCCCGTTTCCAACAGAAAATACTTATGGCTAGTGATGCTAAAAACCAGGCCCTAGGAATGTTCAGGGAACCAGAAATATCCTAGCATCTGTAGCTTGGTATATTTAATTACTAAATAGGATTCAAGTCCCGGAAATGTCCCAGGGATCAAGAACATAAAGAAACAGAAATATACCAGTTAACCCTACCGTGCCGGTTATACATATTACATAATGACAAATTGCAAAACGTCTTGGCACAGGCATAAGGGATTAACCGGGGCATTACATTAAATTCCCAAGGTGACCGAGCATGAAAGTGTGAGTGATCAACATAAACGATGAATGGCAATAAGTGTGCAGAAAAGGGGAAGAGCCCAATGGCTCCCCATTCCCCAAGTTCAGTTTGGATGGTACAATGTCCAGAAACTGGGCAATCCCACATGAGAGCCAAACGGCTCCCTACAGGCAGTCCAAACGGTGCATATAAGAAGTATTAGAATGATAAAAGCAGATCACTGAAATCAGATGGAAAATGATATAGAAGGTGAAAACACTTCAACAAAATAAGATTACATTTTCTGGGCCACTTGGCACCCGGGGGCACAATAGCCACTACCGGCAAGTTCCTGATATCATTCAGGGCACCCAGGCCCACAACACCATCAGCATAGATAACTCCGCTAACCGAAGCAGAAACTTTTCAGTTTTATGTAATTGTTATCCATTCAGTTTAAAAACATCAACACTTAAAGTTCAGGAACTCAGAATGGATGATTTACAATGAAATTAAACAGTGTAAACAAAAGTGAACTAAAATATATATATTTAAGACAAACATGTTATTTCCCCCGATCAAACACGATCCGAGGAATCCAAAATGGGAGCCTGTGGGTGGGCTGGAAAAGGGAGAGGTCACTACCCTGGAGCCCTGGACTCCCAACAACCTTACATCTTACCCGCTTCCCACTAGAAGGAGGCACCACGGCCGTCCTAGCGACTACCTGGACAAAGGGACCGACCGAAGAGTCAGGCGGGTCACTAACATTATTTACCTTGACAAAGGGACCGACCGAAGAGTCAGGCGGGTCACTAACATTAACTACCTTGTCCAAGGGACCGACCGAAGAGTCAGGCGGGTCACTAACATTAACTACCTTGTCCAAGGGACCGACCGAAGAGTCAGGCGGGTCACTAACATTAACTACCCCAGTATTTACCGATTGTAGGCCTCTCGGTTTCCAGATCGGAGATCGGCCTCGCTCTCCGATCCCTCCAGGTTTTCCGGAACACCAGTAGCCACGGGAGATAGAGGGCGGGCATGGGAAAGCATAGAAAACTCCAAAGACTTAACAGTCTTCAGTATTTCTTCTAGCATACAATCGGTGTTGTACGCATGCGTCTTAAGACTGGCGACTTCCTCTTTTAAATAGCCAATGTCATTCCTGGCCTGAACTTCAAAAGGCGTTGTGACCTTCCCCCGGTCCTCCACAGGAGCCGGACGGGGAACATCTCGACCTTTGGAAACTGTTGGGGAACGATTCAGGGGATGGGGTTGCCTATGACGATAAATTACTGGCTCCTCAACCGTATCATACCTGTCCACCTCCCGACCGTACATGCAAGTCTGCTGCACCTGCTGCCGAGAAGCTGGATATAAACGGCGGGGCTCGCTCTCGTACACTACACGTTGGGTGTGTTGTGCCCACCTGATGGCATCCAGAGCCTCCTCGATGGACCTTGGGCCCGTATTTAAAGCCGTTAAACCAGCCGCCTTATCCGTACAACCCTGGCATAGTTGCAACACCATTTGAGTGTCGTCACCCCTACGGTCCCACCCAAAAGCCTCATGGAACAATGCTTGGAGTCGGTCGGATCATCCTAAGAGGGACTCCTCCGGGAGTTGGCGAGCCGTTCAAAATTCGGCTATGGCCTCCTCCGGAAATCGGGTAGCCCCAAACCGACGCCCCATCGCTGTCAACATCGGGTAATAAGAATTAGTGCCCATATCCCTAAGGTTGGAAAAACAATCCGACGCAGACCCTTCCAGACACCAGCCTAGAACATCCAAACACTCACTCGGACTCCAGTGGCACGGCGCCGCATAGCTCGTGAATTTCCTGAGAAAGGAATGCCAACTAGTCCTCCCATCAAAACTAAGCGACCTCGGCAGACGGGGGGCCAATCTCGGCGCCCCTGCGACCTGTAATCTCCCTGACCCCCTGGTGGGGATTCCCTAGAAGGAGGATAATAATTACGTGGGGGTTCCCTGGAAGGCGGACAGTTATCTTCCCTAAACCAATACTCGGCCGAGGGCTCGGCTGGGGAGCTGGCCGGTTGCGGCGAGCTCCTTCCCTGCCGTGACTCAGCCGCAGAACCGGCTATAGGCCCAGCTGGGCCTCCTGCCGATTACGCCATTGTAGTGACGGAGCGGAATATAATCTTACTGGGCCTAAATAACTACGCAATATGCTTAATTACAATACTAAGGGTCAATCCTACCATAGGCTGTAGAAGTAACTGCTTGACGTAAGTCTCAAGAAGCACCGATGAGTGGAGCTCCACGAAGCTACGTTGAGATCCGAGACTCAGAGGAACACAGCAAACGGCATGTCGCGCGGTTACAGTTCCAGTCCAAATCTAACCTACCCAGTATGGGATATGGCCAGGAAAACTACCGCGGGTGTCGCCAAATGCGGGACTTGCGCGCATATACCCGCCAGAGCCGTATTGGCTCAGGCTGAATCACTACACATCTGTCCGCGTTAACAAAGACGATCCTTGTTGTGTGGACGATCCTTATTCTCGGACCAGCGCCCCTACTGCCAACTCTCGCATGCAGAGGCAGGTAAACAAAACCTAAAATGCGGTCAAAATCACCCCTTCCCGTTTATACCCGACGAACATTACAATTTACACACTGGCTTCGGAGTTCTCTAGTGACTTTGGTTCCGGCTGAAATGCAAAGACACCAGGTATACCCCACAAAAAAACTGTTTTTTTTATTGTCAATTTGAAATTGATTCTTGCTTTATGATAATAGCGCTGAGTGTAAAAAGGCACGAACGCAGGGAGTACGCTTAACTCAGCGAACTCTGTGTGTGGATATTGTATACTAAACTAATTTCTATTAGGGGAAGAAAAAAAACATGTACCGGTACGCTAAATGTTATACTAATATAGGACAGCAAAAAGAATGCCCAATGATTCAGCTCTTGAGACATTACTAGTCTCCCTTTACTTCAAATGCTGCTCCATAAACTTGACTTTGTGATGTTTATGACAAGTGGATGTTCATGTAGCTTTGACCATTTCTTCTTCTTCTTCTTCTTCTTCCAGTATAGTACACTCCGCCGTTGGCGCATTATCGTACCTTGTGCTTGTCAAGTGCCGAGTGTACAGAGCAAGTAAAAAGGCTCTACAAGGATTCTATGTGCAGCTATTTATTCTTATCATTTCTGTTTCTTTCTACAGTTGATGGTGGTCACAGATCTGTGATATTTAGCAGGATTGGTGGAGTCCAGGATGCAGTGTATGCTGAAGGTCTTCATTTCAGAATTCCTTGGTTCCAGTGGCCCACCATCTTTGACATCAGAGCTAAGCCAAGGAGGATATCATCACCTACCGGAAGCAAAGGTTTGTCATCAAAATCCGTTCATATTTGATGAGGCACTGTCTAGTTCAGAGGTTCAGATTTGCCGGCCGAATCAGTAACACGTGATGATAAATATTGTGGAGTGTGGACACTAGATCCTCCCAGGTCCATTCATTGCCAGACAATCCTTTTTTCCATAGGCCTTCATTTACCCCTCTTCCTCAATCTTTAGAATTTTTTTTTTTGTCAGACAGAGTAGCAACCATTTTGATATACTATGAGTTTACATTTGGTTAAACCTCACCGAAGTCCTCATGTACCTTTCTTCCTCAAATTTGTTGTAATAAAAATTCTGCCCATCATATTTTGAAGTTGATGGTCTTTTAGCGATTGAGCAAAGCAGACAAAGAAGCAACTGTCTTGACATTTTATTCACGCCGAATCTCTGTTTGTGCAGGTTTAGCAGATGTATCTATGAACAATTGCTTTTACTGTACTTTGTTCTTAGGACAGTTAGGGATGGGGGTACAGGTACTTGACATTTTTGGTAGGCCAGATCGTCTGGTAGGTCTGGTTTGTGTTAGAATAATCTTCATGGATCCGAAATTCAACATGTAGCTGTCCCAAAATGATACAAACTTTTGAATAAAAATTGCTTAGTGGTGATTATTATGAGAACATTCTTCCTAAAACTTGCTACAGGTGCTACGATTTTGTAACTGATCTTTCAGATTTACAGATAAGAAACAAATTTGGATGATGGATAAGAATTATCATCCTTGAACTTGCGATAGATACAACTATATTTTGCTCTTGATCGTTCAGATTTGCAGATGGTGAACATCACACTGCGTGTCCTCTTCAGACCAGTCGCCGCTGATCTTCCCAAGATCCTACAGCAACTTGGCACAGATTATGACGAGAGGGTACTGCCCTCTATCTGTAACGAGGTGCTCAAGGGCGTGGTCGCAAAGTTCAACGCGTCACAGCTGATCACACAACGTCAGCAGGTAGGTTTTCTTTTCTTCGTCTCTCTCTCATAAGGCCTGTCTCCATCAGCTTGAGATTGCCAAATATCCCGCTATTTTAACTATCCCAATCGCAAATTATCCAGTTAATTTGCGTCTTCATCAGCCCAAAGTTGCAATTAGCGGGATATTTGGTCGGGATAATCATCCCAAGATATCTTGGGATAGTTTGCAAAATATCCCACTATTTGGCAAAACATCCCGCTATGTGCCCGGTGCGTTTTCACCAGAAAGACTTGCACTGTGCGCGAACGCTGAGCAAAATATCTTGAGCTAATTTCTCAAGGACGAGTTTCAAGTTTCGAGGTCGAATCTCGAGCTGATAAGGAAACGCCTTTTGTTTACTAATATTTGTAATACTTATTGCAGTTTCACAGTGAAGAAAAACACCAGTGAAAACCTAGCTTCAGAGAAAACGACTCTTCTAATTCTTGTGTAGGTGGTATTTAATTTCCAGTCTATAAGTACATGTAGAAGATGGGTTCTGTGAATGAAATTCAAGAATATATTTTGGATTGAATGGTTAAAGTGTAATATAGAAATAGCATACCTTTGGCTAGTGCTGTAAGTCGGACGCTATGTTTGTGTTCGGTTCGGTTCGGCAGAGTTCGGTAATTTTTCACCCGAACTTGGTTCGGTTCGGGGTTCGGTAGAACAATAGCAAGCAGCGTTATAGCCACGGCGGTCGGCACTGGGCGGGCTGGCCGCCCTGCTGGGGCCGACCAGCCCGGAGGACTTCTGCACACTGCTTCCGACTAGCACGAATTTCACATTAAAAAACTGCTCTAAACGTAATTATTTGTGAAGAAAAATACTACTTACATTCGTATTTCCGTCTTGAATCGTGTTTTATTTTCAATTTTAAAAGAATCATGTTTTCAATTTGTCAATAAATGATAAAAGATTTTCCGAGACGGGTCTTGTCTAATGTTAGAGTCATGAAAGCTGCCATCTTGAATAATAGAGACTCAGGCTCGTCAATAACTGTTTTTTATAAGTTTTTATTTTCAATAGGAAAAATATAAAAGCCCTATTTTTCCTAAATAAATAAATACCATACTATAATATTTATTTATTTCATTATTTATATTGTAAAATTTGTCCGATATGGTTACAATTATTTTTTTTTTTTGAATGGGTTTGAGCTGAACTTGTTTTGATCACGCACATGTATTCTTGTTTATGGCTTGCGATCGCGACGTAGCGTGGTTAGGATTTGGGATTTAAATGGCGCCAGTGAAGTTGCGCCCACCACTGGATAGGCATAAATCACAAAGGCGAAAAATGGGAAAAAAGTAAATATAAAATGAGCAATCATGACATGAAAATTAGGTACAAAATGACAAGTTTATTAGCTTGCAAAATGGTTTACATTTTTCTGCCGAACATCCGAACCAGGCCTTTGCGTTCGGTTCGGAAGTGCCATGTTCGGCGAACTTCGGTTCGGTTCGGCGGTTCGGCTACAGCACTACCTTTGGCTCATGTACAAGTGTCATGAGCATCACTTGCAATATCTCCTGAATGTCATTTCAGAAATGTTAGTTTGGCTTCATACATCAAGTCCCTAAGTTTAGTATTACCATTTTTCCCCCTTTCAATTAGATAGACTTAATGAATCAACAGGGAAACTGTTTTGTTAAAAATTTGATATACGGTATCTTTAATTTGACATGAAGTTTTTGAATTCTCATCTGAGCTTTGTGGTTATGATTTTACTATCATTGACTTAAAGCTTATCTGCCGTAGTTTACAGAAGGGATTAGACCGCTCTGCAAGGTCACTGGACAGGTGGTTATCTCATCAACTCAGCCCTCAGTTAACATAAGAAAAAGAGGATCATGGGGGACCAATGGTCACCGATAAGGCATTGTTTGTTATATAGAGGGCGCAAGTAGCTACCAGTAGTGCAGTGGGCCTTTAAATTCAGAATGTAAGTTTCTGTCTGGAGTCATAGTACACAGCGTTTATGTGGACAAGATTACGATGTTGGGCACTGTCTTGAAATACATTCACTTTCAGGGGGCTTTCATCTATCCTCAAAAACTACCCCAAAAATAGAAACATGAGTCCTTTTGTTCCAGTGGGGGAAGTAAGGGAATTTCAGAAAATCAATGGCGTATCCACTGGATGGTTGGCTGCATACCCTTTTTAGTGCCTGCAAGTACTATTCATTGATGGACTGGTGATATTATGAGGTTGACTTAGAGTGATCTTTGAATATTAGACCCTATCGGTGGAATAAACAGGGACTTTGACATTCATTAATTGCTGGGAATCATGATATAATATGTGTCTATAAAGTTTAAAGTCTTTGATTTTATTTTCTTCTTTTTTACCAGGTGAGTTTGATGATCAGGAAGCAGCTGACCGACAGAGCCAGTGATTTTGGCCTCATCCTGGATGATGTATCTATCACTGAACTCAGCTTTGGTAAGACCACCCCCCCCCCCCCCTCTCTCTCTCTCTCTCTCTCTCTCTTTCACTCTCTTTCTCTCTTTCTCTCTCTCTCTCATTCTCTCTCTCTCTCTCTCCCTCCCCCACACTCTTTCACCCTCTCTATCACTTTCCCTACTTCTCTTTGTCTCTGGATGTCTGCATTCTCTTGAAGTCCAGGGGGTGTTTCTCAAAGACTAAGATCAACTTTAAGTTGGACTTTACTATCTATGGCAGGCCTTTCATGCCACTGGTTGCTCTCACCATTGGTTTCCCAATTATGATCTTTAGATAAAAAAATTATTAAATAATGAACTATCAAAAAAAAATAAATACAGGGTACCTGGTAGGAATGTATTCCTTGAAATGCTAGAGCGCCGTATGGCAGCCATGCTAAAGCTAGGGTAATAATCGGGAGCGCCAGGAGGGTCGAATCTGACTGACATGAGCGCTACACAAGAATCCACTATTATTATTATTATTATTATTTGTGACCATGATTTGTACATCCCTTGAGAGACCAATGCCAGTAAATGGCGAGAGCAAACAGTGGCATAAACAGCCTGCCATAGTTAAGTCCAACTTAAAGTAGATCTTAGTCTTTGTGAAACACCTCCCAGGTCTAAGTCTGAAGATAATGATGATGAACAGTATTAGTTTAGCTTGTGTTACATGATGTCTCTGTATTCTAGAAATTTAACAACATTTCCTGTATTAATTTGTTTGATTACTACATGTAGTATCAGCAGTATGGGTTCGCTTACAGTTCACTTATATCACATTTATCAGAACTTACATCAAAGTATTAAAACAAAAACAAAACAAAAATGAACAATTTGTCCCTTTTTAGAGGGGGCTGTAAAGATCAAGAATCTTAAATTTAAAAAGATGATTTTTTCGGGGGAACGCCAGTCGTCTTGTGTGTATATGTACCACATACACCAAATTGATGTAGCAATCTGCTGGTTTAGATTCATTGCGCCTAAAAACTTGCAATGTTGAAGTTGCAAACAGATCCTAAATATTTTAATCAAGCTTAAAGACAAGTTTGAGTTCTGGGAAGAGTGAAAAATAATTTGTGAGCGTTATCATTATGCTAGTGTGGAATAACGTCAGATAAAAAGTGTTACCTGAAAAGCATGGCTCTTCAAATGCCTTAATATTCGAAATATGGCATGTAACGTCATAAAAATCATATGTTTGTGTAGTCCCATATACATATTTCTGTGTACAGAGCTTGTAACTTTACCAAGACTGGGCCAAATTTCTTACCATTTTGATGATTCCAGAACCTTGCAGTACACACCGATACTTATATGCTAGATGATCAACCTTTTTTGATCGATTCCACAACGTTTCTTTCACAATGCAATTGCATGACCAGAACTCATCTTTATCTTTAAGTGGTTTAGAGCTCTCCGTTAAGCAATGTTACCGAGCATCTTTGTTCCCTTTTGTATTTTTAACCCTTATAGGTGCCGACTATACAGCAGCGGTAGAGTCTAAGCAGGTAGCCCAGCAGGAGGCACAGAGGGCCATGTTCCTGGTCGAGAGGGCCGTCCAAGAGAGACAACAGAAGGTCGTCCAGGCAGAAGGAGAGGCAGAATCTGCCGTAATGATATCCTTTTTAACAAGCTTGTTTGCTCAATCCATTCATTTTAAAACGGACAAATTCAAAGCGTTGGTTAATGGTCAAGTGTTTGAACATCTGGCCCCTGTTTCATAACCTTGTTATCAATAACAAGTTTCAATCACTGTTAAAAGCTACTGAAATCTTTGCATTTGATTGGCTGAGAGCAAATTTGTCGCAGAATCTTGGCATTTGTTATTGATAACAAGGTTTATGAAACGGGGTCCAGTACCACATTGACCTGAGACATTGCGCAGTCACAGTCAAATGATGATTATCCCCAATATGTGATGCCAGTTCCTAAGATCTTAGAGAGACTCTTCTGGTAATCCCCTGAGAAACCAGAGTAATCATAATGCCTTGAGGGGGACCGTCTGTAATCTTGATGATTGACCCTAACCTTGGTGTCCTTGGACGTCCCTTGTAGGATGCCGGACACCGGGTTTCCCTCGGTGGTCTTTCATTGTAAACCCAGACGGACAGGACACCATCTGATACGGGATGTGAGCTGCCACCGCTAGAGATCCTGCGGTGTTCCGTAGCTCCATCTCAGGATGGGACAGAGTGGGTTGGGTCACCAAGAAAGTTAGGAAGCGGGAAAAGATCTTGCTATGTGGCAGGGAGAGGGGTTGGACAAAATGAGTCTTTCAGGAAAGTCTTGGGACATCCAGTTTCCTGTTGGACGCCACCCCCACCCCTGTTGCTAGTAAGCATTTGTTTTGTTTGGTCAGTCAGGACGGGGAGACTGTGGGTTGGAATCCAGAAGGGTCTGTCTGGGAATCCTTGGCTGGCTCCGTGATCACAAACATCTTTGGTAATCTGATGACTATAAACTAAATGTAGGAGTGTCGTGGTCGAGTGGTTTAAGGTGCTTGACTGGAGATGCGAAGGTCAAGGGTTCGAATCCCGACACGGCACTAGTATCCTTTGGCAAGATATTAACCTACACTTGCTACTCTCCAACCAGGTGTTAAAATGGGTACCCGGCGTCAAGTAACGCCTGGCTGGAATGCTCCCCAGGGAGTGGAAATTGTGCACACAGTGTTTTTTTCAAGTATTGAATCCAATGACCAGGGTAATAGTATATCTGTGAAGCGCTTAGAGACATCATGGATGTATTAAGCGCTATATAAAAGCAGAATTATTATTATTCATAAAGATTGGATGCTATTTGAAAGTGCACAGTGGTACGTACATCCAATTCTTTATTCCATTTGCTCAACAAACCTAAGTACCTAACACTAATATGTAGTTGTGATAATACATTAGAATGAAACTTTGTAAAAGTGATCTCTTGTTCCATGGGTATCCAAACGTGCCAGATATTTTGATGTTACCTTTTAACATCTATGATGCTCATAATGAAATGCAGTCCTAAAAATAGATTCAAATTGGAGATATCAGACTGCATACATGCACTTGTTATTCCTTGTTCTACGTATAATATTAGTAGTAATAATAGTCCATAATAAAAAAAAAAGTATAGCTTTTACTACTTAGTCTCTATGCGCTTCCAAAGAGCTTCAGAAATTTACTAGTAGTAAGTTTTCTCATTACATATTTGTATTTTCTGTGAGATTTTGTTGTATTCCTTGACTATTTTCTTGTGATTTACTTGGGAGAGGCCATCTCATCAAACCCTGGCTACCTTCAACTGAGGAAGATCAGAGCAGCACAGAGTATTGCCAGAACGGTGAGATATTTTTTTGGAATAAATATTTTAGTTTTTGTTAAAATGCAAAATCCTGGACCTCCCCATAGCCCTCTTGGGCCTCTCTGTATTTCACCACTCTGACCTGTCTAGTTATGAAATTGACACTCGCTGTTCCTTTCCAAAATCTCAAACTCTCTGTACCTCTACCATTCCTCTACCAGTCCCACCCCCCCCCCCCCCCCACCTCACCTCTCTACCATTGCTCCACCTCTCGACGTTGTGATTAATATACAGTCAAACCTGCTTTAGTGACCACCTGTCTACAACAAGCACATTTTTTGTTACCCTTGAAAATGGTTTCTCATTGAAACATGTACTAAAGGAACCTGTCTACAAAGACCACTTTTTGTGCTTCCCTTGGGCGGTCGCTGTAGACAGGTTTGACTGTATATGATTGACTGCTCAGCCTTTTAATCGCCTCCATCTCTCTCTCTCTCTCTCTCTCTCTCTCTCTCTCTTCCGCAGATTGCCAACTCTCAGAATCGTGTGTACCTCAACGCTGGCAGTCTCCTACTCAACCTCACAGATAAGGACTTTGCTATCATTGCTCTGGACAAGAAGTGATGATATTCAACTAAATTCTATATATATATATGTCGCTTGGGATGTTGATATTCACAACGTGTAAGTGATATTAAACATGCAACCACTATACCATCATTCGATTAACTTTTGATATAAACATCATGGCATTGTTTCATGAAACTTTCGTAAGTATACATGTAAGTTCGCTGACAAGCCATAGCAAAGAAAGTGTGTTTTATTATTAATGTGCATTTCATTGGGATGTCTGTGAACTTGTACTTATGACAGTTTCATGAAACAATTCTCAGATTTGAATCATTCAACTTAATTTAAAAGTAAAAAAAATGGAGACCATGTTCCCATCTGCTATAACTGTTTTACTTGCCCCTTTTCCTTCAAATTAATCTTAATTTGATTCAGAGATCAAACTTGTATTTGATGTTTGAAAAAATAATAATAATATTCAGTTCTTGTATAGCGCATATCACATAACGTCCCGTTGGGCTTCTAAAGAGCTTTGTAAATGATTACCCTAGCTTTAGCTTGCTTGTGTATTTTAATAATCATTTACCCCAAGGCCTGTCTTTTATACAGTACAGTGTAGTTCGATTTATCAGTAAAATGTAGTCCACAGGAGCCATCAGAGATAATTCCCCTCCCGCGTAAATATCGAAAACATGTAATTTGCTGTTGATCCTTCAACTTTCATAAATGAGAATGTTATAAGGCTTTACTTAGTACCTGGCTTTCCAACTTGAGACAATCTAAGCTAGCATTGTCTGATCATGTATTCATTATGATGCGAAACCATCTGTGGCAAATGCGGATGCAAAGGCTTTAAATTTCGCAAGTTTTTTTTGGATTGAATTAGTTTGGTGCATGTATTACTCCTTTCACAAGGAAAGTATATCTTACCATTGACAGATAATGATTTCATTATGTTTTTGTTACTGTAGATTAGCAGCATATGCATCATAACATTATAAGCTGTCACTTAAAACAATGAAAGAAAAACGTTCATTCAAGTAATTTTTCCTCATATACGCACTGTATTATTACAAGATCTTTTCAAATGTTTTGAAAGGAATTTAAAGGTTTTGCATTAGATGATCAAAGTATTTTATGAATCTTTATAAAGTTCCTTTGAAAAATATTCTGTAAGTATCTCTTTTCTAGATATCTTACGACATGACAGAACCCTTCAGATTATGAATTTTTGACCAAAATATTGAGCAGATTTTCTTGTTCTATCATTGTTTTCTGATGTGAATGATCATTGTATGTCTATCAAACTATGGAGTTTGATAAAGGACTATATAATGTGTGAATGTTTGAGATTTTTCATGAAGAAATACAAACTATTATGACATGATTCCTAGCATACCAAGGCTCTCTTTGTGTGTCTTCGCGTTTATTGTATATTACTGGACAGGTCATATGTGATATGACTGTGATAGAGTTATCTTCAACTCATCAATGTGATAACAACTTATTGGTTTACCTATAATAATTGTAAGGTGGACCATCCCCTTTTATGCCTGTTATGTGTTGCAGTGTCAGTCCTGCCTCTGGCAATGAATAGGGTCAACAAACAGAAAACAAATTTACATCCTAATATGATGATTAGATAAATACTGTATCATATTCGTTTATTAACCCTTCTAGTCTCAAAAGCACTAATCATTTGCCATGTGACCACATAATGTAATGTGAAGACTTAAAAATCATATCATACACCAGATGCTAACAGAAAGTAGATGTATGTGTTGATACACAAGACAAAGGTGTATATGCTAAGATGAACAAGCGTAGAGTAGAATTCAATTATCGACAAAATGCAAGACATTACAAATCTCACAGGCAAATATTCCATAAATGTGTTCCAGTGGGGTACTTTATTAGCTCCCATTTACTAATTGAATCAAATTAATTACTTATTCAAACAGTTTGAAACAAACACATTTGATACCATTCCGGAAAGGAAATATACTAAATGTTAACAACTCACTTTTGGTGCAAAATTTGATAATTTGATCGCATTTGATTTAGTGCAAAATGTCATTGGAAAGAAAATCTACTGAATGTTATTTGAACAAAAAATCTGATGAACAAAGAAATTGATCAATGGAAGAAAAATGAGCGAATTTTACTCAAACTACAAGATTGATAATACATCATTGGATGTTTCATACATACAACAATTAGTCAAACTAGTACCAATGAATGAAAACATTACAGCTATGCAATGATTGTCGGCATCATAGATTCGCCAACATATTTAAATGAAGGTCAGATATACGTGGACTATCATTTAAGGTCAGATATATTCATTATCTTTCAAAGTCATATGATAACAATATATAAGGTGATAAAGAAATTATGAAATAAGGTCACAAGATAATAAAGTCAGATTATGTAATCTATGTAATAAAAGGTAAGATAATATATAAAACTTATGAAGGTCAGATATATTTAAGGTCAGATGTATTCATTATCTTTCAAAGTCACATAATAATATCAGGTGATAAAAGAAATTATCAAATAAGATCACAAGATGAATAATATAATGATTAACAAATGGCGCTTATAAAGCGCCTATCACCGAAGTCTCTAAGGGCTTAACGAACAAAATACAATGATAAACAGTCACATATTAAACAAAACAAAAATGCCAACAAATCTACAAATAACAACACATATCAAATATGTATCAATGAGATAGAGTAAGTTAATCATCAAAAGCAATAAAGTTAGATTATATACTCTATATAATATGAGGTAAGATGATGTTTAAAAGATATGTAAGGTTGAGGTTGGGGTCGACTTTGAGGTTGAGGTAGTTCTACTTGGCTCTACTCCCAGTTGGTCCACAGATTCCCATACAGGGCAGGGTCGGAGTCACAATCTATGCCAGGGTTGGCCGGGGCTTCGAACCTAGAACCCGTGTAGTAAGATTGGAGACGTCCCAGGAGGTCAACCACCTCGTCAGCCATGGAGTCGGAGAGGTCGTCTTGCTCGGTAGGATCAGCAGTGATGTTGTACAACCAGATGGCTTTCCCGGCGTCGGTTGCGTAGACGCTGGCGAAACCCGATTCAACAGGCGCAAGCCAATCCGTATCAGCTGGATTTAAAACAAAATGTTCACGAAAAGTTGGATAGATGTAGAGGCAAAATATATTATGTCTCACTAAGAGTCATTTTTTTAAAGATAAAAAACTGATTCAGTGAGATTGGATGCTAAAGTGGCCGACTTAATGATAGAAATAGTTATACTCCGGTCATAACCTTTTTGAAAATCGTGAGCCTCAGGAAAAAATAACATGTACATGTTGAAATGGCACATCCGGTTGCCGAACTACAGCCATTAATTTCATTTGATTACTAATAAATAGATTATTATCAAAATATGAGTATATTTCCACCCTCATTACTGTAAAAGTGCGGATTGATAATATTCCTTGAGCATCCCCGTGGTGTATATACGTGCGCAATACAAAAGTGAGCTTTCAATAACATAATTATTATTTGAGATGAACGTACACTATAGACCATAACATTTGAATTTTGTTTTCTTACCTTTTTTCATGAAATAACTTTCTTCTTGATAAATAAAGTTTAGATCTTCTCATAACTGTATTGATCAATCTAAAGAGTCATAGAAATTGATCTATTAGTTTTTGAGGAGGAACAATCTTTATCTATCAAGAAAATAAACGCATCGTCAATAATCATTTCATGAAAAAGGGGGGTTGTTTCATCAAGCCTTAAAATCTATCTTAAAATTGGTTTGTAATATCGACATCAAGTTTAGTTGATGAAAAAACCCAGTAAAGAAAAAATATTCGAATTTTATGGGCCACGGTGTATTATCAAAGCACTCGTCTGAAGTCAAAAACCCAAAATGAAAAGAAAAAAAATTCAATTCAATGTAAACGGAACTAAGAAAGGGAGATAACATTGCCGTTGATTATTAAGGTGTATAGAGGTCGAGTGGATATGTCACCGGACTGTCGATCACAAGGTCCGCGGTTCGAGTACCGCCGCGGCACTTAATGTACGTCCTTTGGCAAGACATTGATCTACATTTGCCACACTCAACCCAGGTGATGTAAATGGGTACCTGGCAGAAAGTAATTCCTTGAAATGCTAGAGCGCCGTATGGCAGCCGTGCTAAAGCCAGGGTAATAATTGCATGGGAGCGCCAGGAGTGTCACGTATGACAGACATGAGCGCTATACAAGAACCCACTATTATTAAAAACGTTACCTTGGTAACCAGTCACGAGCTTCATGTCGCCTCTCCTTATTGAGGCATGGATAGAGATATCGAAGACGGCAGCATAGCTGTCATACTTTGAATCAATGCTAGCTGGGCGCTGCATGTCAGGGTCTATATTGTAGACGATCTCACGATCAGGGTCACCAGATTCACCTTGGCTGCGGAGAGAAAGAGAGAGAGAGGGAGAGAGAGTAAATAGAGAGAGAGAGAGGGGGAGAGAGAGAGAGAGAGAGTAAATAAGAGAGATAAAGAGAGATTTCCCTTTTTATCCCCCAAAACATGATTATTTTTTTTCTCCCCCCCCCCATGCCTTTGCCCAGGTTGAATGATTTGTATCATATTGCGTGCATGACATTTCACAAAATCGTTTATTAACTTTAAAGAATTGATACTATTTTCCGAATATTGTATATTCATAATCATTGACTTTCATATAGTTTATTGAAATTCACATTTTCCCATGATTTAACTGGAAAAAAACTCTATATTAGTGTATCCACAAACATATTACTATCAAAATAACTTGGATGCTGGTGTGAGGAATTAAGATTCTTAGGGGGAAATGGGAAATTTATGTTATCAATATAAAGAAAACAATTAGTGGATAGTGAGGCAATGACGTCACAGACTCATGAGTGAGTTGCCAATTTGCCTTGTGATTTTCAAAGTTTTCAAATGATTTTCAAATGCAAAACTTTCTTATTAGTTATCCGATTTTGCTCAAACTTGTTTTGATTGGTTTGTCTGATTTTTCTGCTTCTATCGAAAGAAAGTTATTTCTGGAGTAGACTTTCCTGTTTAACCGTAACACCGCATCCAAAGTGTCAATCCTTTAAATATGACGAAACCTAGTCAAAGGAAACTTACCGACTACGTGCGAGTAGAACTATGCCCGGTCAATATTTTGCGCTATACTGCCAAACAGTCAATAGCGAATTTCATGCGTGCAGTTTTGACCAATCAGAGGCCTGGAATCTTCATATGCCGTATATAATATGGTTCAAAGATCATCAAGTAGATGTAAGGTACATATAGCTTTGTATTATTTGTTTTCTTTTGCCCTCTCCCACCCCAATCCCTAGCTGAACATTCATCGACTATATTAGGGACTTTTAGATTCACACGAAGACAATGTGAATTGCTACGATCGACGTCCTTTTAATGCACTGCCTTGAATGGACGTCACACGAATCAGTCCACGCAAATCCAAAAGTCCCTATTATCATCATATTCTTACCTAATCACATCCCACATGTTAACTCCATCCAGGCCCAACTCAGTGTGGTTCAACGTCACATTGGCAACCCCCTCAACTAGGGTTGGGTACCAGTCGCTTATATGCATTAAATCTGTGCTGATCGTGCCCTGGACGTTGGTTGACAGCAATGGGCCTGCGACGAAGCCTACGCCTCTAATCCCACCTTCGAAGTAGTTGCCCTTGACACCACGCAGGGGCCAGTTGTTACCTGCGTTTTTCTTGCCCACGCCGCCATTATCTGTCAAAGGTAAAGATTTGATTCGATTTGATGTTAATTTATTCCATATCCATCAACATATTTACATTTACATGCTTACCACTTTAGATGTATGCTAGGGTATAAACAAAAAAGGGATCGTCTTAAGCTTAAGCATAAGCTTGATGACAATAAGTTTGCTGTCTAAATTAAAGCCCAGGCAGCAATTCCCCAAATCAAACTAGAGCGGCGACTGGTACGGTGCCGACCAGCAACAAGTTGGGTGCCAGAATTCGTGGAAAGGTACTTAATTAGTATAGTCTTATACATTGTTTTAATTGCTCGATGTTTTGGTTGGCTGCAAATTTAGATGTTGCATTAAAATCCATTTAAACTTGTCGGTAGAACATTTTATTTTGAGATCTTTAACCGATTGACCGAAAGTAGGCGACACGTCGGTAACTGGTCTTTAAGTAGGGACTTTTAGATTTGCGTGGACTGACACGTGACGTCCATTCAAAGCAGTGCATTAAAAGGACGTCGACCATAGCAATCCACATTGTCGTTGTGCAAATCTAAAAGTCCCTAATGGCTGCCCAAGGTAGCCGAACATTTATTTCGAAGACCTAGATCGGCACCCAGTTGGTGGACAATTATAGAGCTCCAACCAAATGTCGACCGATGCGATGCCTTATGTTTACCGATAGTGCACCATTGTGTAAAAATACTTCCTCGCATTCATCAACCATCAAGGAGGAACATAGGACAATGGCCAAGAATCTGTATCCAGTCGGTGACCAGTCGGCGATCGTTTGGCAATCTTTCCACGATCGACCGCGGTTGCTCACCAATCTTCCATTTTTTGATGAATCGACGACCGGTCCGAAACCAATCGGCGACCTGTATGTAACCGGGATTAGCGACCGCAACCGTTAGTTAACAGTGGTTGTCGATGGTTTTAGCTTTTTTACTTTTTGGTTGTTGCAGATCGGGCGATCGGTCACAACTCTAGTGTTCCCAAGGGAGGATCCAGGGAGGGGGGGGGCCTCCCCTGACCGGTCTGCTGAGTCGTTGCTAAATATTATCTCACGAATTGGGCCCCCTCCCTCCCCGCCGGCTGGATCCGCCCCTGAGTGTGCCCTTGGCCTTTTTTTTACAAAAGATTTTCAAAAACATCTGGTTTGACATCCTCGTGCAAAGTTCATTATGTTCTTAATGTGAAATATCTGGGAGCCCTGCATTTTAGCTGTCCATCGTAATCATTTTTACAGGGAGACATTTTGTTTAGTCTTACATTCTAAAACAACGAAAATGGCCTAGATCAATCCTCGGTCTTTTTTAAAGAAGTAGGAAACATAGTCATATTAACGGTACTATGTCCCATTTGCAGGCCAAAAAAATGAAAAAGTTACATTCCAACTGCATTTGAAAGATAATACTAAATTAGAACTTCCCTAAAAAAGGTGGGGCTTGAAAATGTCTTCAAGTGGGAAAATAACGACTATTAGTTGTCAAATCGACTTTAGGCTATAGAGCCCAAAAGTAATAGTCTTGATTTTCAGACAATTGTACCGAATGGTCATACGTTTTATGCTGCGCAAAGATTCAATCAGTTTAATCTTGGCCATCACAAGAAGTGGGTTATTGATGTAGACAAATGCTCATGTACTATTTTCATGTATGTTATTACCAAAGAAGAAAAAAGTCTAGCAAGTAAATGGGTTTCCTTGCATAATTTGAATATGAGGACACTGCTAATGTTTAAATTTCACAGATAGGACATGCATGACATATTCATAATTCCTGCAAAGTTCTACAGCATTTGAGGTTGGCTGCAAAAGGGACATAGTACCTTTAATGGAACAAAAAAAAAAAGGCACAAAGTGTTAACAGATACAACAACAACAAAAAGTCTGACCGGTTGAGAAGATGAAGACGGTGTCATTCCAAAGTCCTTCCTCCTTCAAGGTATCAGTCAGTTGGCCGATCGACTCGTCTAACATCGTCACCATACCTGCATACGTGCGACGGTTTCGATTATTAATCTTACCGCGGTAGCTGACAAAGTACTCGTCTGGAACTTCGAACGGGAGATGAGGTGCCTGGTAGGACAGGTACATGAACATGGGCTAGGAAAGAACCACAATAAAATAGGGAGTTCGAAATTAAGCCAGTTACATGAAGTATCAGGTACACGGCCGTTATTGGAGGATAACTGATTTCCTCTGTCGAGATAAACCACAAGAATGATGAGGATTGTATAAATAAAAGAATAAAAGCGCTGCAAACTTAACAATAACACTGTCACAATATACATCAAGCTATCTTCCAGAGGTGGCGGAGCGACTTTCAAAGTGGGAGGGCACCAATAAAAAAGGGCACTTTCTGGAAAAAAGGGCACCTTCAAAGGGAAATCTCAAAGCGAAAATATACAATTTTTTAGACATTGGTATATACCCCTATATATCTTTATTACATTATCGGGGATGATTTCAATATTTGTTTCTGTTTATACATCATATTAGATATTGCTTAAGCATCATACTTTGCAGTTAGGTGTGATGGTCTGAAAATTCAGCTGAGGAAAATTGTTATGATTTGTGATTTCGCAGTGCGAAACATTACATCTTATAAAGTGGAAAACCCCAAGCTTGATGGGGTTATAAGCACATCATTCTCCTAACGGAAGACTGAAAAAGACCTTTGTTAAGTTACATAATTATAACATATATAACTACGAGCGAGCGTAGCGAGCGAGCTTTGGGGAAATCGCTCTTATTCGCTTAAAATCACGGGCACATTTAATGATGAGAGGAAAAGGGGACACTTATCGAAAGGGTTTTAACACTTATTAGCAAAGAAAAGGCGCACGTGTCAAGGTATAAAGGCTAATTATCAGAGGTGAAAATGAGGCATTTCTTACACCTAAAAAGAGAGGCATGCACCAGGGATGAACAGGAAATGGGCATTTATAAGAAGTGAAAAGGGGCATTTATGAAAAGGGATAGTTTCCTTATTAGAAAGGAAAACGGAGCACATATCATTGTTAAAATGGTAATTATCAGAGGTGAAAAGGGGCACTTATCGCATCTGAAAAGGGGCACTTATGAGAATGAAAAAGGGACACTAATGATAAAGGAAAATGTGCATTCGTTGAAAGAAAAGGGGCATCAATCAGATTTTAATAGGGGCAAGATGGGGAAGGGGCACTTATAAGAAGGGGCAAGAGCATTACTTAGGAAGGGAAAGGGGGACGTGCCAAAATAAAGGGGCATTTACAGGAGTTGAAAAGAGCCTCAGGAGGGGAAGGGGCACTTGTCAAAGTAAAACGAGTATCTCTTAGAATTGAATAGGGTCATTTACAAGAGATGAAAAGGGGCACTTCCGAGAATGAAAAAAAACTATTTTCATAGATAAAAAGGGGCATTTATGAGAAGGGAAAGGGTCTCTTTTTAAAATGGGGGCACTTATCATAAGGAAAGGAAAAGGAAAGGTGGCACATGTGAAAATATAAGGTGCGCTTATCCAAGTTAAAAAGAGGTAGTTATTAAAAGGGGAAGGGGCACTTTTTACAAAGGAAAAGGGGAACTTGTCAATGCAAAAGGGGAACCTCTCAAATTTGAATAGGGCAATATTTAGGTGTGAAGGGACGCTTCTCGTACCTGAAAAGGGGAAATTACTAGAGATTAAAAAAGGCACTTATGAGAATAGAAAATGGACACTTATTGCAAACGAAAATGGAAACTTGTCAAAGGAAAAGGGGTACGTGTCAAAATAAAATGGGCACTTATCAGAGGTGGAAAGGGGAAAGGAGACTTTTACAAATTAATATGGGCACTGGTCAAAGTAAAAGGGACACTTTTCCTGATTAAAAAGGGGCACGTCTTACAACGTTAAAGGGGCACTTTTCCTATGCAAAAAGGGGCACTTTTAGGCCACTGGAAAAAGTGGGAGGGCACTGTGCCCCCCTGCCCCCCCCCCCCCCCCCCCCCGCCGGGAGCGCCGCCTCTGCTTACTTCGTTTTGGTCATGTGCTCTGATGATTGACTGCGCTCTCTCGGTAAAGATGGTGGTCGAATGTTGATCCTCGTAGACGGGTTGGACATTGACTTCATCATCACGTAGATCCATGCCAACAAAGTTCTGACCACATTTAGCATTAGGCCTACCGCTCCCGACATCAGTGTAGTTGTGAGAGAAATGATCCCCACTACCAAGTAGCAATCCTAGGTTAAAAATAAATAAAAATAAACTGATTGAGAGTGGGGGGGGGGGGAGTGGTGAGATGTGTAAAAGGGCCTTAGGGCACTGGGGGATTTATCGAGCGGCTTTAAGATTTTTTTTTATTGTTTTTATTTTTAAGGGTGCGGGCTTTCGGGCTTGGCGGACTGGGGGGTCCTTGCACGTATTTTAACCATGTACCTTGCTTAAATCAACTTTTTATTAAGAACAAATGGAGGGGGCTTGAAGAAATTAGGGTGAGAAATTGACCCCCCCCCCCCCACCCTCGCCCGTCACCCTCTAGAACCGCTACTCCATTGTATCCCGATCCAACCCGGCTAATGACATAAGAAGGAGGAGAAAAAGAAGAACAAGGAAAACAACAGGAAAAGAAAAAGGAGAAGAGCGAGGAAGAAGAGGGAAAGGAGGAAAAAAACGCTTTCCTGATTTCTCCTCCGATTTTGTCCACCTGGAAGATCGGTCAAGCCCACGGTAGCTGGACCAACAATGGGGTTACATAATACATACACGTGACTATTATTTTTTTCTTCAAAAAATTAAACATTCAAAATAATTTCATTTCTTAAAAATCAAAAGTTCCAATCCGCTTTCCAAGACAATACCAGAGCTATCTCAACGTAACATACCAAAGAATGATTGGAAGCCCCTGTTGAGGGGCCAGCATTCCTGCTTGTAGAATCCAAGATGCCATTTACCAACGAGATGGGTAGCGTAGCCTGCATCAGTGAGTTTGTTGGCCATGGTGTCATCACCAAGAGGAAGACATCGGGGCACTCTCGGATCGATAACAAGGTGCTGCATCCCATTGTGAATCTAATTTGATGATGATGATGATGAGAAGGACAATTGATTTAGAAAATATGTTAAGAATATTTTTTTTGTTTTTGGTCATTAAAATGGCGATTAAAAAAGGGAGATGAAAAAAAAGCGATAATACATGGGACAAAAACATTTTTCTGCCTCCCTTCCTCTCCCCCCCCCCCTCTCTCTCTCTCTCTCTCTCTCTCTCTATCTATCTCTCTGACTCATTCACTCGTCCCTCTCTCAATAACACATCCACCACCCCTCCCTCCCCCTCCCCCTTTTTTTATCGTGCTCTCTCTTCCTTACAATAATATTTACCTAATTTCTTTTTCTTCATCTCTCCATAATCTATTTCTTTCCTTACTTTTTTGCTTTTGTTTATTTATTTGTTTGCGTATGTGTGTTTTTTTCTTTCGCTTTTGTCATTGATAATTCAAGAAAAAACAATGCAGTTAAAAGATGCATATAAGTATCGGTTTGCATGGTGATGTAGACATACAGTAAGCTTACGGTTGCACCATGTGAGAGAGGGGAGAGGATTGGGGAGTCCTGAAATGGACTGTCGGTAATCTTTCTTCCTTGGTTGTGTGTAGTCCTGTAAAGGAATGTTGGTAATCTTTCTTGAGCTTATAGTTATAAAGATAATCATAGGGTCGGTTGGAGAGGATGGGTAGTAGGAGTGGCAGTGGCGGATCGGGCCCGGCCCCCCCCCCCCCCCCCCTTGAGAAAAAATCATGTAAAATCACGTGATTTTTACCTTTTTTGGGGGTTGGCCCCCCCCCCCCTGGCGCTCAAGGGGGGGTGCAAATTGAAATTTTTTTGAGGATCAAAAAAAAAAAATGTGCTCACTACCCCCCCCCCCCCCCCCCCCTCCACTGAGCGACTTTTTGTCCGGCGCGTTTTTCAAATTTTCGGGAGCAAAAAAAAAAAAAATTGTGCTCTGTACCCCCCCCCCCCCCCCCCCCCCCCCCCCCCCCCCCCCCCCCCCCCCCCCCCCACTGAGCGACTTTTCGGCCGGCGCGATTTTCAAATTTCCGGGAGCAAAAAAAAAAAAAAAGTTGGGCCCCCTCCCCTAAGAAATCCTGGATCCGCGCCTGAGGAGTGGTACCCATTTACACCTGGGTAAATAGTGGCAGAAGTGGATTGATGTTTAGCCAAAGGATGCTATAGTGCCGGGCTGGGATTCGAACCCTCAACCCTTGGATTGACAGTCAAATGAATGAATGCCATGACACCTTCACAATTATATTTCATATTTCTCTGACATAATGTCATCATGTCGCTAAAATATTGCCTTCTTTTCGTTATTTAGAAACTGGAAAGTTGATATTTCGGGAAGAAACTTCTCCCCCCCCCCAGGCCTGGACGCGTAATTTTTTTTCCCACTTGAGCTCGGGACCCCGAGTATGAATTCATTTGCATACAGCCAATCACAGCTCATCTTGTCATTAACAAGCATTACGCGTGCTAAAGATGCGCGGCGAAATTCAAAACTGTGCGAAGCTATGGGCTAATTCACACACGTACACACAGCTCCTTGCCTATATCAGCAATAGGCATAGGCTTGCAAATGTTTCATTCCGGCTCTAACATCTCTACCCTTAGCAAATTTATCTACAAAGATCAGCTTATCAAATTGCAGTGAAAAACTGTTATTTAGCACTAAGTTACAATTACTCTATCAATCAATGATAGGCCTTTCTCGTCATCGAAGCCACTATATACACACAGCGCCGTGCCTATTATCAGCATACATGGTGTGCGTGCATAGGCATAGGCTTGCAAATGTTTCATTTCGGCTCTAACATCTCTACCTTAGTATCAAATTTATCTACAAATGTCAGCTTATCAAATTGCTGTGAAAAACTGTTATTTAGCATTATATTCCACATACTAAGAATCTTGCTCTACGATTAATTGGCCAAAAGTAAATCACGTGATGAAAGATAGCTCGCCCATTATTGATGGGAGAAGCAAAAAGTTCGTTACACTGTGTAGATAGTACTACTATCTACACATTGCAACACACTTTCACTGAAGATAGAAGTACTATCTACACAGGGCAACGCACTTTCACTCAAGATTATCCAAAAGCGCACTAAAACAGGCGTAATTAAGCGCGCATTACCAATTAGCGCAATTAAAGCAAACAAAAAAGGCGCGCAAGGGGTTGGGTTAAACTTTTAACTTTTTTGGTGTGAATTTGGGCCTGGTGTCTTTCATGTAGATGCATACACGTCCTTTTCTTTTTGTAGTTAAATTGTTTTAGATGTGGAATATAAAGAAAATAATCACCTTTTGGTTTCAGGCGATGGCAACTATCACTTCCTGATCGATCAGAATGACGCTATCTTTCCGAAGCGAACATCCAGATCGCCTCGGAAGTGATAGTTTGTCCCATCACCTTCACCAACGGTAGTTATTTGCTTACTAAGTTACAATCACTCTACCAATCAAGGATAGGCCTTTTTCGTCATCGAAGCTACTATACACACAGCGCCATGCCTATATCAGCATGCATGGTGTGCGTGCATAATAGGCATAGGCTTGCAAATGTTTCATTTCGGCTCTAACATCTCTACCTTTAGCAAATTTATCTATAAATATCAGCTTATCAAATTGCTGTGAAAAACTGTTATTTAGCACTAAGTTACTATTATTACTCTATCAACCAAGGATAGGCCTTTCTCGTCATCGAAGCCACTATATACACACATATAGGCAAGGCGCTGTGTGTATATAGTGGCTTCGATGACCGTGACGATAAGGCCTATGTGATGACCTCTTAATTGTAATATTATGATGTATACAGCTATTATTTCTACGTGGGCATGCAGTGAATGCAAACAAGTTTTCATTGTTCTTGTTTTTTGTTTGTTTGTTTGTTTTTGTTTTTTTGGTTAACAACAGTCAACGTCACGTTAAAATCATAATACAAAAGGTTTTATCAATCAACCCTGACAATATAACCTTTGTGGTTTGATATGCTCTAAAAGCAGTTAAACAATCACATTAAAAACAGGGCAAATATTATGAGACTAATGTTTGGTAAAAGGGGAATGTACTTTTGGATAATGACTTTTCACTCTACATATGATATTGCAGCGATTAAACTCTGAAAGTAGTATAGCCTATTTTATACCTCAAAGATTGCATAAAATTGATTAAAATTGATGACTTAAAAATGTATATGTCTCGCAGCCGTTAAAGGTATCCGCCGTTTTGTCTCAGATTCTGAAACAAAATCTTGGATTCCGCTCATGCTGCAATGATAATTATAAATCTTTAGGTCAGTCAGGAACCCATGACATTTACAAGCCGATCGCCTGTCTGATTATCAAGATATTTTTTATTCGAAATCGAAACCAAATTTTGCGTTTTCCTAACAGTTTTCATAACACTACAGTCTATTGGGGAAAACGAGTATGGTAAAACCGGTCAATCAAAGATTTAAAAAAAAACTTGTTTTGAGGCACCTCTTGATCATTTTGAAGCGCGACTTTTTTTAGGGCTTCAATATTACACCATATCACAGACATTGATAATAGGGCCATGCATCTCAGATTTAACATTGCTAAACGATACCTTTACGCTGACTTGCACAAATTGTTTTACAGATAAAAACGATATACAACATTGTAACAACATAGTGTAAGGTAATAAATGTGATAAGCGATTTGGCATGGTATAATGATGATTATATTATTCATATAATGTGATGGTTGATTTTTTCTCCAACCGTATTAACTTCCGTCCGAAGAAAAAGAAAGAAAGGAAAAGCAAGTCAATCAATATCCGATTCGAAAACGGTATGGAAAACAAAATCTCGCCTTATGATTGAGCAATAAAAGTAATTAAAATTGTTGTGAAACACACTATCATAAAAAAAAAATCAATTAAAGGAATGGAATTGAATATCAATAAATCCATAATTCCATGGAATATATAGGCGATTTAAGCAACATCTGCCGCAGCTGTAATATATATATATATATATATATATATATATATATATATATATATATATCAAATTCTAAGATTTGATTGTGCCGATTAATCATTTTAGAGAGTTATCAATATTTACTTTGTTAACGACTTTTATCAATATCAAAATGTTAAATGGGATTACGACGATTAATTGTTCTTCAGCGATATTAATATTTACTTTGCTGACGGCTTCAATTAATATCTAAATCTAAAATTAGATTGTGGCAATTTATTATTTTGGAGAAATATCAATATCTAATTTGCTAACGACTTCAATCAATATCAAAATCTAAAATTTGATTGTGACGAATAATCATTCTGGAGATCATCATTTAATTATTTAATGCCCAACATTTTTTATTTTGTTATGAATATTATTTGTGAATAGTTTCTACTTTTATGGGGAGCTGATGTATTCTAAAATAGTGAGGGGACGGCATCGTCATCTCATGACCAATTAGGTTGCCGATTCGCCTCCATATCGAAAAAGGATTTTCATTATTTTTCAATTATATTGAAGAAAAAATTATTTCGTGTGTTTCTCTGCATCATCTGATTTAAAAAAATATATTATCATAAAGATATGATAACAGCGAAGTTAGACACTGGAGCAAATTAACAATTTACATTTTTGTTCTTTCTTAATTTGCGAGTTAAACGTTTTAAATCTTAGCAATGAGTTATTAGGCTAAAGCTTGCAATTAATGTCTGCAATACAAATGCAATTGTATTTATATTGTTACTGTGCTTCGTAAAGTTGCGTTAAAAATTTAGGATGAGTGTTATTTTCTGAAAGTTTCGGTTATTACTTTTTTTATTTGCGTTTTTATTGGTAAATCAAAAGTAATTACAATATTTACAGATAATTTACATAATTAGAAACAAATTCACTAAATAAATAAGAATAAAGCAATAACAATAAAATAAAGTAAATGGTACAATTTTTTTTGTTTAAAAGCAGAAAATTGATTGTCTTACCAGATATTTTCCACTGAGGAACTGGCTTCTTGAGGGTGTGCAGAGTGGGGCGACGTAATAACTCTCGAGCTTCAGTCCTCCGGCTGCAAGAGCATCGATGTTATCTGTCTCAATCGCTGATCCGTCGCTATGGTAACCGACATCGTTGTATCCGAGATCGTCTACCATGACGAACACGATGTGCGGAGTCGGCGGGCTCGCCAGAGCTAGGACTACTAGCTGAGCGAGAGCAAAGACCAGCCCCGTGTTTCTGGGAAAAACTGTCATCTTTGATCCTGTAGGAGAACAGGAAACCTTTCTTTATTTTGTCGAAACTTTTATCAGTTTAGGTTAACAAATTTGAAAACATGAGGAGCGTTCACACCTACAAAAAAAAGTATGATTTAAAAATCGATTTTTGCATCGCGATCCAAAATTCTGCTTTTTTTTTCTCTCGCGTGTGTGGACAGAATAATTCACTACTAGTAATCTTCCGATTCGCATCGCTGTCCAATTCGGTTTGCATCGCGATCCGAAGTGCACTAGTAATTGTTAAGTGTGAACAGGCCTATGGTTGCAAAGAATTTTGACGAATCAACCTAAGAAAATGTCCATACCCTTGTCCGTCATTGATTCATATTGTTGAACATTACAAGGAAGTAATCCGAACAAGATTTCAGGTGTTGAAATTGCTCGAGTTGATTTCTCGAAAGACTCTGCGATCGTATTAGCAGTATCTATATTGTCACGTTTTGACCATAAGAAATACAGCTTGTAGAGTGTTATCTATGACAGCGGTGTAGCTACAGGGGCATGGTTACATGACTTTTTTGTGTGTCCCAATAAAGAAAGAAAACATGAGAGAGAGAGAAAGAGAGAGAGAGAGCAAGTCAGATACATAGACAGAGACAGAGAAAGACAAGTTGAGGGAGAGAGAGAGAGAGGGGGACAAATAAAGACAGGGTGAGGGCAGAGAGAGCAGAGAGAGTGAGATAGAAGGGGGGGGGGGGTAACGTGAAAAACAAGAAAGATACAACCCACTCAAATAAACTCCCCTCACTTGTAAAATTCCATTCACTCAATAAGACCTGTGCCGCCCTCCCCCCCCCCCAAATGGGTGACCCTTCAACGACTGTGCCATGCATGGCCACGCCATTGACCTTTATTTACAATGACCTTGTTACAATGATCTCTGATTAAATGCAAACAAATCTAGATTAACAACAAATAGTTCAATTTAGAGTAAGTCCGAAAGAAAAAAACAATAGTTTCTTGACAGATCTGTGGCAATATTTACCATACATCCATAACAAAATTATTAATAAAATACGAAAAAGGGAAATGTTAGAACAACCAACAATAGGATGACGTGTTGGTGTAATCTTTATGCACGAATCATTATAGTACCTTTGCAAGAAATATGAAGAAAAAATAAGAAAAAAAGGGGCATGGGGTTTTTATCCGCTCCTATAACCAAAATTTCGAAAAAAAAATCTAGCACAATGAATATATAGACAGCAAAAAAAGGTTTAGAAATAGAATTCTACGTTTTATAATATCATTGTCTGTTTATTCATATTTTGTCAGAAACATTTTCGGACTTGACTTGTGCCCCTACCAGCTGCAGGAGAATCCTGGATCTACCATTGAAAGATCAATGTATATAATTATTTCATAGATCTCTTAATATGCCTATTCACTTGCAACCCGGCTACAAATAAATAATTTACTGACAGTCAGCAAAGCGGATAGCCTACGAGACCAACAGTCTGCAAACCGAAAGCCCGCCAGACCAAACGACGGCCTAAAGACTGACAGCACAGGAGACCAGTGTCACCAGCAGGCCGCGGGACCGACAGTTCACGAGACCGAAAACCCGCCAGACTGATGGCCGAAATAAGTGAGTCTCATGGGTACCTGTCGGATACCTTGATTGTTGGTCATCTCGGGCAATGTCGGATGTCTCCGAAAATCTACGTCACTGGGCAACATAATTAAAGACTTTCATACGACAGTAACAAATGAAATGTAGATCTTGATCGACTTATGGATGAAAAAAAAAAGGATCTACAAATAATAAGTAGCACATTTCACAATAGACCGAAAGCTTCAGTCTCGGGTATCGACGGTTGTTCCGCTGAGATGTTAGTTTTATTAAAGAATGACCCACACCAGACGGTTATTTCTGTCTAATTTCACAATAGCATATTCAACTGCAACTGGGCGATGGATGAAATCTTAATGAACAAAAGAAAATATAATCTAAATCACCGATTAATTGATTCATCACTATATCATGATCGTGAATTTTCGTACAGTATAATCACAAACTAATTCCAAAACAAAATGTGATAAAACATACACTTTAAGTTAATAACATATGAACATATTAATTTATATATATATATATATATATATATATATATATATATATATATATATATATAACGTGATAGCACCCGTGAAAATAATGTATAATGATATGATATATAAATGATGTATATAAAAATAATAATATTTATTACCTAACCGCGGTGTTTAGTAAAATGTAACAAGTCGAACTCCGTGACAGCTCTGTAATTCCACACTCTCGGTGGAAAGCTCGTTGAATGTCAATAAAAGCCACAAACGCGTCACCTTTATACCAACAAGTATATTGGCAGCAGTTAAAGCAAAGCGTCCTTGGTAGATGGCCGTAAACATTGGAGGTGCCATGACGTACCAGCAAATAATAATTATTGAAGTGTCCGCAAATAAATTAAAGATTAATCAGACCAAAACAAACTTCGTGATATTTGACTTTGGCAACGAAAATGATACTTTAATTGAAGCGGTAAATCTGACAATAGATAACAATAATAATGATATTGGGTTCTTGTATAGCGCTTGTATCTGTCAGATTTGACACTCAAGGCGCTCTCGATTATTACCCTGGCTTTAGCACGGCTGCCATTTCGGTGCTCTAGCATTTCATTTCATTTCAAAAAATTATTTCCTGCCAGGTACTCATTTACATCACCTGGGTGGAGAGTGGTAAATGTAGATTAATGTCTTGCCAAAGGACATTAGTGCCACGGCGGGACTCGAACCGCGGACCTTGTGATCGACAGTCCGGTGACGTATCCACTCGACCACGGCACCTCTACATATGGTACCTGTATTGACCAGGTACAATTTGCAAATTTTTTAGAAGTTGCCATTGACAATAAACTCACATGGGAAAAGCACATTTAATTAATTTCCAAGAAGATTCGATCTCAGGTCGGCATTATAAGCTAAGAATTGTTCTACCATCCTCTATCATGCTTTCTTTATATGTACTATACACTCGTATATCCATACCTAACGTATTGTAACTTATTGTGGGCGAGAACGTCTAATGAATTAATAAAGCCCCTTATCATACTTCAAAAGCGGGCTGTTCGGTTGTGCTGCAACGCTTTCTTCAGGGCGCGCACCTCTTCATTGTTTAAATCCTTAAATTTACTCAAACTTTCAGATATTCTTTCTCAATGTACTTCATTATTCATGTACAAACTCAAATATGCTATGTTACCTTTAACATTTTATGACAGTTTTCGTTTGAACTCGGATGTCCACTCATTTAATACAAGAAAAAAGGATGACTTCCATCTACCAAAATTCACCAACTCAGTTTTGCAAAAGTTTAATTAGATATCAAGGTCCTCATAAATGGATTCCATGTAAAGTCATTTAAAAGGTGTTACGAACCACAACGCATTTAAACTGAAACTGGAAAAACAATAAAGGCTTGCCAGTTATTGATTTATTGAAAAAAATGATATATTTGTTAGTACGTAACATGATTAGTATTTCATTGTATTGTATCTGTATCTTTTTATGTCTGGGGTTGCTTGTTTACAAGTTTTTAAGTTATTTTTTAAATCAATTTCGGTATTATCATAATTTCAGTTTGATTTGTATCTTTTGCCAAATATATGTGAATTTAATTACCAAAGAAAAACGGGTTTCCTTGCATAATTTGAATATTAGGACACTGCTAACGTTTAAATTTCACAGATAGGACATTATGTGCATATTCATAATTCCTGGACGATCGAGGACCATACAACATGGCGTTCCAAGCACATACATTGGATTTATTTTTAAGAATACAATCTAAGATATACTTTATTTTTTTAGATCAGATTAAAAAAGTCTGGTGTCTGATATACATTCATATAGGATTATAGGGGAATCGAAATCAAATTGAGGAGTTGAGATATAACAAAGAAAATAAACGCAACAAACTATTATGTCACCCGATTTTTTCCCCTCCAAATTAAGTGCTGATAGAAATGATTAAGAGACAATTCAGTTCAACAACTTAACTGTCAAAAGATCCTAAAACGCGATCGCAAAAAAAAATTAAAATCAACCTGAAGCAGTTTCAGAAGTCTAATCTATCACTATTTGTATAAAGTACAATAACTACATTTACAGTATATACATATTTGATATTGTTGTTGATGTATACATCAATACCTTAAATGTATTGATGTTGCCATTGTTTTTATTTCTTTAAAACTTTTGCTTTCGTAAATAAAATGTATCTTCATGTGCCATTAAAGAGACATGTCGGAGAAATAAATTCAGGTAGAAAATCGAATTGAAATAAAAAGAAAAGGAAAGGAAAGGAAAGAAAAGAAAAGGAAAGAAAAGAAAAGAAAAGAAAAGGAAAGAAAAGAAAAGAAAAGAAAAGAAAAGAAAAGAAAAGAAAAGAAAAGAAAAGAAAAGAAAAGAAAAGAAAAGAATAGAAACGAAAACAACAAAGCGTTGAAATGTTCAACCAGTTTCAAAACATTTGTTTGCACTTCTTTGTGACTTTCCCCCTCATATTAATCAAAGAGAAAAGAAATGCTGGACATTGCACAATGAATGACGAGTAAAATTAAGTAATTAAGTAATCTAGCATATCTAGTAAATCTAACAGTGTCATTGGACGAACTGGTTGCATGTATCGGGCTTACTAATCTTCATTGGATTAATTCAAGGGAAACACCATCATCATGTACATGTATTATCAATAGAAAGAAGCTTCCAACAAGAGCTAACAATATCACAGTATATATAATACATAAAATGTAAACTTTGATGCTGGTTTCAGCAAACTTAGTACCAGTATATGTTTGCAAACACGTCAATCATTCCTTGGAAAAGTGCTGTACGATAGCCTTACAAGTATTTTTTTCTAAGTAGTGTCAAGAGTTTAGAGAAAGGAGCAAGGACGAGAGAGAGGTTAGGTGGAGAAAAATTTATAAACCAAGAGCAAAAGAGAGGGAGACTGAGAGAGAGAGAGAGAGAGAGAGAGAGAGAGAGAGAGAGAGACAGAGAGAGACAGAGAGAGACAGAGGGGAGAGAGAGAGAGAGAGAGAGAGACATAGAGATAGAGACAGAAAGAAAGAAAGATGAAGCAAAGGAAGATTTTACACTACATCATTACATAAGAAAATAGACAATTTTTTAAAAATATCTTTCGAAATATAAATTCCAATTTATTTTATATTCCAATTTACACACAAATATATAATTGTACATGGATTGCAACGTATATCATTCTATGAATAATGTCCATGATAATATTCAGCTTTGATGCTGTACATGCCTTATTTCTGTCATGAAAAATATATATAATTCAGTTTAAAAAAGGCCAACCCTGAAGAATTGTAAAACATGGAAGAAAAAGTCACTTAAAAACTGTGTAGATAATCACCCCTTTCTGGACTTTCTCTCATAGGCTTAATAAATATGCTATACTGCCAATCTGATGACATAATACATGAATTCAAAGAAATTGTTCCAAGCTTCTAAAAAATTTCTAATTAACTTCTTGTAATAATTAGTATATACAAATTATACTATGACGATGATATTGCTACTGACCTAAAATTCATAAGCTATAATACAGAAGAAGTGTCAAACAACAAATCTCTTCTAATTTGTTGTAATATTTCTCTCCATTTGTAATAAATGTATAAGCTTCTCTTTTTGTTTGTAAGTATTTCTTGTTTTTGCGCTTTGTATCTAATGAAAAGGCGCTTTTTAAATGTTATATCATTATAAATACATTATTATTACTATGAATATGTTCAAAATGTAAAAAAAAATACATATAAACAACTTATCAACTCTCTGAATATTTATACAAATCGAAAATATTTGGTTATGTAATTAACCATATCCATTTCATCATAAAACTCATCAGGTATAAAACTTCACCGAATATTTAGACATTAAAGATAAACTCCAGTTCTGGTTAAAAAAAGAAAATTAATTCTCACAGAATCAAACAAAACTTACACTGAATGTTCAAGATTACAAATAAATGACATGTGCCAAACAATTTTGGAAAAAAATGTATACTGGCTGAGTAATGAGCATAGAAAGACAAGGAAATCAAGGTAGTACTGGCCCCCTGACACCATGTGTGTTGTCCCATATATAGCTTTCTGTGTACAGTGCTTGTTACTTTACCAAGACTCGGCCAAATTTATTATGATTTTGATGACTCCAGAACCTTGCAGTGCACACCAATACTTACATGCTACATGATCAACTGTTTCTGATCCATTCCACACCTTTTCTTTCACAATGCAATCGCATGACCAGAACTCACCTTTACCTTTAATATCACCAAGCAAGTAAATTGGGCATATGAAATAATGTGACCTCATAATGGCTCTAGTCCAATAAAAACAAGCAAAACCAATGAAAGATCAACCCTTGTGTAAAATGTATAAATATTTAAAAAACAGTACTTTTTCAATTCCATTCAATTCTTGGACCACACATTCTACTCACATATCCCTATAGAATAAGCTTAACAAAGCTTTGGCACTTATGTAATAATTAAAATAAAATTAATGTATAGTGCTGTACATTATCAAAACTTTCAAATGTAATATATGTGCATTAAAAAAATAAAAACACTCTTAAAATTGGAGGTAGAATTTGTTTTTCTGTGACCCGCTGACTGTAGATATTATATTACACTTACTATAATGAGCATATCAATGACAGTCACAATATTTACACGATTCCTTCCTCAAAAGGAAATAGAAAATTACTAAAATATGAAACTTCCAATCACCAGAAAACATTTTGTTCCATGTTGCTACACCCTGATCAAAATTATGAACTTCAAACATTACTTCTATTAATAATCTTGATTTATATTGCACTTAATATGGAATACCTTCTCTAAGCCCTTTACAGATATCATTACCCCGGTCATCGGATTAATTCATGCACAATGTGCACTATCTCCACTCTTTGAGGAGTATTCCTACCATATGTCACCGTGAGGGCATAGGCAATTACTAACACAAAGGCTTTCGTCATCCTACCTGGTACCCACTTCTCTCTTGGGTATTGAGTGGTAAATGTAGATTAATGCCTTGCCAAAGGACAACAGTGCCATGTTGGGGATCGATCACTCGAGGCCACGACCTTTGAATTTCAGGTAAAGTGCTTAAGCCACTCGACTACAACACTAAAGAGATAATATTGCAAGGTCACATGCACTCTCAATAAACACAAAAGCAACGATGAGTGGACTAATCGAGGCATCTGTACTTTTTGCAGTAGAATATATAGGGCATGCAAGAACCCGACACAGTGAGTCCGCCAGATATTGTATTATCATTTTTTTTCTTCTTCATCGTTGACCAATTTAAATGCCAGTTTTGGGGTTTTGTTAGGTGAACTTCATACATCTTAGCTGTTAACAGAATTTTCTTTAGGTGATTGGTATTCTTTAAGACTTATTGTGAACTAAAAAAATATATACCTTCATTATAAATGACAGGAATAAAATTCTTGCAGATAGGCACCACCACACTAGTCAATAAAAACTGAATACCAGTTTTGTATTTAAAAAATCACACCATATATTACAAATTACACCATAAATATTCATTCATCTACAGATCAAGTTTAAGATTTTTTTGAAAAAGAAGGAAATTGCACCAACCCAATATTTATGGGTTTATTGTTCTGGTTGTTTCCGATGTGATAAGGCAACTGAGAAGAAAGACATAATCTCATCATCAAATTTTAATACACTACCATATATCATATGGTACAGCAATATCATTATGTCGCTTCTATCTGAAATATAATGTGAGCTTTGATAATGTGTAAAAAGGGTAACAAATTTCATCTCGACTGTTTTGCAAATGAAAAAAAGTCAACGCAATGCGTAGCACCCCCTCGTCGGGTACAAATAGCCTATATTTAGCGAATTTTGCATATTTAATGAGCTGTGACCTTTGAAGTACATACTCAACAACATTATTTACGATATTGAATGAAAACCACATTTTCGTATATTTAATGAGCTATGACCTTTGACCTACATACTCATTGATGGGTTTTATCGTTATGTACAAATGTCAATATATCTGCCCATGTGTAAATAGTATCTCTAAAGTGGGTTATTTAGATGCATTTTATCATAAAATACAAAAAATGTGAAAAAGTAACTTCACTTAGAACATCATTTTGATAAAGACTAAAAAGGAATATCGATCAGAATGATGAGGTAGATAATTACCATGACAATGAGGTAAAAAGATAGCTTAATATATAGCCATTGCATCTGGTATTTAATCACACACACATCACCAGAGTTTTAATTGTTTCTGTCCTAACCAGAATCCAGGAAAACCTTTCAAAAAACTACCGGTATTCATTTTCATTGCAACTCTTATTTGATCAAAGATATACCATGAATTGTGTACAATGACTTAAATCTAATACACTCTCCATCACGAATATAGTTATATATACAATTAAATGGAGATATGTAGAGAGTGTTACGCTATGAATATGACGGACAAAGAAAGCGGACAAAATAAACAGTTGCTCATTGTACCCTCAACAATTTCTGTGGTAGACAAAGGAACATCCCTTCACTGCTATTAAGTAAAAATCTGTAGAACAGGTGAATATGCATGTGACACCTGTCCTACAGATTTGTACATAATAACAGTAAAGGGATGTTCCTTCGTCTACCATAGCACTTGTTGAGGGTAGAATGAGGAACTGTATATTTTGTCCGCTTTCTTTGTCCGTCATGTTCATAGTGTTATGAGCTAAAAGGGCGTTTGAATCGTATACTTTGACATAGAGTGAACGCCCTTCTGGCTCTCAACAGATAATACTTACCAGTAAATACACTTTGAGGTCAAATCTGAATGATCCCTGAAGCAATATATATGTACATGTATGTGTTAAATTCTTATCTGATAGAATGATAGCACAATCATATAGCATTACATTTGAATGTATATTATAAGTCGTACTAGTAATAGTTCCCTCATAAAAAGCACCTTTTCATGAGGCGACTTACCACAATCATAAAGGTGATAATCATATAGACCTTCTTTGGAGACAGGTCTAGGTAGAAGATATATATATATAATTTGGGTTACTTTCCACACAATCGATAGGGATCAGAATCAAAAGTCTTCTTTGGGAACAGGTCTAGATAGAAGATAGATCATTCTGGTGACTTTCCACACAATCGATAGGGATCAGAATCAAAGGTCTTCTTTGGGAACAGGTCTAAATAGAAGATTGATCATTCTGGTGACTTTCCACACAATCGATAGGGATCAGAATCAAAGGCCTTCTTTGGGAACAGGTCTAGATAGAAGATAGATCATTCTGGTGTCTTTCCACACAATCGATAGGGATCAGATTCAAAGGCTTTCTTTGGGAACAGGTCGAGATAGTAGGTGGACCCATTGTAGGTAGCAATTGTAAATACAAAGCACAGGAATACGATGTGGGCAATCCAGAAGTTAAACCATAGCCACGTCATCGCGATGGTTATGGAGGCATAGATACCCTGAAAGATCATGTACACCAAAAATCTGAACCTGAAAGAGAGAAAAACAGAACATTTAATAATAATAATAATAATCTTTTAAAGTCCAATCCAAATTTGATTAAGTTAAACCGAAAATGGAAATTCTTTTTGCCCAATTGATCGTGAGCCCGGCAGCCACTGAGCAGCGCCAGATCGACGTTGCTCTATCCCTTATTGTTGAACGCCAAACAAGGTAGCAGCAACTCCCGTCTTTTAACGTATTTTGGTATGACGCGGCCGGGGTACGAACCCACGACCTCCCGGTTGTGAGGCGGACGCTCTACTGACTGAGCCAATTATAAATGATTAAAAATTCAATTAACCTACTAGTCACACTTTTCTTATAACTTAAAATGTGTTTCCATTGTGTATTTGTCAATATTCATGTCTGGCTTAGTTACTTAACAGCTCAGATTAAAGACAAAGCCAGATAGTCTCGCAAAAGATCTATATTAATTCTGGCATTATTTAGTCGACTGATATATCAAAGGCCAAGGTTAAACTCTCAAAGATCTATTCACACTGCTGCAACTATGAAACCAAATAAAGAAACAAAACTACTTTCGTCATGACATGAAAATGAGAAGGTAATGTCACAGAAAGAATTTTCTGTTGATGCTTTTTTTTTTAATTTGAAGAAAAAAGAATTCAGACATTTTATAGAGGCTGAAAAGTCATTTGGCATTCCATAAATCAATAGATTAAACAAAAACATATTAGGTGGAGTTTAAACAGGACTAAAGTTTGACGGCATTCAAGATTATGGGCCGATAATCTATGTACATGTGTCTTTCCTTTGATTATTTCAGACTGATAAAAGTGTTAAGTAATCACATATTTTAGGATGTAAAATAGCTCCAAGTCTGGTGCTATTGTTATGGAACCAAAGAATCAAGGTTCAAAGTCCAGTCAATGAGGTTCGGTAATAGTGTGCTCAGCCTCATGTGTTCCAAACTTTAAAGCACCTTTTCTCTGGATACATTTATTTGATATATGTGACCATAGGATGGAATCTTTTAGGACATATCATTAATGTATTTCTTAGTTTGTACAAATCGAAAGTATAATTCATTACATATATTTTCTCAAAAAGGAGATGATAAAAAGAAGTCTGACAAAATTAACTCTTGTAAAAATTGTAATTGGAACTACTCTTCTTTTCCTCCTTCCTCTTCCTTTTCTTCTCCTTCATCTTATTCATATTATCTAATCATTGTTATAATTATCATTATTTTTTTCTATTGTAGTTATTATTATCATCAACATTATTATTATTTATGTCAGTAACCATTATTATGTTAAATTGTCATTATCATCACTACCATTATTATTATTTATTATCATATTTATCATCATCATGATCATCCTCATCATCATGATCATCATCTGCACCATCACCATCATTGTCATCATCATCATCATCATCATCATCATCATCATCACCATCATCATCATCATCACCACCACCACAACCACCACCACCACCCAACCACCACCACCACCATCATCATCGTCATCATCATCATCACCACCACCACACCCAACCACCACCACCATCATTGGCAGCAGCATCCTCATTATCATCATCATCACCAACAACAACAGTGCTATTGTTGCTGTTGTTCTTGTCATTCCAATACCAGTACTCACTTTCCTCCTTTACATCGAATAGCCCTAGAGAAGACGTTGTTACTCTGGTAAGCTATAAAGGTGTAGTTATTGAGGTACTCGGAAGAGCTGAAGGTAGATCTGTACGAGAAAGAAAAATTTAAAGCTGTGAGTGATTGTGTGAAAGTTGCTATTATAGAATTAAGATACCAATAGCTTTCCTTGTTACTGTTATTTAAAGGGTTCCAATAATTATTATAATCTGGATTTATACAGCAGACCTGCCAACCTCTGGAGTTTAAAAACTGTATTCTTTAATCCCAAAAGTTGTATTTTACTGACAAAAGTTGTATTCTCAAAAATAAACACAGACTGTTACGCGGATCAATGCCTCTTACAGTTCTTACATACAGGAATAATTTTTTTATGGATCATTGGTTGAATATGCATGATTTTGTCACGACTGGTGTGCTCGATGAAGCAATGAACATCCCCAAATTGCAGATGTGAAATGCTTGTAGGACACTAAACAGGACAGAATGGGCATTTTGCCATTGAAAATGGCACACACACAAAAAAAAATTTTAAAAATTATTTAATGTCATTTTTGCTTCTAAAAATCGTACAAAATACAACTAAATCGTACTGGTTGGCAGGTCCGATACAGTGCTTAATAACAAAATACCATCTCTAAGCGCCTTACAGATATTATTATCCCCATCGTCGGATTCATTCATGCACAATGTGTACCATCTCCACTCCCTGGGGAGTATTCCTACCATATGGTAGCTGTAAGGGCATATGGCAATTACTAACTCAAAGGCTTCATCCTACCAGGTCCCCATTTCTCTCCTGGGTATGGAGTGTTAAAAAAAAGATTGATGCCTTACCAAAGGATATTAAGTTCAATAACCATTTCATTTTCTTATCTAACCATTTTGACCAAAGAACTGAATTACTTGAAAAGAGAGGGGACATGAAATATTTATGCCTTGAAATGCACTGTTTACTGGTAATGGGAGACAGAGCTAAACCTGGATTAATATTTTGTGAAGGCACTTGAAATGCAGAGATGTTGTATCATAATATGATGTGTGCTATACAAAAACAGAATTTTGTTATTAACTCCATTCTTATGCATATACATGTACTTACCCTAAGGCCCACACAAAGAGCGCTAAATACAATACCTACAAGAGAAGAAAGAGATATATTTCATAAATTATTCACATAGCACGTACGGGATATCAGGGTTAACATTTAAATGTCAATATCTAGTAGCTGATACCATTTTATTGGGTCATAATGAGAATTCTCCTCAGTAAAGATGATGGCAAGAAAAAAGGTATCTATGTAACTTAATCTGCACTGTATACGTGACACAACACCAATAAATGATAATAACTAACCATCCTTCTTGCAACTTTGTGACAGAAGGCATTCAAATTGTACATTTAAGCCGCTCATAATTTAGAGGTAGTGGAGAACAATCTACATGTAGCAATCTTTTTTTCAGGTGATTAGTACAATTTAAACAGAAATTTTAAAAAAAAAGTGCCACGACACCAGTAAATGATATTAACTACACCAGGGCCCTGCCTCACAAAGAGTTGCGATTGATCTATACCAGTCGTAAGTCCTCTAATTAATCACAAGTTTGCAGTCTCCTATCTCTTATGTACATAGTTGCGATTGATATCAATCGTAAATAAGTTGGGATTAATATCAACTCTTTGTAAGACAGGGCCCAGAACCATCCTTATTGCAACTCTGTGACATAAGGCATTCAAATTGCACATTTAAGCTGCAAACGGTGTGTTGGCTCAGTCAGTAGAGCGTCCGCCTCACAACCGGGAGGTCGTGGGTTCGAACCCCGGCCGCGTCATACCAAAAGACGTTAAAAGACGGGAGTTGCTGCTACCTTGTTTGGCGTTCAACAATAAGGGATAGAGCAACATCAATCTGGCGCTGCTCAGTGGCTGCCGGGCTCACGATCAATTGGGCAAAAAGACTTTCCATTTTCGGTTTAACTTAATAAAATTTGGAGTGGACTTTAAAAGATTATTATTATTAATATTTAACAATCTTGGACTTACTAAGTGGCACATGTAGCAGGCAAGAGGAACGGCCACGAGCCACAGAAACTCCCATCCCGTAGCCATCTCCATCCTGGTGGTGTTGGCAAAGTCTTGATACCAGTGCTGCGACGTCTCGGTAGGATACCACCGCACCAGGTAGGTGATCAAGCTGGGCATGAGATGGATGATGAGGCACGTCATGCGCTCGATGCTGTGCGGAACCAGACAGTTACGAAAGAGCACGATGGACCACGTCACTGGACCGTTGGTCACGCCAAACACGATCATGAAATAGTTGGATTTGTATGGGGCAGCCCTGTGTTGCATAAGAGAGGAAACACATATGTAAGACACTAACAAAGTTGAAGGACTGGTAACATATCTTCAAGAATGAAATATCTATAAAATCTATCTACATGTATATATAGTTAACAACTAAATTATTCATACTCTTTCCAAGATTTTTTTTTTAAAGTATGTGAAATATTGATATGTCCTGACTTATGTTTCTTGAGAATGGGACATATTAAAGCTTACAAGTCCACCTTTCATTCTTAAATTATGAAAAACACAAAAAACATCAAATTTACTTGGGGAATGAATAAATCATTTGTTACGTATCTACAAAATTAAGTTATTCAATAATGACGATAATGCATGGAATTGCTCAACGATTTATACTACAGGTGTACATGTATTGAGACTTCAGCAAATTTCTCATATTCAATGCCTTTTCTATATAAAATGATATTATAGTTTACAGTTACCTCTATTATTATCAGTAATACTGGACCAGCCCAAACTGTACATTCACTCAAGTTCATGAGGGGAGGGGGGAGGGGAGGGGGGGGGGGGGGGGGGGGGTATCAAACTAAAGATATGTACATGAATATGCTTGTTAGTTGTTACCATCTACTGTAGCTAAAACTGATTACATAAAGTAATTCAGCAATATACCTTACATGTACCTTCTATGCCCCAATGAGGGGCTTTTCAAGGAATAAAATTGTTTGTCACTGTTATTGTCACTGTCCTTGTCATATCGCACAAGAGTACCCAGTTTACTTAGAACCTTTATTGATTCAATCAGGTTCTATCAGATACTCAAGAGACCGAGTCTAATCTTCTTATCCTAAAATGTTATCAGCATGAGTTTCAAAAGGAGGTCATTTGGTACCGATTTATAGCTTTTATACTACACAGCACTGTCTTTTGCTTGAAAAGTTGGTGTGACCGTGCAATAATGTACCATGTAACACTTTTTCAATCCAAGTTTTGGGGGATTTCTTTTAATTTTACACTGTTGAAAAGATTTGACTGCGCACTGCAAGAAACCTACATAATTATTGTTGTAGGGGGCCATGATGAACACATGAAATTATAATAACAATAACATTAATGGTAAAGAATATTACATGTACATGTAGGCACATATTTTTTTTGCAGAAGTTAGATAGAATTTAGGAACATATTTATCAATATTTGATACAATATACCAGATGCATAAATTCACTTGATCAATGATTCAACGATCCAAAGATCCCCACTTTAAGTAGATTTGCGCACATGAATATCTTTCAAACAACTAGGTTCATCCCTGCTATAGACATATTACATAACGAGACACACAATATCTGCAACTTGTCTTGACCTGGACAGAACAAGGAATATTTTGGGATTCCTTCTGTAATTACAAAGTGTGCTGTATCTTGGGTTAGTCTCTAAGAATTATCAAACTAGAATTACAGTCAAACCTGCTTTAGTGACAACCATTCTACAAAGACATTTGTTGTTTCCCTTGAAAATAGTTTCTCATTGAATCATGTACTAAAGGAACCTGTCTACAAAGACCACCTGTCTACAAAGGCCACTTTTTGTGTTTTCCTTGGGTGGTCGCTATAGACAGGTTTAAATGTACATACATATAACAATTATTGCTGTCATGGGGCTTCCCTCCATGTTATCTAATTTAAATGATATGATGCTAACCTAGCTCAGGTAGTAATATGGGCAGCAAAAATAATAATAAAACACACCAAAAGATAATTTGTGCTATACTTCTTTTTATTTGTCCCCCACCTCCCGCCCCCCCCCCCCAAAAAAAAATGTAATGATAGGAAAGCTCTATTAGTCTACAATGTTTAATTAACAATTTCAAAAGTAAATTTGTTTGGGGGGTTATGATTATCAAATTCAAAAATACAAATTCCTCCTGTTTTCTTCATCTGTAGCTCACAAGAAATGTAGAGGGGTACTCACCACAGGAACAAGATACTCATTGCATTTGCAACATAGCACCAGTCCGCTAGGAAGAACTGCCACTTGAGATTGGTATACTTGTAGGCACGGATTGGTATGAGGACAGACAGATAGGCAGTGTAGAGGTAGGGCAGGAACCATTGGAAAGACATCATGGAACAGCAGACGACTATCACCGTCAAGATGCTCACGACGAAGACCATCTTCTCGGGGCAGTTAGACTTGTTGAGCTGTTGGTTAAACAAAGATTATTTTTTTAATTCAATTTTTAGTTTCTTCTGGTAGGGTCGAGCTTGGTTATAGATCTAATTTCTTTTTGTCATGTATTGTATACAGCATTGGTTTACATCAAAACCTTTCAAAAATATAATACTCCAATTTATAAATTACACAGAAATGAAAACCAGATAAAATGCTTATAGCCACTCTATGGTCTCGTTCAAAAGTTTGCTATGGCAAATTAGTGAAATGGCATATATTATAAGTGTATTACCCTTCAAATTTCTGTACCTTACATTCCTTTTTCAATATGTATAATGATTCATAGATGAATATAGTTTGCTGTGGCAGCAATAGCAAGTCTAGAGGCACATCACGAAGCACAGTATGTAGAAAATAATGCAAAAACGAGCCCCCCCCCCCCATTAAACAATATATATATCGTGGAACCACTCCTGTGTGTGTTTTGTGAGATACATGTTGTTTACCACATCATTTGAACTGGACCTTATTTGTCCTTTGACCATATGGTAAAGTACTTCCCACAAGGTAATGATATAGACCGCCTGTTTCCCTTTTGTTATGTACTAAATTATGTTCTTTACCTACCAATATATTTTTAATTTATTCCTGGAGACCAGCCCTTGACAGGTCAATGGCCTTTGTTGGCTCCTCCACATTCTCAAGTATAAGTTCTAGGTGCTTAAAATTCTTTTAATATTGTTATGTTATTTTCTTGTTTTGTTTTGTTGTATTTAATCAGATATTGTATGTAAATTGTTATATGTTTTTTATGAGAAGTGGAAAATAAATGAAATAAATAATAAATAAAATAATAATGAGTGCATGTACTTCACTTTACAGATTAACTAAAATATTTACCCTGTCTTTGCATCCTAGTTGTGGTTTTGATTCTACAGCCTGGACTTCATGATAAGGCTGTTCTATCTCATTTAGCCGATGCTCAGCTACCGATCCGCTGTCTCGGATCACATCGTCGGCTGGGTAAGCCCATTTTGTACCATCATCCTGTTCTGCTACTTCGGTGAGTTGCTTCAGAGAGCAGCCATTCAAACCATTTTGGAGTGACATGCTGTAGTATCTGTTGTGTGCAAGCGTTTGGTCTGCACACACTCAGTTTGCTGGAAGGAAAGAGTATTACAGAATATATCAATGATAATTTATATGTATGATAAAATATATTCGCCTGATTGTCTTAAAATTACCAAGAGGGGAAGAGGGAACAAAATGATTAATTTCATTCTTCAAGGTAAAAAGAAGATAATGAACCAGTTTAAATAAACATTTCAAGTGTACCGATAATGAAATCACCAACACACCAACACATATTTCGCCCTTGATGTCAGTGGTTCAATGTCACTAAATTATATTAAATATGAGTATAATTTCTTTTAAAGATATGATAGTTCAGAGGCTTTTGATGTCGTCCAACACCAACGTCTCCTTATGAAATTAGACTTTTATGGTATTCATTCAAATAATAAGAGATGGATATCTAGTTTCGATAAAAGCATAATCCATTCAGAAATTCCAATGAATTACATCATACAGAATATAAAATCTGAAGTCATATTTAAAAATGGATAGAGAAAATATAATTTTTCTTGAAAAACATATAGATCTATAGCTCCCATGATTTACAGTTGTTTTGACTGTACGATGGATTTTACCTTGGCTTGATCATGAAATTCGTGACAGATGCACGCATAGATACCTGCGTTATACTGCAACACCATCACCAACACCGAACTTGAAATCACGAATTTCCCAATCCCTAGGGGCTGGTGTTGGTGAATGGGAAAATTACACGTAAATCATCAACACCAACCACGATACTCGGTTTAGCAGACGACATTCAACACCAGCCCTCAACACAGACTACCGGAAATGCATCATATTTTCCAAGGTCAACCTCAACACCAGCATGATTTCATGATTTTGGTGTTGTAGCTGGTGATGGTGTTCTCACAACACCAACACCAGGGGCTGTATTCTGAACCCTGTGTTATCTCTAATATTGTTGTATCTTTGGAGATAAGATAAAGTTGGTATTCTGAACATTGTTGTAACTTCTTTGTATCTTTTGTTGTATCTTTTCTCTCTCATCTCTTTGGCCGCGCCTGCGCTCAAACTGTAGTGCGCTTGTATTGTGCGTATTACTAATAAAATTGTGCTTAATCCTCATTTGCATATGCGCACAAGAGATAATATGACAAGATAATTGATATTCTGAAAATTGTTGTATCTTTTATCTTATCTTCTCTTGCATGGTATTTACAACAATATTTACAACAGGTAGGGGGCTGTTGTATCTTTCGTGGTGATATAGATCTAATGGCGGCAATCTTTGTTGCCCAGAACCAACTTCGTGCCAATAGACGAGTTAGAAGAAGATTGTGCGTTGACCGGAAACATCACAGATGAGAACTTTCTAAGAAATTACATGCTAAGATATGACTATTTTAATGCTCTCATCTTAACCAAAATAAGTGAAAGCATGACTTGTCTTCATAATCCACATGCCACAGCGCATATGATGACGCGCGTAATAAGCGCTCAATTAACTAATTACGCCCAAGATTAGTATGCGCTAGGCGCATCTTAAGATATGGCATAAAGTATTCCTATTGGTTGACGTACTTATCATGCTTATCAGTGGTGGATTCAGGGGGGGGGCACAGGGGGCACGTGCCCTCCCGGCCAAAAAAAAAAGAAAAGGAGAAAAAGGAGGGGGAGAGAAAAAGGAGAGGAAAAGGAAAAAAAGGAATAGAGAAAGAAGAATAGAGAAAGAAGAATAGAGAAAGAAGAATAGAGAAAGAAGAATAGAGAAAGAAGAAAAGAGGGAGGAAAGAAAAGGGGAGAGGAGAAAAAAGGAGGGGAAAGGGAAAGAGAGAGAGAAAGAAAAGGCGGAAAAAGAAGAAAGGCGGAAAGACGGAGGAGAGGAAAGGGGGAAAAGGAGAATAATGAGAAGGGAAAAGAAAGAAACGAGGATGATATTATAAGAAGGTTTTTTTTACCGGGTATAACTTCAAACTTCTTACTTAGTCTTGAATTAATTTTTCCGATATACCTACTCTAAGTGCTCTTTCAGCATGCAGATTGTCCCCGCCATTAATCCTGCCACAGTTGCTGGTTTCATTGTCATATTATTTTCTGTCATCCCTGTGGCCGCAAAGTTTCTATCCGTTTCGCAAGCACTTTTTTCCATCGCCTACATGTAATGCTTATTGCTTCCAGTTTGCAAAAGATCCCAGTAGCGGATCTGTGGGGGATGGGGGTGGGGTTAGGGGGTTTACCGCCCCCTCCCCCCCATTGGGCTGCCAAGTGAAAATGTGATGTGAATAGAATAACGCCAAACCCACACAGTATCCGTATCGTCATCGGGTCAAACCCCCCTTAAACTGTTACTTGATTTAAAAAGACGTTATCGTGCACTGCTTTTTATGGTCTCCATTGTGTTAGTAGATGCCAGGAAAACATCACTTACGGGGGTTCAAAATAGCAACAACAAAAATCGCCTCGCCGCTATGCGGCTCGGATTTTGAGGCTCGTGGACAATGCTCCGGATCGTGTTTGGGTCGAACCCCCCTCAAACTGTTACTTGATTTAAAAAGACGTTATCATAAATTGCTGTTTATGGTCTTCATTGTGTTAGTAGATGCCAGGAAAACATCACCTACGGGGTTCAAAATAGCCCCCCCCCCCCCCAAAAAAAATAAATACAAAAAATCGCCTCGCCGCTATGCGGCTCGTGGACTATTGGGTTGAACCCCCCTCAAACTGTTACTTGATTTAAAAAGACGTTATCATGAACTGCTGTTTATGGTCTCCATTGTGTTAGTAGATGCCAGGAAAATATCACTTACGGGGGTTCAAAAAAGCCCCCCCAAAATCGCCTCGCCGCTACGCGGCTCGTGGACAATGCTCTGCATCGTCTTTGGGTCGACTCCCCCTTAAACTGTTACTTGATAAGACGTAATTATCATGCACTGCTTTTTATGGTCTCCATTGTGTCAGTAGATGCCAGGAAAACATCACTTACAGGGGTTCAAAAGAGCAACAACAAAAAATATCGCCTCGCCTCGCCGCTTCGCGGCTAGTGGACGATGCTCCGTGTCGTCATTGGGTCACCCCCCCCCCTTAGCAAAAAGCCAGATCCCATCATCCGCCCCTGAATCCCTACTCTTTGAGGGGTAGGAAAAAGCAATTTTACATCACATTACTCCAGGAAGTGCCTGAAAATGCACCTAATGTGGATCTAAAATTGCTTCCTACTCAGGGAGGGGGTTCTGACCCCCTCCCAGACCCACCCCCGCTTGGTCGCTCCGCTCCCTCGCCGCTGACGCCTCGCTCCATCGTTTTTCATATATTTCACCCCATGCGATTTTGTGCCCCCCCCCCCCCCCCAGTAAGAAATTCCTGGATCCGCCACTGCTTAAATAAAATAGATTTTGATTGGTAGGGCTACGGTAGGGTCCATACAAATGGGCATGTCAGTGGTCAAAGATAAGAATTAAGATAGTCTAGAGGCGGTCCTTTAATAAGAGATAACACAGGGATACAACAATGTTCAGAATACCAACTTACAACAATATTAGCGCTGTGTTATCTCTGGAAGATACAACAAAAGATAACACAAAACTTACCACAATGTTCAGACTGCAGTGGCACATAGAGTCTACCGGTACATGTAGCCTACACTGCATCGCAGGCTAGCTGCGCGGCGGCCAGCTCCAGGCGCCAGCGTAGATACATTTACACTGGCGGCCGAATGGTCGCGGCATTTGCGTTGCCAGCCGCGCTCAAAAACAAAAACAAAGGATAGGCTCACACAAAAATATTATTACTCACAAGATTATAGATTTAAATAGCCAACCGATGTATGAGCCATAGTCAAGTTGATTAAATAAAAGGCGGCTGCTAGATATAGGTGTAGAAATGGTGGGTGTTGTGGTCCAATTTAATGCGTAACCAAATTTTTGTTGTTGCAATCGAGCTAGTCCTTGAAATTAGAAATTTATGACAAGCCAAAGGTTTACACATGCGTTGATTGTCAGTATGGCATGCCATCGTAAGTTGCTAGTTTGTGTTTTGTGTATGCAGGATAAACAATCCAAAATAAATCATAGCAATATGAAAGTTATGAATTTTTGAAGTAAACCCCCTATGTGATAAATCAAACACACATTGGCAACTCTGTGACGTACCTCGCGGGATTCCCCTCCCATTTGCTCTGTACCATAAATTTCATAAACTTTCATTTCCTTCGTTATTGATGAACTACAGGGATTGTGTGGAAACATTTGCAGTAATTACGTTTTTGAATAGTGTATCTAAAAATGTTCTTTACGGAAAAATAAAAACATATTATTCATTTCATTAGGCCTACTACATTTCCTAACGAGGGAAGCATGAACAATGACAATATTCAGATTATTTACCTAATTTGTCTTCGGCAAAATGTGTTCATGAATGCAAATCAAAATGGTGTGATTTGGGTGAAGATTCCCGCAACGATCTTACATGTCCATCGGTGTCCATGTCTGTGCGAGTGGACTGGTCTAGCGCCATCTATCAACAACTATTTGAGAGGACTGCTTAGAGATCCTCTTACACTGGTCTGATACAAAAAAACGTATATTAATGTGCCATTTTCGTAATGTAACAAAATGGAATGCATACGTCTTGGCGAAGTGCCTCGATACATGTGATTTCATCACTATGAACATGACGGACAAAGAAATAGGACAAATATACAGTTCCTCATTCTACCCTCAACATCATCCCTTCACTGCTATTATGTAAAAATGTGTAGAACAGGTGAATATGCATATTCACCTGTTCTACACATTTTTACATAATAGCAGTGAAGGGATGTGAGGGTAGAATGAGGAACTGTATATTTTGTCCTCTTTCTTTGTCCGACATGTTCACAGTGCATCCACCTGTTACGAATAATTATTGTATTTCAGTAATGAGAATGCAAATTGCATATTTTACAAGTTGTGAGGTTGCGCAGATCACAATGTTTGTCCTACCTAGCTAAATAGGGACTTTTAGATTTGCGTGGACTGATACGTGTGACGTCCATTCAAGGCAGTGTATTAAAAGGACGTCGATCATAGCAATCCACGTTGTCGTTGTGCAAATCTAAAAGTCCCTAATATAAGGCAAGCACTTCGCATCCCGACTATTGAGATATAATAATATTCGTAACAGGTGAAGTAAATCATTGGTAGTGAGTCACTTCACAAAGACGTGTGCATTAAATTTAGTTACATTACAAAAATAGCTCATTGAATGGACCTGTGCGAAGGACTGGTCTAGCGCCATCTATGAACAACTTTAAGAGATTGCTCATGAACTTTTACGGGAATGGGCAGGTAGCAATCCCGGTCTAAAACATTACAGCTCGAATTATGGAGGATAGGAGAGATGAAGTAAACATATCAAAATAAAACTGTCTATCAGTTTATTTAAATATCTTTATTTAAAGAGATGAGCAGACACGCGCGCAAGTAAAATAGAGATACTTTCTTATATAGGCGAGGGAGAGAGAGAGACTGAGAGAGAGAGAGAGAGAGAGGAGGCGTTGTGGATGTAAAGAGAAAGAAAAGAATAGAACAAAAAGGTATTGAATAAACTTTATAAGGAGTCTCTACAGAATAACAAGAAAGAGGAAGAAGGAGTCAAACATAGTGGTATAGACTATAATAGCAAATCGGACAGATAATAACATGCTAGAGCATAGCAGATGTTAGAGAAGAAGAAGATAAGGATAAAATTGAAATTTACTGTTTGATGCCATGGGATGAACACTAGTAGCCCATAAGTAGAAAATAGATAGAGCACAAAGAAAGCAAAGTTACTCCGGGGGTCTTAATTAGGGGAATGATAAATACATCTTTTCTCCATGACAAATTGATGATCCTTATCGGATAAGGCTAGATCATAGACACCGTGATCCTTCTTCATCTTTTCATTTAGCGTCAAAGATTAATCCAGTCACTCATGAAAGAGAAGAATGGGGACACGAAATGGTGATTTTATTGCCTGTTGCCACATAAGAAACAGAATAACGTGTTATGTGTGTCCTTCTTCCTCACCATATCCCTCTCCATCCCATCTTTCTCTCTTTCTTTATCTCCTTTTCTCTCTTTCCCTCTTTCCCCCTCTCTCTCTCTCGCTTTCTCTTCATCGTGAAAGGTTGGAGACATCTGTGAACCTATTACAATATAGCTTCAGAGATTAATCCAGTCATTCGTATAAAGATGAGAGTAGGCTCACGAAAAGGTGAATTTTATTGCCTGCCGCCACATTAGAGGCAGAAGATCGTTTTGTGTGTTCGTCTTCCTCACCTCAACCATCTCCGTCCCCTCCCCCTCTCCCCTCCCCCCCCCCCCCCCCTCTCTCTCTCTCTCTCTCTTTCTCTCTCTCCCTCTTTCTCTCTCTCTCCCACCTTTCTTGTTCTTTCTTTCTCTCTCTCTCTCTCTCTCTCTTTCTCTCCCTCTTTCTCTCTCTCTCCCACCTTTCTTGTTCTTTCTTTCTCTCTCTCTCTCTCTCTCTCTCTATTATATATATCAGTGTCTATATTTCGATATTTCGTATCTCTTTATGTATGTATATGGGAGTGTGTGTGCGCGCGTGTGTGTGAGAGAGGCTTGAGCGTGTGTTTTCTGAGCGGTAAGGCCATTAACAAAATATATACATGTTTAGCGTCCCCGCCCGCTTCCTTTTTGGGAGCCGCCTCCTATTTTTTTTCTTTTTTTTGTTGAAATTTTGAATTTTTTTTTGTTTGATTTTTTGATTTTTTTTTTTTTTTTTAAAGAAAAAAAACATGAAAAACACTGCTAAAATGAATCTATTTCTGATTTTAATTTTTTTTTTTTAAATGTCGGCGGCCATCTTGAAAAATAGCCCGACTGTCAGGGAAAATGTACCGAGCGGCCATTTTGAGCGGCCATTTTGAAAGAAAAAAAAAGGGCCTCCTCTTTCCTATTTTTCGAAAAAAGCAGGACGCTAAACATGTTTTTTTTTTATTTGGCCTAATGTGATGTGAAAGGAATGAAAATGTTCATCTTAGTCTACAAAATAGTTGAAATATCACCCCCCCCCCCCCCCCCCCCCCCCGCCACCCCCCATCCCCACGCATTGCTATCTCAGGTATACTTTAGGCCGATTCTGGGACAACCATCCCTCAATCCCCGGACTATTACTCCCGGATAACTATTCACTATGGAAATACACGGACAAGAGCTGCCATAACACCGTCATTCATTAGGCAATTGCCTATATACATGATCTATGTGTAATTGTCCGGGGGCAATTATTGCCCTAGAAAATGCAAACAGTGGTATACCATTCGTTGGACAATAATCCTCCGTGTAATAAGTTGTCCTAGCTGTAGTTGTCCGTTAAGATACTCATACGGTCATACCATGGTCATCGCCTGGATATGATGCGAGCCATAAAAGTACATCTACAAGTCAGGGAAAAGCTTTTAAATATCAAATGAGGCGAAAAACCGTCTCCATCCCAGTTTGGCTACGCCATTGTTATATCACTAATGGGCAATGCGTTATTGAAAGAGGACCTAGTCTCGGATTGACTTAATCGGATTTAGCAGTTATTTAATTCATCATTAGGTGCGAAGATATTCTTAATTCTTATAGGCGCCAGTCCTCGCGTTAAAGTTCCATTAATGCACACAAGCAGAGACAGATCATTCGTGGAAATCGTTCTTGATCCGCCATTTGTTGCTCTTCATTTGTTTTGTCAACAATCCCTCCTTTGGTTTCTATTGATAGATATTCACAATGAAAATAAACATTGACAGTTTTTTGTTGTTAAGGAATAGAAAATAGGTCGATGTTTGCAGGTGTCTTTAGGCTTGTCATTTTATAAATGTCTTAACTTTCCCCTTACATAATACTAATAGGACAAAAGCTTTACTTATTTTATTTGTCTATAAATTGATTTATTTTCATAATGTTTTTATTAATATACGTTTTCATTTATTTATTTATTTAGTTATTTATTTGTATATTTGTGTATTCATTAATTAATCTATTTACTTATTTGTTTGTTGTTTGTTTGTTTAACTACCTATTTTTGTATCTGTTCATTCATTAATTCAGTTATTTACTTATCTACCTGTCTATTCATTTCACTATATATACGTAGCGTGGCATAAAAGCGTAGCAAGCAAGAAAAAAATCATGCCCTGGTGTCCTAGAAAAGCCCAATTAACCTTTGTTAGGCGGAGATGATCCAATCATCAATTCAAGTAAATAAGAAAGAAAACAAATGTTTAGCCCTTATTGTAATAAGCCTGAGATAACATTGAGAAAGAACTATATGGTGTCAAAATTGAAACTAAACATTCAATAGATGAGTAGAATTTAATTTATTCTTTGCATTATTTTTCATCTATATTTTTTTGTTGTCACAACTAAAAACCCATGTATAGTCCTGGTAAGGCCCTAATAATGGGCTGAATGGGCTATCCAGCCATTCACTATATTATTGATTTTTACTATGTTCATGCATTTTCTTTGTATTGTTTTTAATATTGTGATGGAAAATAAATACCAATACCAATACCAATTGACAAATAAGCAAAGGCATATATTTTATATACAATATTGGTCTTTAAGTTTTTAAATGAATACGGTGACAAAACAAAAGTAAATTGGATTGTGTTTTAATTTGAAAGAAGAGTAAGGATTTAAAGGTGGCCAACATTTTTTTTTTTTAAAGAAGGAGGAGGAGATGGAGGAGGAGGAGAAGAAGAAGAAGAAGAAGAAGAAGAAGAAGAAGAAGAAGAAGAAGAAGAAGAAGAAGAAGAAGAAGAGGAAGAAGAAGAAGGAGAAGAGGGAGAAGAAGAAGAAGAAGAAGACGAAGAAGAAGAAGAAGATATAGACGAAAGAGAGAAAGGGCGGGGGAAAGATTTGTGTAAATATGTCTTTATGTGTATGCGTGTGGGTGTGTGAATATGTGCGTGTGTGCGTATGGGTGTGTGAATGTGTGCGTATGAGTTTTTGTTTAATTATGTTTATGTACAGTATAAGCAATTAATATTAATATTGAAAACGTTTATTTATTTTATTCAATTGTATGTTTTTGTTTGTATTACACATTTAGAGGAATAAAACAAAATTACAAAAAAGAAGAAAAAAAGAAAGTATGTACAAAAATGTACATCAGTGTGGATAACTCTGTCACATGTAAGACAATTCTTCAGATGGTAATACATACATGTAGGCCTAGATGGTATCATTCTGAAAGGGGTGAGGGTCTGAACTCGAATGATCTAAAGGTCGTTGACCCATCGTTCACCTGTTGCCAGTAGTCTGTCTACTTGCTCAGGTTGACTCGCCTCTAGCTCTTAACAAAGCAAATCAAGAAAACCCATCCTAATCCCAAAATGGCACTATTTATTGTAAGAAAGTTCTGCAGAGATCAACCTGGGACCCATATGAATTAGCTTTCTCCACGTGTCATCTCATGGAATTCACCCAGGCATGGGCCATTATTCCGCCATACTGCCAAATTAATGTTGTCAAGAATATCAAATGCGTTTTCTTTGACTCCTTGTTATTTTATACAAGCTTTCCTGCCCATTGAATCCATCTGGGAGGGAAGATAGATTACTTATTAATCACCTTCTTGGTGTGAAATGTCTGGATTACGAGGATAATCGGGCGTCAGTTACAACCTAAGCGGCTTTTACGTACAGACCATCTTTCACAGTCCTGCAGTTCCTTTGTGAGATTAGTAAATAATCTCAAGATTTCTATGTAAGGAGAATGATTGAAACCCTCGCAAATCTGTGGGATGAATTCGAGGATTTAACTCTGATTCTTATTTAGCCCTTCTAATGTCAATCTCTTTTAAAGTTTTCTTCTCTCTTCTCCTTTGCATCAACATGATTCGTTTTCATCAGTTCTCCTGTCTTAATGATATTCTCTTATAAAATGCTTGAGTATTAGTATAAAGTAAGAGAAACAGAATGCACTGTCGCTCCTGTCTTTCTAAGGAACCAAACTACTATCTCTCTGCTATAGTTGTTCATATCAATATTTAAGATTTTTCCTGTAGTTGTACGGGGCTAAAAGTCTTCACTAGCTGCCCTACAACGTAGGCATAAAATATACTCTAAAATCTAAAATATGTTGTTTAATTACCATTTACAGGGCCGAGCAGTGACCACTTTTTACAACATTTCAGATTTAACACTTTGAACATGCTAGTTTTAACCTTTGGATAGTGTTGAGTCTAGCATGTTAAAAGTGTTAATCTGACATTTTGAAAAAGTGGTCACCCCTCGGCCCTTTTAAATATTGATTTACCATTTTAGTTTTCAGAGTGTAGAAATAATCAATGATAATAATGATTTGGTCCTATTTATCAGGGGTAGGCAGGTATTCATTTACTCGAGAGGAACTATTGTGGGCAAAGCACATTATTCAAGATTGTCAGAGCCAAGCGTGGATCGGACCCTGGACCTCTCGTATAAGAGTTTCGAGCATTAACCAACATACCACCGTGCTTCCACACCCGACAGGGGAGGGGGGCGGTCGAAAAATCAACATAACTGAGATATTGACAAAATGTTTAATTCTATTCGGGCTAGGTACTTCATTGAAATGTGCAGCCCCATCCTATAACTGAATTCCCCCTCCTGAACCCCTCTCCTCCCCTCCCCCGACTCCACTTCTCAAGCTATATACATGTGGTTGCCAGATGCATCAGCTCAGCAAGAATGTCGTAAATCCAAAATCAGAATATCTCCAAACACTACCCCAGCATAAAAAAATCATCTAAACTAACAAAAGATGTTTGATAATCGAGGTTATTTATAGGAAAGACGTTTAGATTGTCGTGCGAAGATTCGCGTTAAGCTTTCACATATTCGCTTTCATAGGTGTTTTAACCTGCAATAATTCGTGGCAAGATAATAACAACAAGCATACTAGATGGAGAAAATTTCTAAGCAATCTGTAGATTTTTGAAGCGATTGTTTTTTACTTTTTTCATATAGGCTAGGCCTACATTACTTGTATAGCAGGTATTTTTTCAAATAACTACATCACGGTGTCACCAATTTTCGGAATGAATATTATTGTTTACCTGTTCATGGTGAATCAAATTAAATCATGTGATTACAAACAAACTTGAGCAGAGAAAGTCATTCAAACATTGTTATTATATTACGATAATGATAATATTAATAGTGATAATGATACTAATACTATTTGATAACAACAATGATAATAAAAACAGCAACAAAAACCGTCTTGTTTAATTGTTAAATAAATGCCCTTTTTTGTGGAACATTTAACCAAGCTTGAATTTCAAGTAGTTCGTCTTTTCAAACTGCAACGTGTTTTGTGTTAACGTACCTAATTTATTTAGCAGTAAATAACTGTGTATTATCTATATGTTTATATTTGTTTCTGTTGTAATTTTTTACCATGCACTTTGTAATTTGCCTACAGGGTTTCCTTGAGAAGCTCTGAAGGAACTACTGTATATCAAGAGGATACTGAATAAATAATAATTGACAACAATAATAATAAAAAATAAAAAATGATAATAATGTATAATAAAAAATAAAAATAATAGTTTTACAAATGATAGTCTCTGTTAAGGCGTTTTTGTTCGTCACTGGGAGACGATCCTATAGCGTAAGGGTATTACTAAATTGTATGATCCTTATGATTCAATTGGAGCAACCCGCAATTCTTTTCATAATCTGAGACTTAAAAATAAAAAAAAAAAATAAAATAATGGGCATTTTTATAGCGCAAGTAGCCACCACGCAAGGTGTTCATGGCTCTCCCTCCCATATTATCCCTTCTCTGCGAGGCTTCCAATTACATTACTACCAGGTTTTAAGGAATTCACTCCTATCAGTACCCATTTTACACCTGGGTGGAGAGTGGCAAATGTAGTTAAATGTATTCCTGAAGGACAATAGTGCCGCGGCGGGAGTCGAACCGCGAACCTTGTTATCGACAGTCCGAAGACGACACCACTAGACCACGACACCTCTTCGTATTACGTGGGATCTCGATGAACGAAGAGACGTATAGTTCAAAGTTTCTTTTATTTATGATAAAAGCTAAATATTAACGTTGCTGAATTGGTTATAAGTATATCTGTCGCCATGAGGCAACTGTGCAGACGGGTGGAAAGATTTAATTTCATGCCTAGGAAATCCTGGATTATTAAATCGCTTCTTCGTTACACTCGTGATATAAGCTGGATAAGGAATAATGAAAATAAAAACATGGAATAATAAATTTAGATTGAAAAACACAAATCCATACCCTTTACCCCCTTGCCTTTCCATTCTGCTCTGTCTCCCTCTGTCTCTGTCACTCTCTCTCTCTCTCTCTCTCTCTCTCTCTCTTTCTCCCTTTGTTCTATTTATATTCAGTCGTCTCCTTCGTTCTGTCCTTTCTTTCTTTTTCTCTTTCAGCCTTTCTATCTCTCTGTCTCTCTCGCTCTTTATATTGTCTTTTGTTATATTTCTATGGTTTTCTCATTCACTCTCTTTATCCTCTTTCTTTGCTCTGCTCTCTCTTGTTTTCTCTTCATCACCCCCTACCCCCATCCTCATGTCTCTCATTGATTCATGTGACTCCACTAACTGTGAAGTAACCTTCTTGATGGGGGATGGGGGATGGGGGGAGGCATGTAGCCAAAAACATCGCTTCTACTTTAGGTTTCTTATTTCATTTCGATTTTACCCCAATATCTAATATACAAGCAAGTGTAGACAAAGCGCTTGGCTTCACCTAGTTATGTTGCATTCTCAAAATGCATACGTAATATGATTTTGTTCTTGAAACAGATAAAACATTTTGTATTGTTAATGAATCTGAACTAGACTGAACTAATTAATTTCCTTTCCTTTTCCAGGTTCATCCCTATGCGATATATCATTAGTTAGGAGCCCCATGACATAATGGACGAGTCCTAATCGGGTAGCCAATCAAGAGCGCCTAGCCACGTTCCTGCACACCTCAAAGTTTCTTAACGGGGTGTCGCTCGTCCAATGGCTGAATTGCATATCTCATTATATCGTTACTATGAAATATGATTATTATCTTTCTCTCTCTCTCTCTCTCTCACCTTTTTTCTCTCTCTCTCTCTCTCTCTCTCTCTCTCTCTCTCTCTCTCTCTCTCGCTCTCTAGGAATCGCAGGGGGAACAATACTCTGGAGGTAGCAAAGGTGAATCGCAAGGCATTATGCGTGCCTACAAGGCCTATCTTTCGGAGCGATTGTTTAGGAATAAGGCCTTATCTTAGCCTTTATATTAGACGCATAGATGTCGGAATTCGGAGTGTGGGAAAAGGTAAAGCGGTGAATTCACACGCGTGGCAGAACTGAAGTCAACAACCACACAGACAGAGATGGCGAGGGCGATGAAATGGGAGAGAAAGAGAAAGAGAGGGAGAGAGAGAGAAGGAGAGAGCGTGAGCGAGAGGGACAGAGGGGAAGAGAAACTGAAATATAGACAGATATGAAGAAAATAAAGATGAGGAAAGTGAGTTCGTGAAAGAGGGAGAGTGAAGGGGTTAATAGAGAGAACCATAGATACAGAAAGACGGGAATAGAGAGTGTGTGCGTGTGGGTGTGTGGGTATGTTTATATGAGGGTGTGTGGGCGTGTGTGTGTGTGTGATAGAGAGAGAGAGAGAGAGAGAGAGAGAGAGAACATTTTAATAGACAAATTTTCCCTTTGTTAACACTACGAAACAATAAGAGGTATTTATCTTTACAACAAATTATTCACCTGAGCCAACGTGGGAATATTTCTCTCCTATTCATGATCCCCAAGTAGCATACAGACACCAAAGTAAGAAAAATCATAATCAATAATAATCACAATCACATTTTTACCCCTGGTTAATACAATGAAATAGAATATGTTTATCGCACAAGAACTTAAAATCTAGGTTGATTTCGGAATTTCCCACGATGAAAATAATACGGATGTGAATTTTAGTAGAATATAAATCTCATGGAAGAAAATAGAAGTTTATAAACTTTTATTCAGAAAGTAGACCCTCGCTCTTCAGTGGGATAGTATGACGTTCACAAGGTGTCCGCCTCGTTCTCAGTCATTGGATGTTTCTACAGAATTGTATTCTTTATTTCTTTAAATTTAAAGAGAAGCAAACTTCAGCTTTTCCAAGATTCCTTTTGGAGTTATATCGTTGAATTCTTTAAATCGAATTTCTTAACTGGAGAATAGGTTCTCATCCTGCGAGAGACGTATCTGAGAAGAGCGATGCCTACCGACGAGCAACATCCACCTAGTAGGGTACGTATCGGAGCCACGGAGTCGTGTTTGTAGAGGCGTCATAGTACAGTGGTCCATTCACTTGACTCGCACTCCAAGGGTTTAGGGTTCGAATCTCAGCCCGTCACTATTATACTAACATCCTTTTAGCAAGACATTGCTCCACATTTCCCGCTCTCCAGCATCAATGCTGTTCTTCATTAGAGCCCTGCAATTATTATTACCCCAGCAGTTGCCAGGTACTCATTTACACCTGGGCGGAGATTCGAACCCTCATCCCTTGGATTGTGAGCCAAGTGAATTTACCACTATAACACGACACATCCACTGTCTTAATGATGCCTGTTATGACGTCCTGTTAAAAAATAATTGTATTACTTCTCCTTCTTCATTCTGTAATCTTTCCTTTAATTTACACGCTCTCTCCTTTTACTATTTCATTCTCACTCTCTCATTGTCTACTCTCCTATTCTCATCTCCATTTCTTTTATTTTCACATCCTTCTCATTCCTCTCCTCCTCTCTCCCCATCCTCCTCCTTCCTTTTCTCCACCCCCCATTCTCCTTCTCTTCAACCTCATCGCTAAACTAATGAAACAAAAATACTTCATGCATATAGTTTCCCGCTCTTTGGAAAGGCTCGTTTTTTCATCGAAATAAAACGGTTTACGTTCGATTATGCGTCTAGTAACCATGGCAACGATTCAAAGCGCTGAATAGTTCGTGCATTTTTCACTCCTCCTTCGAATTTATCCCGGCAGATTGAGAGTGATGGTAAAATGGGCACACACTTGATTAGTAAGACATGGCTTTTTTACGAAAGAAAATATTAAAAGTGGCGTGACGCCGTTACTAGTTCATAAAGGGGAAATTTGTCTGAGAAACGTAGACGTACACAGAAAAACAAGGGTGCGGAAAAGTGGAAAGTATGATGAATATCAAATGATAATCAGTTAGAATAAGTAGAAAGAGATAGATGAATATATATATATATATATACAGACAGGGAGAGAGACAGAGAGAGAGAGGCAGGCAGGCAGACATACAAGCAGAGACAGACAGACAGAGACAGACAAAGATGTGGATTGGAAGAATAAAAAAGACAAACATGTCACTTAATATCCCTAATAATGATTTGATATGAATAGATAAATGAATGCTTGCATCTCTAGGAAAGTCTTATTCTCCTGCTCATGACTAGAGAAATGAATGGGGAAATAAATGAATGAAGTGAAATAGGAATAGAAGGATTGAAAAAGTCAGAGTGATACCCTCCCCAACCCCCGCCCCCTCCCCCTCTCCCACTCCAATGCTGAAGATAGATCGACACCATACGTTAAGGGCAAACGTTCAGTGTTTCTCTGTACTTGTTGTTCATTTTGTTTGACTTTGTTTTTCGTTTTATGTTTTATTTATAGTGGAATGTGTTTGTTAGAATAATGTTGTCTTATTCATATCTTTCTCTCTCTCCTTTTCTTTGTTATCCCCGTAGTCGTTGAAGCCCCAGATGGAGAAGCGACGTCGAGCTCGTATTAATGACAGTCTTCTACAGCTGAAGAATCTGGTTCTCGATGCTCTCAATAAAAACGTAAGATCTTTTTCTGATCCCATTTCATTTCTATTATCTGGAAACCGTAATGTGATGCAAGACAGGAATATTGACAACAATAATCTTATAACATCGCATAATTATTAATCATCCATTCGGAAATTTATTGTCACTGGTAAAAGTTTGTAGATCAATTATTTACAAAAAGAAAAAAATGAAATAAATAACAATTTTTTTAAAAAGTCATCTATTTAAATAACTTTGCCTCAACAGTTTAAAATTCACGAGAATATTGATTTCAAATCCAATCATGTCTTTGATAATATTGAGGCATACTATGAAAAAAAAAGTTCTGTCTTCTGAAAGAAATTTGAAACCTTCCTGATTCTGATTTGTTAATTTGTTATAGTTTTTAAAGTTTTGCAAATATGACTCTTGTCAAAGTTATTTATTATTTTTGCGCACTTTGGATATTATTGATTACAGGCAGATATATGTACTATGATTTTTAATGAGGTAACAATGCTGAAAACTTGGCTGATACTTTACTAATTAATCATGTTAAAAACGTATAATTATCCAATAGGTCAAAATCAAAATCTCACAGGTAATTTTTTTTATTTTTTTTTATAAAGTGAATATCAATATGCCTGGGAAAAATGATATATTTATGACCTTGGGTGCACTCCCACTTTGCATTCATCATATCAATTCAGTTTGTTTTTGTATAAGACTAGTGAAAATTGACAAACCATAAACACACTTCACACAATCTTTATTTGGGCCGAGAGGACAGAGGGAAAAAAATCGAACCACGCGAACTAGGTCGTGGGAAAATGAATGCCGAAAATATTAGCAATATGACTCATTCTAAATTCACATCTGACAGAAAAAAAGAAAAAATGAAATCAAATAATAGATATAACTGTACAGGTGGGATGTTGTTTGAATACCATACCAGGCATGAGAATTGTAAACACTGCACACTAGACATGTTAGGGGTGTATTATCTGTCCCGTAACCCAAACAAACTGTTAGCTTTGCACCCTGGGTCCCTTGGTCTCTCACAGACTCTCTCAGGCATGATGTTTTCTGGTCTGATTTGTCAGAGGGGAGTTGTTTGGTAGAGAAATGGGGCGGAACCCCTCTGGGATAGGTACGGGGTATATCTTCTTCTGTTTTTCTGACAGGTTTTGTCGTTGGTGTTAATAGCAAGGGGTGGTAGTACTTTATTAAAAGGGGCGTAGAATCTTTGATACACAATCACATTCATTACATATACAGCTGTTAAAACAAGTGATCTACTTATGGGAATTTTCCATTTGTAAAAATGGCCCGATACAAGTTTCGCAGAATAATAGGTGAGAAAAATGAAGACAATAATTAACGCTGAATTCTTCTGCATTCACCTTTTTTTTATAGAGCTCCTCCTGACTTAAGGGAACCCAAAGAATAATGGAATAGATAAGATGGCATCCTACGATAGCTTGTTCTCCTATTTAGATTATAAAGATTACAAGATTAGAATACAAAGAAATATCGTTTTTCCTCAGCTTTATTTTCTTTGCCACTAAACTACTACTGCTACTACTTTTACTACTACTACTACTACTACTAATGATAATAATAATATGAAGAAGAAGAAGAGGAAGAACAAGAATGATAATGATATACACGATTTGTCAGGCAACAGATTCAGTTGCAATCAAATGTTCAAAAGGCTCTAGTGCAAAAGATGAAAGAACCAAAAGCACTAAATAATTTATTCTAAAAAGGATAACTTGAGTAGGATACGACATATGAAAAAGAAAGAGAACAATTCACTATAATTAAAAATATAACAAAAACGATTTTAAGACTATTTTCGAATACTTTCGAACTGATCTACAACATAACATTACAATATTGGAGATTTTCCTTGGAAAAAAGAGCAAAAACTACCATGGTAACGTTGTATTATATGTACTTTTATTCAGAATCCTCGTCATTCCAAATTGGAGAAGGCTGATATTTTAGAAATGACAGTACGATATCTGCGATCAATCCATCGCCAGCAACTTTCAGGTGAGAAATTATGACAACTGTGATGATAACAATTATAATAATGATAATAGCAATAATGAATAAAATGGTGATGATAATGATACTACCAATATTACATCTTCAATTGATAATATTAACACTTATAATAATAATGATAATAATAACAAATTTCCATATAATAACCTTTATTTTGATCAAGCTTTCAATTGCATTGCAAAAACAGTTCAAGTGCTATTATCATGTGAAATCAAATTTACGAAATAGATAGGTTTAAGAAATGATACATAAACTCTTTTTCGGTTGTAAGAGGTAAATACTACGCTTTAATAAAAATTTAAAAATGACATATTCATTTAGCAAGAAAAAAAAATCTAATACGGGAACCGAAATGGGGGCTTTTTTAAATCCAATGATTGAGTAAATAGGCGCAGATTTTCGGTATATTACAAATTCTCGTTCATCTTCAATTTTGCAGGCATTGGTTCACATAACGAACAAGCAAACATTGCCCAATACCAGACTGGCTACGCAGAATGCATGCGAGAAGTCTCCAGATACTTGAACGCAACCAGCAACAACAACAATGCTCCTAATCAAGCCGCTATTCTTCAAAATTTGATGAAGAGGGGAGCAGGTGAACGTCATCTTCAAGCCAGTCTCCTAGACCATCTCGTCACACGAGTTACTGATCATGGTTATGGCAACGGAGCAGAGAGAATGGCTATCCAAGAACAGAAGAATGTCGCAGACACTCCGAATCTCGGACATTCAAATAACATCCCGACATTGCAGTTCTACACGGCAAATAAAACGCCTTTTATGACGTCATTGCAACCCCCTGATGCAGCAGCTCCCAGGTTGCATGAAGAGGTCGGAGGAGGAGGACTTGTAAACCTAGTCCAGTCAGCCAGTGTGTTTTCTGAAGGAGGCAGTGTAGCTACGCTTGAGTCGATGGCTTGCCCTTCGGTCGATCCGACTAATCCGACTGGTCTGATGCCAGGCGAAGAGATTAGATTGGTCTTACCAGGGAATCTTGTGTATTCGGGCCAAATACCGACCCATGTGATCCCGATTTACGCGGCAAGCTCTCCCACCATCTCACCGGCTCAGCTCCAACCATCGACGGTACTCTCAAACATCCCATCTCTCTCACCATCAACGCCTGTGGTGCTGACTCCCGTTGTCCCTGGTGACGGGCACGCATCTAACTTGTTAGGGAGTGCTGTTGCTCCGGCGAGTGGCGGGTATGCTTTTCTCCACACACCACCATCAACCTGCGCTCATCCTTCTGCTCCTGACTCCGAGATGGATTCGACGGATAAACCAAGGCAGTCGGTGATGTCAAGTCAAGCCTCCGCGCCAACTGTTACTAACAAATCTTACTCAGACGATTTTGAATCGTGTGACATAAATCCTTGTTTGATTCCATCTTCATTTTCTATTTCTAACCCTATTTCATTATCATCGTCATCTTCATCATCATCACCATCGTCGTCGACAGCATCACTGGAACATGACAACACACCTCCCATACTATCATCAACCAAATCCCCATCACCCTCACCACGAACCACTCCAATCAAACAACCATCACGGTCTCAATCTCACTCACATCCTATAAACACAACAAATATGACTGAAAACATAACTCATGTCACCAAACCCTCTCTTAATCAAAACACATTTCGGTCTGTAGCTTCTTCGCTAACTACTATTTCCCCGCTGATATCCGCGTCTGGATTGATACCTGTCCAAGACACCCATTCTATTAGTATCACAGCCCCTGCTGGCCAACAACCTGCTACCCATAGTGAGACTTCTTTCAATACCCACTTCCGAACCCCTTCCGCCAATGCATGCGCGAGAAAGCGTCGACGCACCGCTATCTCTCACGACAAAGACCCATTAGGGGTACAAAATACCACCACTCCCGCACCCCTTCCTAGGATAGGCTCCAATAAAGTTATCACTAAGATTCGTGTCTCTAGATCCGACATGCGACCGACCACGACCCCTTGTCGATCAGCGCATCGTTCCCGGCCTATCCCTGATCTACCAGTAGGCCAACATCCAACAGCCCCTCATCCACCAGTCGCCGTTCCCGAAAGAAATGAAAGATGTGACGTCAGTGAATTGGGGGTTAGTCCCAAGGTCACGTGGCGTCCGTGGTAACCATTCCTTGGCAACAGGATAGAATGCAACGCTTGAAAGGATGTATCATATTTCATTCCAATGTGCTCTTCGTCATGTTCATTCAGATAAGTTTTTTTAGAACAGGAATTCGCGAGAGGCCGTAATACAATAGGCCAGTTTCGGCGGTTACGTAATGCGCGGTTACTGTAACCAAGCCCGACAAGCTTTGTCAAATCGCCATTTTGAATCTGTGCATTGTGTATTAGACTGTCGGTTCTTGCCGTTAAATTGCATTCATATCTTTCTATCAAAACTGCGTGTATACATATGAATTTCTGTTTTGGCCGGAAATGTCTTCCAACTTGCCATTCATCAAGCTGAGTTTCAGGCAGCTGCAATATTTTCTAAGAAAAAGAGGAGTTTCGGCTACGGTATACACCCGAGAAAAGACTCGTTAAATTAGCGTCCGCGCAGTAGCGGACTAGCCTGCCCGTAGCCCCTGACCTACGGGGTCCGTGTCACTCGGTAGACGTGACTGTATGGGGAAATTACAACGGGCAGGATTTTCGTTGAGTGAACTAGTTACATACCTCCCATAAGTTTGACGATATTCCTGACTTTGGGACCTATGACGTATTCAATTATCTAGTAGAGAATATGGCGGAACATGCATTTATGATCGTCGTAAACTGAAGGCTTTTAAGAGTTTTGAAGACTTTCGACTGATATTTCCCGATGGCCATAGATTATGTGGCCTGGAGAAGCTCGAGTACAATCCTCCCTCTAGTTAGCTCTCGGCAGCTTATGATAGCGACTTGTGACTAGATTATACAGGTCAAACCGACGCAAAAAGACAGAACATCCCAACTTGAACAAAAAGAAAAAATATATAAATAATAAACAAATAAAAAGTAGAAGTCTACAGATCTAATAGAAAATGTAATAACAGTTTTATTTTTAAATGTTTTTTTTAAATAATAATAATTGCTTCTTGAAGTTTAATAACGAAGGTCCGGCATAATTGTAGTCTAATACTAGACTATTAACTTTTATTCTATGAAAATCAAACGTAATTCCTAATCTTATTCTAAACAATAAAATTATTCATCATCCTGATTCTTCTTCCTTGCCATCATAAGGTTTTTTTTTATTACTTTTATTATTCCCTTTTTCCATTGCTCTATCATTCTTTTTCCTTGTTCATTGTTTTTCTTCATTTTTTCCGTTCAAAATTATTTGTTTATCATTGTTCATCATTCTTATTCTAGCTCTTTGTCATCGGACGATATTATTTTATAAATATTATTTTATTAACAAAGACCTTATATATTATATTATTACCTTAATTGTCATTATTTCTCGTTGCCTTTAATATTGATTCTGCGGTCAGTGCTTGCTTCTCGTTAGCCGTTTCTCGTCCGCCTTGAAATAGTCCGTATCGAGGCGTTTCACAAACATTTTTTAATCCGTAAAATTGTTTTCATTTTGAAAATGTGAATCGCGCCTACACGAACACGAACACGTGGTACGCGCGCACGCTTCTGCAAGCAGAGGTGGCTGTGTGTGCGAACAAGTGGAAAATAGTTCATCACTTCTTTCATTTCTACGTCCTAATTTGTCCTCAGATTCAAGCTAAGGTAAATGCAAAATTGAATGGAAATTACCGATATCGGCTAGCTAACTTATATTTTGGTGCTTCGCTTTCTATTTCATCACTGGCTTTCAAGCCAATATCGCTTGTATCATCGACCTCGTTTTTCTTCTTTTTGAGGGGGTATCGTGCGCTGCCTGTACCGGGGACTTGGCCGAACAGGTTTAGCTGCAAGATGTGAATCGCTAGTTCTGTACCAGCAATGCTTTTCTATTATTCTTGCCTAAGACTCAGCGATTTTAAAGATCAAATGTATGAAGAACAAAATCACATCTCAAAGATATTTATTATTCAAGTTTGAAACTGCCTCCTTTTTCTTCTCTCTCTCTCTCTCAAAATAGCGAAAACAAACGATACAATCACACCTAGCGAACACAGTCATGTATGGTATGCACGCAAAGTGTAGTCTGCTACGCACCGCGAGTTCTTTGCTTGTCCGACCCTCCGATTACGTAATGCGATTTAAAGGTCTCTGAATACATTACGAAACTGGCCTATTTGGTCTCGTATGCATCTAATAAACCTATCTAATGTATTATCTTTGTTGCTTCTCTACTGGGAGATCACCCAGTAATGATGATTTTTGTGATTTGTTGGAAAATTGTCCGTACATTTCAATTCTAGATTTCATGCACCATGGTCATTGAAATAAATTGGGTAAAGCGTGCAAGTTCTTAACATGTAGTTGAAGATAATCTACGATGTAAAGGTGCAATTTAACATAAGCATCTATGAATAAAACAAAAGCATGCATAATTCACATGCTTGATATCTCATTAGCTGGATTTGAACTGAAATTAATATTTGTAAACTCAATGTACAAAATATTTTTAAATAGCGGTCGGCCCATGAGCCCGACAGCTTAAGGTATCAACAACCCCTTCATGACTTCTTGGAGAGAAAAACAAAGATATCTAAGCCCTCATACAAAAAGATAAAACAAGGTCTTTTGAGACATCCAAAACATCTTGCGTATCTCACAGCAAATGTAAGAAAGTGATAATTTCTTTTGATCGTATATTTATGCAAATTATGAATATTGCATAGAGGTCAAAATGTGTGTTATGCAATTGAAAAGAAAACCGCACGTAGAAATAAATATTTCAGCCTAGCATTCTCAGTTTACTAGAACTGGATAAAATAAATTCAGTTGATTTTGGTGTGAGCGCGTTAAATTTTTGTAATTGGTACGAGGGATAATGTTAGTTCCATAAATAAGTTTTTTTTACAGTAATGACTCATTTTGATATTATATGATGAAATGATGTAGTTTAGTTTTATAAATACGAGCAGTTGACAGGATTTTTAACGATATCGCATGCGTGGCTGTTTCAAATAAAAAATTATGTCTATAATTATGCAAAGCATCTTCTATGTAGACGGTCTTCTTTTTAAATATTGTATATCGAATTGTGTGTGAACGCACCCTTGTGATACTTTTTGAGATTTTACTGAAATAAAAGTAAAGAGCTTCTTCAGACTCTTCAGACAGTAAACATGAGACTCGTTTGATGTTATTCACTTCAAAAATATTGAGATAATGTTTTTTTTATAAAGATTGAGATGCTTAGATTTCTAACGACCTCTATCCGATTTTGTATGCTTGACAGGTGTGTGTGTGTATGTGCGTGCGCGTGTGTGTGTGATATATTTGATTTACGTGCTTTGCTTGCTTCATTGTTTGTTTGCTTGATTTTTGTTTGTTTGTTTGTTTGTTTACGTGTTTGTGTTGATAGTCATTTTGGAAGCTGAAGTTTTCTGCTTTAATTCAGAGAAATCACATAAATTGCCACAAGACAGGTTTATATTTAAAAAAATATTTTCTTCGACTCAACAAAATGGTCTTAAGGTCATTAGTATCGAGATAATATGATAGTAAAATAATTAATTATTCTTTTGAAATTACTTCCATGTTTTAATCAAATTCATTTTATATATTTTTCATATCAACGTTTACAATGATCCAAAGATTATTTGATTTAACGTGCGTTTTTTTACTGATCGATAAATTAAATTGCCATGACGAAATGTTAGGTGTTATCTCGCCAAGTAGGGATGTAAAGTCTTCAATATCATTATTTTCTTATTTTAAAGCAGAATTATCAAATTTCTCCTACTCCGTTTCAAACTATACAGTCCCAGCTGCAGCACTCATAATACGTTCTTAGGACGTTTACCAAATGTCCGGAAAACGTTCCGATAGAACTTCTGTCACTTCCTAAGAACATTTTTTATTCGAACTGCAGGGGGTTGTTAATTCTCAGTTCCTATCAACTACAAAGTATAAATTCTTAAAACCTTTGCTTTATTTTCTCATTTTCAAAGTTTAAAGGTATAGACCAGTTCTGGTCATGCGATTGCATTGTGAAAGAAACGTTGTGGAATCGATCAGAAAAGATTGATCATCTAGCTTATAAGTATTGGTGTGTACTGCAAGGTTCTGGAATCATCAAAATGAGAAGAAATCTGGCCCAGTCTTGTTAAAGTTACAAGCGCTGTACACGGAAAGATGTATATGGGACTACGCGATTTCTATCCAGGCCGTATAGAT